CGTATATCCCTCAGCAGCCATAGAAAAAGAAAAAGAAAATATAAAAAAAAGAAAAGACTCAGATGCTTGACAGAATCTTTTTAAAACCGGAGGGCTGAAACTTTTGCACAAGGTCAAAGACCTGCTCAAAAAGTTTCCCCACTATGGGTAGTGGCCAGTTCGAATCAGCAGAGCATCCGGCGTCCCTTCGTATATCCCTCAGCAGCCATAGAAAAAGAAAAAGAAAATATAAAAAAAAGAAAAGACTCAGATGCTTGACAGAATCTTTTTAAAACCGGAGGGCTGAAACTTTTGCACAAGGTCAAAGACCTGCTCAAAAAGTTTCCCCACTATGGGTAGTGGCCAGTTCGAATCAGCAGAACATCTGGCGTCTCCTTGTAACGACCTCCAAGGTCAAAAAAAAGAAAAGGGAGAAGGAAGCTGCGATGTTCTCATTGGATCGAAAGATTCCGCGTCTATTCATCGTAAGAAACCAGAGATTACTCACAAATAATTAGGAAGCGCAGGTAAATGATAAAAAAAAGATAGTCTATTACTTACTTGATGGAACTCTGTGAATTTGACGATCATCATGTTTGATTGTGTTGCGTGAGAGCTAGAGTGAAGGTAAGGAAGCAAAACATAGTGACGCATAACAGTTATTCAACGTCAAAGCCACTGACCTCTTCCGTCGCTCGGCGTGCAAATAGAGGACAGCGAGCCAAGCTTGCAAGTAGCGAACGACATCGGATTTAGAGTTGCTATTCAATACAATTCAATTTTCGCTTGAGTCTATTCAATCAATTTAAAAAATATAAGGTATCGTGACCAAATGAAACGGGCTATATATAATAATAAAGAAGCAATCACGGAGAAAAAGAAAGTGTCAGCGAAGGTCAGCCGCATTGCATGCGGGACTTTTTCCCGCCAGATAAGTTCCTTCCTTCCTTCAGTCCTTATTTTATAATGTCATAAAGGAGTAGCTTTTCATGCAAAAAAAAAAAAAAAAAAAAAAAAAAAGGCGTTATGTAACTTGTACACATGTTCAAATGACATGTAGACCGGTAGGGCTCTTCAAAACAACACACAATGCAGGGCTATTCTTCGACGTGTGTACCTGTGTTACAGGTGCACACAGAGGAAGGGTGCGTCGCTTCGTGTAGCAACCACACCTTCAAGAGATAGTTCTTTTTCACGCACTTGCTCCCTTTTCACTTTGTTACATGATCAATTGTACAAAAAAAACTTAAATAAAACAGATCCTTGCCTCCCTACTGCAAATCATATCAATTTTTTCATAGATTTCATAAGACCACTGGAAAGCTATCTTCGGTAAAAACCTTCCAGGAATGAAAGAGCTGAAGAAAGTTAAAAAATATGAAATATGAGACAGTTTGGTATGTGGAATAGGGCAAAAGGACAGGATAAGATGATCATAAAGTAACGAAAAGGAGATATCTCATGGATATTCCGTGATGATCTGTATAATCGCTAAAAGAGTGAATACAATTTAAAAATTGTAGGGAAGAAAATATAAAGGAAGTAATGGTGAGAAGACAAATAGATGTTCAGATGTCCGCTTCTTTCCAATGGACTCAATGGTCTCTTCGTGTTGAATGATACATGTGTCTACAGGCTATTAATTGAACGCGTTTTTTTTTTTTTTTTTTTTTTTTTTCCACAACGTACATGCAGTATACAAACCTTGCTGCCACATGATCCGACATCAGTCAGTGCATCACATAAGCACATGGTGTGCAACGTGCATTTTCATTTAATCATTGAAATCTTAGCGGAAGATCACAAGAAATTTTCTAATTCTTTAAACTGCGAGCGAGTATATCCTCTTCCCATTACCATACAATTTGCAAGGATAACACTTTTGCCTTTATAATCGTTCATGATCTCAAGGCACGCAGCTCGACATTTATTTGAAGACACGGCTAATATACATGTGCAATATAATAGATGGCAGATATGAATAGCAAGTGGACTTTGCAGAGTGCATGTTCACTCATTTTAAAGTTTGGGGTCAGGGTTGATTCGTTAATCTACTGCATCACGTTTAAAGTGAACACTCATTATTACATGTACAAGTGTTTCTAATTCCTCGTGTTACTTTTTTATGTCGATCGCAGTCGGTTGTGGTAGGAATAAGGAAGACTGTTTACTCTTCTTTTCCATCCACAGTATTACGACTGTGTTATTTACAACTTCTCGCCATTGTAAATGAATGCTTTACGCCACTTATCCGTCATCACGTTCTCTTTGCTCACATGGGATACACAAATATGGGTTAAGAATTGCCTGTGTCCCTGTCCTTTGTAGTCGGCATGCATGCTCTTGTTACAAATTTTGCACATGCGTTGGACGGTACACAGTTGAAAAAAAGGTTGATTGAATACTCCCCAACTATATTGCAAGCTTGTGATAATTCACAAGTTCATTTATTACATTGTCGATAATTAATTATTCTGTGAACACAGGGAGACTAGCATCTTTTTCCTCTTTTCTCTGCCTCTTATCATTCGTAGTGACATTCTTTTTTCCTTCCTTCCTATAAATTTGAGCTTGGGACCTTTGTTGTCCAAAAGAAAGCCAGTAACAGTAATATTTGCAAGCACCTAATAAGCATGAATAGGCTGTTTGATTAATCTTTGTGCAAGAATGTGAACAGATTTTCAAGTACAGGAATATTTCCACAAGGGTCCCTTGAACGATCCTTAAAACAAAGAATGAGCAATGCCACAATTTCACGCGCATGCATAATTCTGGTATACCTTTGAGATACAGTTTCTGATGTTGAGTTGAAAATTAGCACGCCCATTTTTCCAAATTACGATTGCGGGATGGAATTTATTTGTTTTTGTCCATTGCTGATCTTTGACTCCTTGATATGTTTTTCTCTTGTTGAACGCTCGTTTTTGAATAGGAGGACCCTTGAGATGAAATCAACAATCATCCCCCGACAACGTGGCTTCTGCGACATGTGCATGTTTTTTTGTAATCAGAGCATGCTCTGAGCGCTGATTCGGGTTGAAGTGATATCGGGAAGACTAGTGACTTGATGCTAGTTTGATTGATTGCCTTGTGAAAAAACACTTTGGCCATGCCATGTGCTCGCTGGTCCAGGCACAACTCACATATTACATGCATTGTAACACATTAACACGTAGCAACCGCTTCCAATGAATGCATTGGCCAGCAATTTGTCCCGCAACTGAACATTCTCTTTTCAAGAAAAGCTACTTAATGTGTGTGTCCCGCTCATAAAACTATGCACCTGCACCTGTTTGAATTACATGCTCCACGACAACATTGCACAGTGTTGTAAGTTTACATGAAGTATAAAAGAGATATCATTTAAATACCTGGTATGACCCCATCCAAATGTTGCTTCCTTTTTTCCTTTTATTCATTCCATTTCGCATATCCTTCTTTCAGCATCCTACAAAATACATTTAATACTAAATATCTACAAGCCTGCTCGTGCTTTTGTCACGTATTGGTGAGTCATTTCCTCTCTCCTTTCAGTAACTCTCTCGTGTTCTACATCTTCCGTCTTAAATCCTATACCACACATCCTTCATCTCTCCACACCATGCATCTGTGTCCGCTGTAATACTCCCTGTCTATTTTATTCCCTCCAGCCAACACGACGACATACTCAAAGCATGGGTTGTGCAACCAAAGATGCTTTGTTTTTTGTTGCATACCAAGTAAAATTTAGTCTGTGCCTGAACATGCGCTTCAACAATATTTTGTGTTTTTCATGGGGTTGAGTTTTTTTTTTTTTTTTTTTTTTTAATTCATACAACAACAACATCCATCAACTTTTTTTTTTTTTTTTTTTTTGAAAGCTCATTCTGCCTTTTGAAATGGGTGTCTAAGGATCACCCACTCCATCTTTTTCTCCTTTATTCAGTTATATATCGACTTTCATACCTGTTGAGTGTGCGGTTTTGGAGTGATGTAGTATTGTTGTAGTCATCGTTGTCGTTGACTACGTTGAAGAATTGACATGTCTCAGACACTAAAACAGCTAAAGTGACCCAACCCAAAAAAGAGCTAGACTTGGTCTATTACCAAATAGTGTTCTTATAAGAGGAACTAGCACGACAAAAAAAAAAAAAAAAATGTCGCGAGTTTTGATTTGGATTCCCTCGGTCACATTCACTCTTGTTGCTCTTTTAATGGTGAACGTCTGTTTACTCTCATCTTTTACTTTCTTCCCTTCTTCACACAAAAACACGGCACCACTTGACCACTTTCACTGTCCACAAATAACGTCCTCAAGAATAAAAAGTGCCCTTTCATATTCAACCAACTCCCTTCTCTCCATTTCCCTTTTAATTGATGACCCATTCTCAGTCTTCCTGACGATTCCCTTCACGACGTAAAACGCGGCAATCAGCAGCCTTCTTCTTCTTCGGGTAACATTTGTCTCCTTTTTCTATCGCTTTTTATCGCGACTCTCAATTTGTAGTCATTAGCTTGGGAAACAATGCCTTTTAACCTCATGTCGCAGTTCAACCTTGTGGTGCTGAGGCTCATAAAGAAACACACAGACCAACTGCGCGGATTGATAACGGATCATGCATGATACTGCAGATTAATTCCAAAGAGAAAAAAAAAAAAGTGGAAATGCAAGGCTGGAAGACAAGTGAGGATGCATTCAGACATCATGCAACAAGTTGTACAACTCTTTTTTCCACTCACTATCGCATGCTTTTTCATGCGAACGTTATTTTATTTTTTTTCTTCGTTTACATTCTTCTCTCTTTTTCTTTTTTTGCTTTTTTAACTCTTGCTCCCCATTTCCCTTACAGCGCTTGGTCTTGATAAAAAAAACACGCTGCGCCCTGACTATTTTCTTCTGGCACTTCATTACAAACTGACACAAACCTGTTCTGATTATCCAAACTATTTGTAAACAGCTCCCAACAAACAACAACAGCACCAACAACTATTTCAGCAATCCTAACAGAACAAATAAAACAAAACTTTAGACAACTCGTCCAATGACCTATCTGCAGAATCAACATCATCGCAACGATTCTCCAGGTCCTGAAAAAGTGCGCCAAGAGACTAGGACGACTACAATTTCTACGACTACGACAACTGCTTCGACCATGCCTATTCTCACTTCTGATTCAGAGCCAACTATGTATAGTTCGCACAAAGCAACAGCCCTGCACTACAGTGGTCGGTCGGGTCATGGCAACTCAACTAAGCACAGTAATCTTGAATTAGACAATGGTACTCATCACAATGGACGGTCAACCAACAATAATCGATCTTCCTCACAGTCATCCAACTCGTCGTTTAATGGTCAGACCCTGAACCATAAGAGTAGTCAACATGGCCCGAACACCAATAAGACTGGCGGTTTGGTTGGTGGTAGCTCGGGCTTCACCAGCCATGATAATGGCTCGAATTCATCGTTACCTCCTGGAAAGACGAGTGGGGACCGAGAGAGACTGAGGTCGAATCCACACGAACACTCGGACTACTCGAGCGGTGCTCACAGTTGGCCTATTCTCTTCGCCGTGATTCCACCGTTGGGCGCGCTTGTCTTTGGAAAAGCGGATATCTTTAGCGACATTCTTACACTGATTCTAATCGCTTTCTTTCTTTATAACATCATCAAAGGTAAAAACTTTTTTTTTTTTTTTTTTTTCATACTCATGGACCCAACATCACAAGCTTTGCTTTGGTATTGCTCCGCCATCACTCTATCTGTTGCTACTGCTCTGCTTGACCCTGGATCCCTGTTTACATCATTATCGCTATTCATTTCAACAGAGAAAGTGCTGCATGAAAGAATGATTACGATATCACATTCATCATGCATTGGTCTTGTGCTAAGGAGAAAGAGGCAGTTAATTGGAAGGGAGAAAAGTGAAAAAAGAGATTGAATGCGTTGTTTCACTTCTGGCGATTTGCTACTATTCATTTTCTAGCCCCGAAAGCATGGTTCCAAAAGTTTTAGCGTATACTGACATCCCATCTTTTTTTTTTTTTTTTTTTTTTTTTTTCTCCGTAAAAACCCTTACTTCCTTACTATAGTTCCATGGGAGCTGTACTATGCTGCCAGAACGAGGAGAGTATTGTTGACATCTGTGAGTGCCAATGCTTCTTTCGATCCTCTCCTAGAACAGAGACGACAGAGCGCTGCCGCCAGTCTTCGTCGCCAAGAATTCTTCTCGCTCTTGCTCGTCCTGGCTTCTCCTTTTCTCGGAGGCTATACTCTGCAATATCTCAAAACCTTTTTTTCATCATATGAAAACTATCTTTCGGCACTTAACATTGAGCTTTTCATTATTGCATCTGGTATCAGACCCCTCACGCACCTGATCAGTCTATTGAAGTCACGTGCATTACATTTGCAAGAACAGATTCATTACCCAAATACAGAGGTGGAGCTGCTGAAAAGGAAGGTCGCATCGATTGAAGCTGAGCTTTCACAACTGCGACGCGCTTTTGCCACAAAACACGATGTTCTGAAGGTTCAGGATAGTGTCGAGCCAACTCTTCATCAGCTCACGAAGCAGATCAAGCGTCATGACAAGAAAGAGAACATCCTCCGATCATACACTGAGGAACGCTTCGCGAGCATTGATGAAAAGTTACGCGAGTATGATACTATTCTGGCCTATCGCATCACGGAGGAGCAACACCGCTCCAGTCTACTGTTCTTGCCTATCAATATTTTGGTGGCTATGCTGAGTTACTGCACGTTTTTCCTTCCGCAGCGATTGACCGGTATTACGGGAACAAAACAACAACCTATGCTCAAGAACGCTCCAACTCCAGCAGCCATTAGTGACGGTGCCACGAACGAAACTATTCAGAATGGTGGCCAGCAGCAGTATTCTTCCAAGTCTTTCCTGAACAGTCGTCAGCCTTCGCACAATCCCATCACGTCGACAAGAGAGACGGCGCGTCTCTATTGAAGTACACTTTTTTTTCTCACATCCCTTCCTCCTAATGTCTTTCCCTCCACATCCTTTTCAGGAATATATAATGATTGATTCTTTTGTATCTTTTTCTCTCTTTCCTCTTTCTTTGTTAACAATAACAAGTTACAAACCAAAAAAAAAAAAAAAAAAAAAAAAAAAAAATGGAAAACAAAAACAAAACAAAAAAAAAGATACCAAAATGAATATTTTCTTTGGACTGCAGCTTACTCGTATATATTTATTAATGCCCCTACTTCGATTTGGTCAATTTGAACAAAAAAGAAGAAATAAAAAAAACCCGTTATGAAGTTTAAGCATTTGCTCTTTATCTGAAAGCTTGCTGATGTCTGATCTTTAGTATGTTGAATAGGGTAAAAAAAAAAAAAAAAAAAAAAAAAATTGCTCCGCCAGTGTATTCTATTTGATACATATTGATCCTATCTTTTCCTACACCTCGAAAGCAAAAAACTAATGGAGTGCCACAGTTGATACACGAAATAGACATAAATAAGTCTTGCAAAACAGAGGTTACATGGCAACAGATATGCATCATTTATTTATATTTGTACTTTAAAAAGTAAAAAAAAGTAAACTCAGGAACGGATTGTAATTTACAGAATAAAGGTAAGAAACGAATGAATAAATTGTATAAGGCAGAAAATCAAGTAGTAATAAAAATGGTAATAGTAAATAAATAAGTAGATAAATAAGACAAATGAATAAATAACAACTGCTTTGTTTTCTACATCGTCAACAGCATTTGTTTGTTTGTTTGTTTGTTTGCTTGCTCGTTTGTTCAATCGATCGCCCGTTCGTATGTCGCTGTTCATTCATTGCTCTCCATGTTTCTTTCAATTATTCCATTACTTTTCACGACTTTGTCAGTTTTGCTGGACTAAAGCATATCAAATTGAGACAAGGATCCTTTTAAAAAAAACAAAATTATTGTTCTTTTTTGAAGGAGTGGTGTCCATTCTGAGCAGCCGCCTGTGCTACTTGTGCTGCTTGGGCTGCGAGTTGAGCCTTCTTGAGTTTAATACAATCCTCAAGATGTTCACCTCGGTATTTAGTCACAAACCCGCCGCCTTCCTTTTCCGTCACCGTTTTGTTAACCTAAAAGGGCGTTAATGAAGGGAAAAAAGAATATTAGAAATGATATCATATACATTATAAGACATCTACCAAAAACCAAATAAAATAAGCTTTTTTTTCTTACCGTGCATCCTGCAGTACTATTTGAGCACTTGTAATAGATACTCTTGCATCCAGTCTTCTTCTGTGTCGTATTACCATTGTTTTTCCATAGATAAGGATCAACATGAGGTTCGAGTGAATCCACAATCTTATTGACGGGCTGCATCTCTCGACGTTTTCGTTTACGTTTATAATCAGATCCTGCATTCGAACCTCCTCCAATAATGCCGGCAAGCGATGATGTCGAGGATGTGGACCGATGTGTTTTGATGGTTGTGGTGGTCGTAGTTGTGGTAGAGGACGATTTATTATTTCCTGATGAAGTATCATTGGCATGGTGGCCATTATGATGATGATGTCCTCCACTTCCGCCCGAGACAGATGCCATATCTGAAAAGTCAACCGCTAGTGCCGTCTCATTATTGCCACCGATATTATTATGGATGCTGAGAGCTGATCCCGGTCGACTGGCCATTCCTATCAACGGATGATTATCATAGTCATCATCAGATTCGTCATCTAACAGATAAGAAAAAAAATATATATAAAAGATTTTATGGTTATTGATCGTATCTCCTCCCTGCAAACTGATGAAAAATGTTGGAGAGTCAGATGCTCATAAAAGAGAAAAAACTTTCATCCGTTTAGATCTTTTACTTACCACTGTCATCATTATTATCCATAGTCCTAATTGATGCCGAGCTTTCATTTCTTGGACGTCCTGCTGAAAGGCGTTGTTCGGTGATAGTAGTCTGGGTTTGAGAGATGTGAGAGAGAGAGTTGGTCCGCCGGATGTTGCCATTAGGGTGTATGCCTGTGCTAGAACCAGTACCCCCCGTGTCTGCTCCAACGCCGACGCCGGTGCCAAGCGCGTGTTGCTGAGGAACAAAAGTCTGATGTCCATATGGGTTACCACCCCCGAATGGATGAACAGATGCTGCTGCGTGATGCTGGAAATTCATCTGTGATTGCTGTGGTTGTCCAAATGGGTATGGATGTACACTCTGGAAGCCCATAGCCTGGGAATGATGCTGCTGTTGCTGTTGCTGTTGCTGCTGTTGGAACTGCTGTTGCTGTCCAAATGCATCTGTACTATTCATCCCTCCAAGCACAGGCATTCCTCCGAGTGTACCCATTGAGCTTGTTGTTGGCATGGCTGATAATGACTGCGAACGCATGTGGTGATGAACTTCGCCTGCAAAGGTCACAGATCGCTTGCGAGCCAGGCTTGCATCGATATTTTGGCCGAACCCTGGTGCGTTCCCACTCATCGTTTGGCTCATCATAGACTGTGGTCCGTGAGTAATTCCACTCATACCGCCCATACTACCCATACCAAATGGATTTGGCATCTGTGATTGAGCATACATGGTTGGGATCCCCGATGTTGTAGATCCTGTCATGGCAGCGGATGAGGAAGAATTCATTCCATTAAGTGCTGACCCTCCGGCACCAGTAGTATTGCCAGTGGCGGCGCCGCCTGGTCCTCCAGCATGTGGGCCAGTGCTCTGTGGAGTGCCTACCGGAACAGTGCCCGGTGCAGTCCCCATTGGTCCTGAGGGAGTAAACCCTCCGAACATGGAAGGATGTCCATAGCCTCCTTCTTCTACGAAACGTTTGACTGTCATACTCATCATTGCTCCCGGCATTTGACCAGCCATCCCTCCGAGACCTTCATAACCAGGTATGTTGTTCAATGATCGATTCTCCCCCCTCATGATCAAATCCATCATTCGGTACCGCGCTTCTTCTGCCCATCTTCGGTCTTCTTCTTTCTTGGATTCGATGATTAATTTGAGTAGCTCAGGTTGGTTCGAATACTTGACCAGGATCGAGTCCAAGTCCGTACTCATAGGTGGTATCGCGGGCAGTGGAAGTGGCGGTTGCCCATTAGCGCCAGCTGATTGGGGTGATGGAAGCACATAGGCAGCAGAAGGACCTTGAAGTGACATCATAGTGTTGATTGCCCCAGGATGATGGCCACCACCTGTCCCATTAGTAGAATTAGCCATAGACATGGCCATATTATTGAACTGGTTTTGGTGTTGTTGATGTTGCTGATATTGTTGCAAAATCATTTGCCGACTGGCAGAAGAGTTTGTATTGGCTGCAGTATTGGCTGCAGTAGTAGCATCAATGTCTGGCGAAGGCATCGGCACAAGCGTATTTGGATGTCCCGATTGACCAGTTCCAGATGCCCCTCCATGACTCGAGTTTGTGGGACTGTGCATTGTGCTTGATGCAACCCCCGAAACAGCCTGCTGCTGTTGCTGCTGACCGTTCGTTACTTGACCGGGGACGATCAATTCACCTTCGGCATCAATAGGCGATTGCGCGTCATTGGAATGACTTGGCGAGTGTGGATGCTGTTGCTCCATACTGTTGTTGCTATTGCTATTGTTGCTGCCATTGTTACCGTTGGTGTTATTGTTGCTATTATTAGCACCATTACCATTGGCGTTGTTGCCATTATTGTTGCTGGTGCTGTTGTTATTACCATTAGTGCGGTCTATGAGGTTGTTGATATGGCTTGCGTGTTGCAATTCAGGTGAGTGATGATGGGATGGAGGCGACTGTTGAGGAGAGAGTTGCTGTTGCTGGGATGACGCGTCCGAAGGATTTTGTGGCAGCTGTTGTTGCTGTTGTTGAGGTGAGAGAACTTGCTGTTGATGCTGTTGCTGGGGTGACAGAACTTGTTGCTGCTGTTGGGGCGATAGGACCTGCTGCTGCTGTGGTGTTTGTGCTTGTGCCTGAGTCTGAGAAGGAGACGGGTATGGGTGGTAGCCATATTGCTGGGTTGAGTTCATGGCCGATATTTCTTGTAACTTTCTTTTTGACTTGTTTCGATTTCTTTCGGAAAGGGAGTCTCTGATTACTTTAGGCCTAGTAAGCTGCCTTTCTTGTCGAAATAGAGGCGGATATAACGATTGTGTCCGCTACGATATTTCGTATGCTTATATTATCCAATGCTATGATATGTCAATACTTTGTTGTCTTTCCTCGGATAACTGGCTGACTGGCTACCAGTGTTAAAAAAAAAAGTGTTCAATTATATAATAGATGGGAGGATGGAAAAAGAAAAAAAGGTGGCAAGATAAGTTTACAGATACACAGCATCATACAACATACAAGCAGAAAAAAAGAGCAAAATGGTAGAAAAGAATGGGAAAGAGGTGATGGGAAGGGATGGGAGGAAATGAGAAAAGCAGGAGGAATTACGATTCAAGTAGCAATGGAATAAACAGCCAAGGCTCAACTTGCTTACAGTGCGTCGGGAAGACGTCGAAGTTACTCAAAAGGAAGGGTTGTTGGGAATGAAGGATGAGAGATGATGAACAAGAAGAAAGATGCACTTCTTTACTTCTTTCTTCATTCTTCGTCCACTTCTCCTTCTTCTTCGCCTTAGGACACTCTCTTTGCACTGATTCGTTTTTGATTCAAATCAAAACAAATCAGACCATGTTGCATGGTCCCATGGTGACATGGCATAATGGTCATACACAAGCACAAAACTTCGTTTAAGAGTGATGCCACACACACACAACAAGCATATAATTGCAACAGAAATCCCTTCCTTCATTTGCATCATTCTCCATTTTGTCCATTCCAAGCAAGCAATGCGATGCTCAATACCCTTTGCTTTATGCTCAAATTTCTCCACTGTAACCCAAACCTTTATTCCCCCTGTGTCAAATCGTGTTGTAACGTGTCGAATCGCATCAACTCTTTTTTAGTGTGTGCCTGGCCTGCTTTCGATTTTTTTGCGGCCCGTCTCGCCTCTTGATTTGCTCTCAAAAAAAAAAATTTTTTTTATTCCTCCTTTCGCAACACAACTCCCTCGACTTCATTTCCACACCTATAACTCCCTTGAAGCCTGTTATGAAGGATGAACAATAGAACAATGAAAAATCGACCGAGAATGAAACTGAGCGTTTCTTCAGTTCTCCTTTGGTTCATATCTCGTTTTTTCTTTAAATCAGATATTGATATTGAATTGATTTTTGTGGCTGATCTTTACACTTCGCCACTCGTGACTCGTGGTGAGCTTACAACAAGCAAAATAATTGGCCCCCAATACATTCGATATTATTCAAAATAATATAATTACTGACCATATGAGATAATGTATTCAACGAGAAGTAACGACAATGAGTCTAAGGGAGAAGGAGAGAAGGAATGGTTGCAAAGGATAAGAATGCAATGCAGCCTCAAACCTTTTTTTTTTTTTTTTTTTTTTTTTTTTTTAAAAAAAAAACTAATAGCCCCAACCAACCAAGTAATCAAGCATCTCGCCCCCTTATTTTTGTTTACTTTTTTTCAATCAAGCGCTTACAAAATGTGGATGGGCAAAATACATATTCAACACAAAAAGTATCCTTCTAGTTTTTTTTGCTCCGCCAAAAAAAAAAAAAACTTTTTTTCTTCATTTGTAAATTGAAGCAACTTATCTAGTTCAAACATACGACAGAAAAAGGGGTTGGTTGGTTAAAGAGATCTTTTTATGAGTGAATGATGGGTGTCATGGCATGGATCTGCCTCACAGGAAAGCAAGCAAAGACTGAGAGAAGAGCATTGACATTGGTATCACCATGAGACGCACAATGATGACACGTCTTACCAAGAAACTCTGTGCGGGAAAAGAAAAAGTTTTCAGGAATAACATACCTCAGCCAAACCAAATATCCATTGAAAGTTTACATGTATATATATACCTAGTATTGGGTTTTTCCTTCAGGAAAAAAGAAAAGAAAAGAATAACCTGACATCTGACCTTGAATAGCAATCATGTCATCAGGCATGCCTTCTCTCTTTGTACACTCAAACCCTGTGCCTGTTATGATATTTTCTTGTACTCCCAAAAGACTACATCGTGATCCTCCTGCAGGTCCAATTGAATCCAAACTCTTTTTGTATAAAGCAATATATACAAATATAAAAATATACCTCACTATCATTGCCGAAGTGGAGGAGAAAAAAAAAAAAAAAAAAAAAAAACTTCAAGCATCATGGGCTCGTAGTGTTCTCTGTAGCGCAAAGCATGTTCAAGTTTTATGCATATGCATATACACATGCACACACACCCAAAAAAAAAAAAAAAAAATCCTTCGCTTACCCCATCAATCACAACCCACTCATGCGTAGTACTAGCTTGTAGCAAACAAGGCTAAGGCTGAGAGCATAGTTACGACTGGTCCAAGCACCAAGCAGCAAAACACACCAAAACATGCATCCCCAAGGGCGTACAAGGAAACAAAAAATAGGAGTGTCAAGGTCAGACGAAACGTTGTTGATGTTGGTTCTCCTCTTAGTCTTTATGAAATGTGTATGTAGAGTGCCTTATTGTATATATTTATAAATATCCTTCTATCCCTGAACAGTCGTGGCATCAGGGGTTAGTTAGTGAAACCATCATCATCGCTTTTTTCTCTTGATTGTGCGAAAAAAAAAAAAAAAAAAAAAAAAAAGGAATGGGTATGTTTATTTGACCTTCATTTCTTTTTTTGTATTCAAAGAATCAATATGGATAGGCATTGTAAATACTAATTATCAAGGTGTCCAACTCAGAGTCTTCTCAATTGCTTTCTGCCAGAGCCCGTATTGTTCCTCACGTTCTAAGTGATATAGAAGAATAGCGAGTTATAATCTGCCTTGGATGTATTGTTGCATTGGAGAGTGCGAGTCATTTCGATCTGTCTCTGCCTTTCACTCCCTTTCTTCTCTTTTTAGTTTTTGAGTTTTTGCGTGACACAAAAAAAATGCACGTATGCATGCATGCATGGCATGTACACGCAGTCACTCAGTGTATATACTTTCTATAGTCCTTACTTATTCTTTACCTTTTTCTGAAATCTTGGGCGTAAATTTTTGGAGGACCGCTTTCGATTCTTGTTCTTGAGTACGCTCTGTAAAGGCTTTGAAACCTCCTTTCCAAATACCGATATCCAAATGCACTGCCGCCGCTGTGGCTGCACCCAATGCAGTAGTCTCACGCATCTGAGGTCGAGTGACTTCTATGCCAAGGATGTCTGCTTGCAACTGCATGCAGATATCACTGTTTGACAATCCTCCGTCCACTCGAAGGCTCTTGAGAGGTTGTCCAGAATCAGCGTTCATAGCCTCGAGAATCTTATAATAATAAAAAATACCATATATGAGATATGAAGCTTAAGAATACCATCATCAAATCTCATCCTAAGCATTACATCATTTAAACAAATTAAAGAAAAACATTTACAGCGCGGGTTTGGAAACAGGTCGCTTCCAGCGTAGCTCGTGCAAGATGATGCTTTGTGGTATGTTGAGAGATACCAAGGATACAGCCTCGGACATCAGGTCTCCAATAGGGTGCAAATAAGCCTGAAAATGCTGTCACAAAGACAACACCGCCACTATCCTTTGTTGCTCCTGCCAGATTATTGATTTCTTCCGCATCCTTGATAATCCCCATGTTATCACGAAGCCACTTCACAGCAGATCCAGCTACAGCAATGGATCCCTAGGAAGTACAGAAATAGTGGCGTTAGAAAAAAAAAGTTCGTGACTGTTCGTTTAACCATCTTTTACAGAATAAGATTCGTACACGACTATTACCTCAAGTGCATAGGCTGCAGGTTCACCTTCAAACTGATATCCCACAGTTGTCAACAACCCATTGTTGGAAGGAATGATTTTCTCACCAGTGTTGAATACCATAAAGCACCCAGTGCCATAAGTATTCTTAACCTCACCTACATGGAAACAATGTTGTCCCACCAAAGCCGCATGCTGATCTCCCAAGCAACCCGCGATCGGCAAATCTTTGGTTTCTGTCAATTGTGGATGATTGATCTTCCCAAACAGACATGATGAGGGTTTGATCTCTGGTAAAACATTGGCATTGATACCAAAAAACTCCAGAGCTTTGTCGCTCCACTTCAAAGTATGAATATCCATCAACATTGTTCGGCTAGCGTTCGTTACATCTGTGACGTGAACACCGCCATCCACACCTCCAGTAAGGTTCTATATCATCATAAACATTAAAAAAATAAAATAAAATAAAATAAAGTCAGACACCTCAAACTGGGGCCAATCTTTTTTTTTTTTTTTTTTTTTTTGTTTCAAAAAAGGAAGCCTTACATAGATGAGCCAAGAGTCAACAGTGCCGAACATCATATCTCCTTTGTCATGTGCCTCTTTCACTTCAGGAATGTTATCGAGTAACCAACGGAGCTTGACTGCACTGAAGTATGTAGTAAGGGGAAGACCGCAAACATCTCTCAGCGCATCAGCGCCTTTGTCGCTTGAATCGCAGTACTTGCGAACAATGTCCTTTGTTCGAGTATCTGACCACACAATTGCATTATGAAGTGGCTTCCCTGTCTTTCTGTCCCAGACAACGGTTGTTTCTCTCTGGTTAGTAATACCAATGCCTGAAAATATATAAAAAAGAAATTTTTTCTCACAATGTCAATCAAAGCGACAAAACGGTATATATATTTAAGGCATTGGGATGAAGGCGGTTTTACCTTTCAGATGCTTGACGCGATTGCCTTGAAGCTCAAACTTGCGTAGGGCATAGTCAATACATGTAATAACGCTTCCAAGGATATCCATGGGATCTTGTTCAACCCATCTAAAATAGAAAACGTTTATATATCAACATGACTGACCGTAAGGGAAACGTCTCCAGCTTAGAATAAAATAAAATGAAATAAAATAAAGACTTTTATTGCTCGCTTACCCAGGCTGATGAAATATTTGACGGTACTCAAGCTGGTGACCGATGACAAGATCGCCTTTCTCGTCAAAGATTAAAAAGCGCGATGAAGACGTGCCATTGTCAATGGCGCCTACGAATGAGGGCATGTTCAAAGGAAATGAGAAATGTTTTCAAAAAAATAAAATAAAATAAAATAAAAAAAGAACAAAGGCGCAAGTTTGGGTAAAAGGAAAAAAAAAAAAAAAAAAAAAAAAGAGGAAGGTGAAGCTTTTAAAACGTCAATACGCGTTGGGAAAGACTGCAGGAGGAGAGTTTTTCCAATTATCAATGATGAATATGCTAATTGCTCGCTATCACGTGCAAACATGTTCTGGTTACTATCCTTTACTACTCTCTTAAGCACCCAATCATGCGCATATCCGACACGCGCATTTCTTTTTCTTTTTCTTTTTTTTTTTTTTTTTTTTTTTTGCTGTTCTCTGAGTACGATTAAAGAGAGAGATAACTGTATTATTTATTAGTTTTGCTTTTTAGAAACTATATTACATGACATGATCACTGCTTTTTTTTAAAAAAATTTACAGTTGAGTAGCAACCAAAGAAGGATGATTCAGGAACTGCTGCTGTGGGGCCTGATGTGATTGGTTGTGATAAGGGTGATGCCTGCTCATCTCTTCATCCTGATCGTCCAACAAACTAGAAAGAGGAGATGAGGATGCCGTTGTACTCATGGATGGTACTGCAGATGGCACCGAACTCGAAGTCATCATCGTATCAGTCAAAAATCGATGTTGTTGTTGTTGCTGCTGTTGTTGGAAGTGCTGATGTTCTTGTTGGATTTGCTTATGGAGCAACTGTGCTTCTGATAATGCTGGAGAGCCTTGTGAAGGTTGTGTTTGCTGTTGGTATTGGTGTTGGGTTTGCGGTGTAGCATTCGCAAACGCACTCAACGATAGTGCAGCCGCGGCTGCTGCTGCTGAATAACTTGAAAACGGCGATGAATAGCCATCATCGCCATCAAATTGCTGTTGACTTTGTCGATGATGCTGTTGTTGCTGTTGTTGGCTATAGGGATATCCTTCTTGCGGCGTAGAAGAATAAACACCAATAGATGGACATGTTGATGAAGACATTTCTTGTTGAGCAGTTGTAAAGTGGTGTTCTGGTAGGTCCGTTGGACTATGTAGGCCACTGTTGAAATGACCATGTTGCTGCATCAGTTGATGCAAAGGCAACTCCATCTTTGTTAAGTTTGTGGGTGTGGAAGATGTGGACGTAGGTGAAGGGAAGTCGTCATTAGTTACTGTGGTAGTTGTATCCACATTGCAGCTGGTATGGAGTTGATTCAACTGGTTGTTTAGCGACATTCCAGATAGACTCATGCTCATGTTGAGGTGAGTAGCTAATGCTGCGTGGTGGTGCTGCTGTAGTTGATGCTGCTGCTGATGGTGATTTTGCTGATGATGACGGTAGTGATGGTGCGGTTGTTGCTGGTGATGTTGAGGTTGAGTGTATTGCATATGATTACTTCCCAAGAAGCTGGAGCCGGTATGACTCATGATGGGTGAGATGGGAGAGAGTGTGCCATTCTGTTCATTTTTCATGATATCATGCAAAGTTGAGGCTGTATTGTTATCATTGCAGACCATTGGCGCAGAGAAGTTAGTGTTGCAGGTGAGTGGCAATTGCTGTGTATGCGAATGTTGAGCGTGGTGTTGGATGTGATGATAAGATTGGGACTGGGATTGGGCCTGTGGCTGTGATTGTGATTGTGGCTGTGGTGAAGGGGCGCTAGAATATTCAAATTCGTTCAAGATTGGGCGCTTGTTCTTGCTGTACTTACGAACACCCAAACAAGTCTGACAGTTCTTTGTGAATAGTGAAACCAGTTCTGCAGGGACCTTCGAGTACGATTTTGTGATCTAAATTGAAAGTTAAGAAATCCAAGGTCAGATTCGTTGTGGAGACGGAAAATAAAGTAAAAATAAAAAAAAGGTTCATAAATCAATGATGACGTATAAGGGTGCATTCCTGCAAAATTAAAAGGAGGAGAGAGAGGAATGAGTGTGGGAGGCAAAAGATCCCACGAGAGGTATGAGGTATGCTCTGCTATATTGCCACGGGAGGTGAGGCCTGCTGTCCCTCATTATGCACAGACGCCCGATTTTTAAACGCGTTGCTTTTTTTTTTTCGTGTCCCTTATTTACAAAAATGGTAAGACGCTCTCTTTAGTGAGAAATGATTGGCCCGAATAGCTATACTTTTATGCTCATGACAGTACATGATTCTCAACAATTTCTGACGATGTTGATCTTGTTTTTTTCCGCATTATAAACAATCTGTCCTGTATTCCTGATCCCTTCAAGTCTGATCATTCATAAAAAGAAACAAGGTTTACCATCGCAAAAAAAAAGGGGGGGAGGAAAGAGGGGAGAGAGAAAGAGGAGGCTGTAGGCAATCATTTTCCTTTCCGCATTAATTTCCGTCCAATAATCAAATAGTGTAGGGCAAATAAAATAGAAAAAAAAAAAAAAAAAAAAAAAGGTATTCTGTACATGTTTACTAAAAAAAAAACTTACTGCTGCGAAAGTTTTGTCACGGCCTCCGTGTCCAATGATATGATGGAAATAACAAACTTTGTCGTATAGCTGTTCGCGTACACACACTGGTTTCCCATTCTTCTTGTCCATCAAGATCCTTAGCTCACCCACGACTGTGAACACAAAATGCTTGCGAACCCACCATCGAAATTTGGGATTAAAGATCGCAGTGTTCTCGGGGTTGGTTAGGACCATTAGACAATCATTAGCTAATTGCTGATTGATCAAGGCCTTGTTGCGTTTACGGACATGAAGTTGGCTAATGTATCCTTCTACAAGGGTTTCAAAAGTTTCGGGGCTCAAGAAAGAATATGCTTGAGGGATATAGATGCCTCCAGCCGCTGCAGGGACATTAGCGAGTGCAGCGGCGGCGGCGGCTGGGGATGATGATATTGCTGGCGTCATTGTATTGCTTGGTGCCATTCTATAATGCTGCGTGTTTGTACGTTGCAGGGCAGAGAGGGGAGGGGGTAGTAAGATGTAAGGGCTCGCGATGGGGTTGAGGTTGAAGATTGAAAAGCAGCACCAACTAATCCGTTACTTGGTGTAGATCAGCTTCAAGGGAGGAAGAAGAAAAAGTGGCGAGAAAAACGATGGGCTTTTGGAGACCCTGGTGTGGAAAGTAGCGTTGGGAATATTGGATAGAAGGCAATTTGTAGAAAATGATTAAAGAAAGAGAGGAATAAAAGGCAAGATCGGTTGTCGGAATGGATAAAGAAAGATCAGCGTGCTATCTATAGTATACTTCTGTAACAACAAAAGATTGATACGATAGGCGTGGATGAGGGGCGTAAGAAGAGTGAATAATGAAAAACAAAGGGTAAAAAGTGAGGAGGGTTGAGGAAATTCCAATCTTTATATTCCTTTTTTTTTTTCACTTCCCTTTTACGGGAAGAATGATTGATAAAAGCATAGCGCTAAGCAGGGACAAGGGGAAAGGATATTGTATCTAATCAAAGTAATCAAAGTGAGAGAGATCGTGAGACGGGAGAGTAAGTGTCAGAGCAAAGCATCCTACCCTTTTTCCTATTTTGTCTTATTTCTTATTGTCGAACAATGTGGGTTAGTCAAGCTGCAGAGATTGATCCCCATTTTTAGATCTTCTGTAAAGGAGATATGAATAGGACGAAAATGAGCAAAGGAAGAGTGGGAGAAAGGAAAGCGCCGACTGGAATGTGGAATCTTTTTTCCTTCATGTAAGTCACTTAGAAGGGAAATATACTGTCGTCCAATTACTGAATCGTAGAGGAATGTAACCTGTTGTTGTACGGACAAAGTTGATTTTAGGCGCAATTCTTGTAGCGATAGTTTCCAAATGTATAAATATATATAAATCATCACTGCTCATTGCTACATATGCCTATTGCCCGTTGTCTCTTCGATACCCTGTTCACCTTCAATGTTGATCTATTGATGAAATTTATCCATACTTTATTTATCCCACATGCCGGACTCTTGGAAATAAATATAAATAAATATGTCTTGAGTCTGCATCTAGCATATCATAGAACAAAATGTCGAAAAAAAAAAAAAAAAAAAAAAAAAAGAGAAGCTATTTTTTAGAAGAGCAAGAAAATGATGAAGCTTTGTGTGTGGGGAGGAGAGGAGGTGGCAATCATGCATATCCACAGCCATGAGCAGCACACTTTTTATTTCCCCTATTCTATGTAGTTGACTCACGCACGGTTCATGTCCCAGTCGGACTGAAGCCCTCTTTTGTCAATCTCTTCTATGCTTAATGTAGGAATTCTTTTGTATTGCATGTATAATGATGTCTAATTTTGTAGTAATGGAAAGAAATACGCTATTCTTGCCCAGCCTCTCTCTTCGCTCTTTCCATGGCTATATAAATGATGATCTAGTGTCACTGATCTGTAGCTTTAATCTGAGTAAAACGCGTTACTGTCCATGGGAGAAGCTTCTATTCTTGACATTACATATGAGCTGTGGTTTTTAAACACTGTTTGTTTGGACATTTGGACTTCAATATGAAAGTTTCCCGTAAATCATGAGGCCGATAGTTTGCGGAAAATAACAAAGTGAATGTTCTTTTCTCCTTCTCCCCCTCTACCTTTGCCTTTGCTATCCTATTGTCCTCTCGCACGTCCCTCTGATGTTTATTCTTGCGCAGGGCACGGAGGCAAGGAGTGAGCAAATAGAATGAAAAAAGACAGGAGGATCAAGGAGGAGTGGGGAGCAGATGAAAGAGAAAGACATGTAGATAATGTAAATCACTTTTGATTGATACCATATGCGCTCAATTGTTTTTTTTCTTTCCTTCTATTTTGTCTTTCTTTGTTGGCATGGAATTTCCGATAAGATGGGTATCCAACCTTGTCCTGCGAGTTAAAAGAAAAAAGGACTGATGTATTTCTTCTTGTTGCGGCAAAAAACAATATGACCTATAATTGGAGGGAGGATGACTGATCGGCTATTCAGAAGTGTCGAAAGAGTTTTTTTTAGATGATAGATTGAGCTACTCATAAACACACACAAAAAAAGGAGAGTAACAAAGAAAGAAGCTATGCATGAGTGCTAGCCTCTCGACCACATCCACATTCACAACAAAAAAACGCGTAATACATTGAAGTTTATTCTGCTAACCTTGCATGGAAAATAACATTACCACAGAAAACATGAGTGATCAAGACTTCACTGCGAAGGAAAAGAGGAGAGGAAAAAAAAAAAATTCTGTAACCTTTTTTTTCTTTGTTTTCATCTGCTTTCTTTTGTAATTCCAGAAGAAGCGACAGCCTTGATCACAGTACTCCCCCGTCTGTTTCTCTCTTCCGCTCTCTTTTAGCTCTATTCTCATGAGGCACCATCGCAATATGACCTGGGTAACTGGTTTTGCGATAGCTAGCAAAGTAGCAGACAAACTAAATGAGGAACCTTTATCTCACCAGCGAAATATTACCCTTATTGCAAAGCTATTATTCGCCTTTTAGTCCTCTTCTTCAATGATATCTGAATAGACGGTACGAAATACATTTCTTTGCTACAGGACAGTATCAAATCACCAATGAACTTTTCATTGTTTATAAAGAAATACAGGAAAAAGCATAGATTATATTTTGAAGCAGCAAACACATGCCCCCTTTGGTTAAGAGCATAAAAAGACCAACCATCTGATCTGCCTTTCCCTTTCTTGCTCCAGGTTGACACGAGGAAAGAAAAGGAGACAAGTGTCCAAACAAACACATTACCGCATTCTAGGTCTACAAATTTTGTCATATCCCTCCCTCTCCCCTGCCTCATGTTTCGTCTCCCCTTGGTTGCGTAGCACGTATTTCAATAAAAGCTATGTCTCACACCAAGTTCATTACCCTAATAATCCCCATGCCTCTCTCTCTCCTGCTCTTGCCTCCTTTTGGGTGAATGCATTCATCTTTTTATCTTTTTCTGTACGACTGGGGATCAAAACCAAAGATATTGCCAATGGTAGCTGATGTGCAAGAGATAAAAATCTACTGGATGCATTTTTTTTTACTCCCTGTTACGTTGATCATGGGCGACATATGACTGCCTACCGTGCATTCTCAGGTGACTTTTTAGTCCTTTCCTCATGAATGAGAAATTATTATTGTTTTGGTGCGAGTACATCTTGAATGTCCCAAACACGGATTTCCTTTTCTTGACACGTATTGAAAAGGAACCATCGCCGTGGACGTTGAGATATTGAGGCGAGAACACAAGAATGAAACATGGAATGAGACGCGTCAAAAAGAGTAACCAATGAGATCACAGGATTTCCTGATTTGACACTTTGCCACCCGTAAACAAGAACTAAAGAGCAGGGGAGCGGACAACTATAAACATGGAAAGGGAAATGAAGAAGTAAAAAGGATGGAGCATGGAGCATGGAGCATGGAGCATGGAGCATGGGGCGTGAGGCATGGAAAGGGAATATTGAAGGGCTTTTTTTTTTTTTTTTGGCAGATACCATGGATGCAGGTCCGAGGATGAAGGAGCTCCTGATAATTCTGGTAGACTTTAGCATTTGGTCCCAAGATGTACCATGATACCATGATTTACCGTGCATCTGGACAGAGTGTGATAACGTGGGAAGGCCGTTTTCCCTGGCACAACGGATTCCTGTCTGCATTCTCTTCCCAATGGTTGCACACACATATCGCATCGCATTGACATTCAACGCTTTGTCGCTTTTTCCCTTTTCTTCCCATCTCTATCCCCATCACAGCTCTCTTTCTCACATTCTCATACTCATAATACCCATCTCCTGTCATCATCATTTCTCACTTATCTGTGCTCATTCTTAAACCTCACTTTTTTTATTACTTGAAGGCTCATCTCTCCTTCCAGCTTATACCCACATCTACTCGCGTTGAAACTATAGTTCGCTAGCCATCTCTTGAATTGCACATTACCTCCTTCATATTAGTTCCATCTAATTTTTTACTCACTTTCATCTCCTTTGATTCCTTTTAATATCTCTTTTCGTTTGAAGGACTCAAACCAAAACAGAAAGAAGAAAAAAAATAAAAAAAATAAAAAAAAATAAAAAAAAAATAAAAAGAGAGAGAGAGAGAGAGAGACAGATCATGAACGCTGTGCGGGCACCGTCAAGGAATTCAAACACCAGCGACACCAGCTCCACCCAATCACAATCGAATGCTCATGCACATTCAAATTCAATAATACAGCCAAGGAAGGCGAAAGTGGCCTCAATGGCCCAAATAGACATTTCTTCCCTGTCACTTTCTGCGAACATCTCAACTCCAGTTTTGCCTCCACACTCTCGTACGACCACTCGACAACAACAACAGCAGCAACAGCAGCAACAGTCTCGTTCTAAGGTACATTCGTCTAGCTCTGTATCAAATACCCATCCACTGAAAAATAATAACAACAGCAGCAATAGTAATCAAGTTCACGTCCGAGCCAATAAGGGCGAAAACAGCAATAACACTCTTGGGATTAATGGTGGTCATAATGTTGTCAGACGGATGGTTTCTGCGTCAGCTAGTTTAGGCATTGGAGTAGGAGCAGGACGACCAGGAAGCATAATACGTCGAGGGGGCTCTGTCACGTCTTCAGATGACGGTACAGTCTCAGAGGACTCTGTTGAAGACTATATCCAACTCTTTTCAGGAGCTGGAGCTGCAGGAGGTGGCCTCCATGTGACTAGTTTACCGTTCACATCTGCTCGGCAGCAAAGAACAGAACCTAAACCCATTAGTGGCCCAAAATTTACGTCTGATGGTGCAGGAAGAATGAAAACCCCAACAGTGCCAACTGGAGGACCATCCGTCAGACCAATACGAATAGCAGCAGGGGCTTCCATCAGAATTGATACTGACTCTTCCACTTCTTCATCATCAGGACATACACCAATACCATATTTCCTCTCAGGATCACAACCACTGAACGTGACAGGGACAGGCGCAAGCATAGGTGGGCATACAAGTATTGAGGGAGGAAATGGAGGGTCAGCTGTAGGGTTGTTGTCCACTTCTGTCTCTTCCTCAACCTCCTCATCTTCTTCATCTCTGTCATGGGTCAGCAGCCCGTCATCCAAAAGGAATAGTGGGAGTGGTGTAAATGGTAGTGTCGGATCCCCTTCCTCTTCTATTCCTACTGACGATTCAGGATATGGGACTTCAAATCTTTCCATCTCTTCGCCCACTACGACTTCATTTCCTTTTAATGCTCCCCAGCCTACTCTTCGTGCTATCAAATCTGCTAGTAGCGGTCTGTCAACAGCCGCGACTGCCGCTGCAGCAGCAAAGCAAGCAGAGGAAAATCGCCAGTCAGAAGAAGCTGCCCGTATACGTCGAAAGGTTGCAGATCTTGAGATCTCGAATACATCGCTACTACAGATCAACCAAACATTAGAGGCTACGGTTCGTAAACAGGCTGCCAAGCTTCAAGAGCTCGAAATGCGAATACAGTCGTAAGCGGATTTGCTCTTATATTCTTACGTCGTTATATATACTTATATCAACGAGCCTCTTCCAACTTTCTAATATATATGTATATTTTATGTCTGATAGAACGCAGTTTGGTGGCGACTTGAGTATGTTGGCGGCAACAGATATTGCACAGGACTCCAATATTAGTCCAGACAATGCTAGTGTGACGACGATGGCGACGGCGATGGCGATGACAACGTCGACGACGACAACGCCGACGCCAAAGCCAACGACGAGACCAACGTCATTAGTAGACCCTGAGGCTGCTATCATAATTCATGAGATGACAGAGGCAGACCGACAGGCCGATTTGACATTCAAACGAGTCTGTATGGCGATCGATCAGATGATTTTTGAAGCTAAGCAGGCTCTTGACCAATCTATGAAGCCTGCAGGAATGAAGGTCTTGTCATCGTTCGAAATGTGTAAGTTTTTTATGTCTGATTGCTGAATCACGATTATTATTATTGTTTTTTATTATTTTTTTAACAATCCTAACCAAGAATTCTTATTTTAGACGAAGATGATTTGGATGCTGCAGAACAATCCTTTGTGGACAATGAGGATGACGATGATTATGGGTATGATGATGAAGACGATGACTTTAGGATGGCCAACTTGTCTGTACAAGATGGTAACGATAGTGATATTGATTGATAGTCTTTTCCAAGATCATTTTTACTGTGCTGTATGTATATAAACAAAGAAAATCAAGTTTTACTCTCCCCTGTCCACATTTTTCATTATTCATGCAAAAATAAAATAAAAAACTAGCATCCTTCTCCACACACACACACTCTCTCTATCTTGGACATGAACAATGATATCATTTTTATTTTGAGGAATGATGGATGTATCCATCATTTTTTTTTTTTTTTTTTTTTTTAATGCTCAACATTGATAAAAAAAAAAATTTCTTCAAACGCTTTAGTTTATTTTTTTGAGAAAGCTAGTAATACAAGGGATATCTGGTTTTTTTTTTTTTTTTGTTTTCTTGTTTTTTTTTTTTTTTTTTTTTTTTTTGTTTCTGTTCTTAATGTTGCTAAGGATGACTACGAGGAAAGTAATAATAATAATAAATACAAAAAAGAAAAGAAAAAAAGAAAGAAAGTTGTGAGGGTGGTATACAAGTCTGTTCTATAAAAATAAGGTGGGGATTAAGGGAGGAAAGAGGGAAAAGAGAGAGGAATGAAGATTAGGGACCCTAATCAATGAGGGTATAGATATAGCCATGGGTACTGCGCTGGCCTGCCAGGACTTGGCATCATCGGACACAAGACCTCAAGTTAGCCGAGGCCTTCTGAGTCGCTGGTGGTGTTAACCATGGTGAACAGCTATAGACACCCTTCATCCTCATCATTGCTGCCTTGCTGCTGCTGCTGCTACTGTTGTTGTTGTTGTTGTTGTTGTTAATATGAGTTCATCGACGACCAAGGATAGTTCATTTGCTCCTCCTTAGCTATTGGAGACGACAAGGACAGGGACTGGAACTCGCACTCGGTTGTTGGCGTGTTGACAATTGTCTGTTGATGCTGCTGCTGTGCCAACAAAACATTGAGCTGCTGCTGTTGTTGTTGAGGCGAAAGCGCACCTGTAGAAATGGGGGTGCCAGCAGAAGCAGAATCAATGCCGAGGCGGTTACGCAAGACATGGCAACGGTTCTCGAGGATATTCAAAAACTCGTGCATCTGGACGGGTCGCATGTGGTCAACCAACACTTGGAAACGCACATCGTCAAAGATGAGTGACTTGCGGCCATTGGAGGGAGTTGTATTTGATGATGGCTCTTGAGAATCCTCTCCACCATTGAAGGGAGGAGAGGAATTAGCGCTAGCGGGTGGCTTAGAGATGGATACCGTAGTGGTGGTCATGTTATCAACGGTGGAGCCGCTCAATCCACCAGCCAAGGCGGTGGGAGGCAAAGAGTAGGGAACCATGCCATGAGGCATCGAGGGGACTGTGGATCCGTTCATGGGCGAGCAGAGAGTGCTGGTGGGAGAGAAGGGACCACCATCGCACATCAAAAGAGGTGACTCGTTCACACTATTGATGTCATCGCCGAGGTAGCCAGTGGTAGAATAGTTACCAAAGGCAGAAGCATCTTGGCAGGAAGCCTGGGCACTCAATTGGCCCATCATCATGGGGTTCTGCATCTCACCCATGGAATTGTATGACTGCCATTCAATTGACTGGTTATCATTATGAGTTCCAACCATGCTCATATAAGGCTCTGTGTTAATGGGACCAGTGAATGAGCGAGTCTGGCGATGGCGTGACGTCTTCTGGCCCTTGCCGTTACCGTTGCTGTTGCTACGCTTAACTCGGGCCTGATCGGATTTGAAGGTCAGGGACCCAGACTTGATTGTCCCATCTTCATTGCCCTCGATGCCGGACTCTTGTTGAGACTCTCCGTCTTGCTCAGTTTGATCCTGAGGGCAGATACCACCGTTAGTCTTTTCAGCTGTGGGCTCGGCTGTAATAGAATCATTACTATTGTTGGTGTTGGTGTTGGTGCTAGGAGAGGAAGCAGGCTCCAATTCATCACCTTTGAAGCTCTCAGTCGGTGACATGACAGGCGAAACTGAACCAGGGGAAGCAACTTGATCTTTCTTTTGAGTGGCACCAGTGTTATTATTGGGTGTCAGGGTATAGGGTGAGGCATTTTCGCGTTGTTGACTTTGGTTCACTGAAGGCTTGTGGCGGATATGGAGAGGGCGGTGGCCATTATACTGCTTGTAGTACAAACCACAAGCGTTGCACAATGAATGCTTGCGATCGAGTGTACGACGCCACAGGGGTGTCTGTGTCACCTTGCAATTGTAACATTCCAGAGCCCGAGGGGGTCGAGTGCTTGCCTTCTTGGCCTTGGTGGCCTTGGCGCTTGGCTTCTGCAAAGCTGCAGTCAAAGACCAGACTTGAGGGATGCTGTTGCCTTGGAATTGTGGGACACTGACGCCGTTGACATCAGGGCTAGGAGTCGTTCCTGTGGGGACTGTCAGGGCCAGGCTAGGATCATCCATAGGACGGAAGTTCTCGGCCATCATTTGGCTGTGAGACATATCACTCATCATGACATACTCACCAAAGGGGTCCTCATCATTCAATGGCGCAGAGAGATGCTGTTGGGGGCGATAATGTTGCTGTGGATGATGTTGTTGGAACTGTGGATGGAGCAGCATTTGATGATGGTATTGCTGTTGGTGCTGAATATGTTGCATTTGGGCTTGGTCTTGCTGCTGTTGCTGTTGGGAGTCGCTCGATAAAGCCTGGTGAGTATGTGGCGATGCTGTCGAGGTCTGTTCCCATGAGCTGTGGGGGGAGGAAAAGAACGAAATAGCAGACCCCCGTTGTGAGGACTGTTGCTGTTGCTGAAGTGGCGTGGAGGACGATTGCTGTTGAAGATGAGAATGAGGGTGAAGTGAAGAGGATTGTTGGTGTGAAAAGATACCACCGAGGCCACGGACTTCTAATAGTAAGCCAAGAGCATTTAAAGTAAAAGACAATCTGGGTTAGTATCATTCTCTCTTCTTTTTTTTTTTTGAGTGCATGCATCACATTGGGATATTGACAATGCAACAGCTGTTTGGCTAACATTCGCTGGGGAGGAGGGGAAAAAAAGGGGGGGAGCGGGGGGATAGAGAGAGAGAGCAGCAAACACACAAGATTTCTACGCTGATGCATTCATGCATACAAAGAACCAACAGGGACAGAGGTGGTTCCTCTGTTGAATTTGGTCATCTGTAGATGCATGCAAGTTGTTATGAGCATGAGCGAGCCATCAGGAGATTAGAAAAGGGAACCAAAATCACTAGGCAGTTGGGCAGAAAAAAAAAAAAAAAAAAAAAAAAAAAGAGAACACATGCATACAAGAATAACGATCAAGTTTTCGTTGGACTGAAATGAATACACGAAAGAAAGCGCGGGTTATCTGATGAAGGGACATGACCAAACACTCGTATGAACAAATGTAGAGGAAGGGGGTGGGAAACACATAAAGTTTTTTGGGTGTCACAATGATCAAAAGCATATGTCGGGTCAACCAAAACCCACGTTAAGGAAGGTTTAAATTGCAGGACATACTGATTAAGGTGAATGATTTGGAAACTCAATTGAGAATGTTTGTCGAGAAGGAGAGAGTTTGTGAAAGTATGAACGGGTGGTTACGTCGGCAAAAAATAAAAAATAAAAAAATAACGATAACTCAAAAATGGCCGAAGATGTAGAGAGATAAAGGAGAAGAGTATAAGGCTAAATACAGAAAGGAGATGGAGAAGGACGAAGAGGAAGAGAGAGGATAAAAGTTGAACGAGTGAACGCGTTGGGCGATTGAGAAAATACTGGCCCAATATATAGATGTTCGTCCTCACTTATATTTTTTTTCCCATCATATTGTTCATCTCCAAAAAAACATAACGTACAAATGTACACAAAAACGCTCCCGACATGTGTTCGGGGCTTTGTTGATTGCACATGCAATTGATCACCAGAGGGGTATGGAATGGGGGGTAATGAGGAGAAGGATCGTATGCACAACGATAACACAAACGTAAGAGCTGTATGTCTGTCTATTCAAAGGAGGATGTGACATGACGGCACCAAGCCTGTGCCCCGAGCTGACAAAGTAACACAGTTTGGGGAAGGTCTAGTGAGCTCGTGAGAGCGCGTGAACGAGGCGGGAAAAAATAGATGGATGCAATGTGCGGTGCGGTGCTCATCCCCTAATCCATTTCCAAAAAAGAAAGAGAACAACACCACAGGACGGGTAGCTCTTACATGCACGAACATACATAAGGGTACACAAGCTTACGAGGTAAGCAATAAGCAATGTCGATGGGATGATAAAGAATGGTCATTGCGCCTCTCTATGGGTGTTTTTTTTTTTAAATCCGCTACTGCTTGTGTACCCCCCAAGCTGTATATGTTGTGTTCACCTCGGGAGAAGACTGAAGAAATAGAGGGGAAGGTCGACACGTCCACAAACAACAAAAAGAGTGAAAAGGGAAGAGAGAGGAATGATGCGCGGTATTTGCCGAAACTGTGTAATACAAGAAGCATTCATTTGTCGCATATAAAACACGCGTCGGAATTGATTGTATAACCCAAAGGTACAACCCACCTTCAAACCCACATAAAGCTCACATTTCAATGTGCGTGAGTGTGTTTGTATGTATCGTGTGTGTTATTGCCCAAAAAGATCAACCCAAAAGGTAGAAGGGAGAAGAGGGGAAGGAAACATGCAATCAAGTAACACAAAAAAAAAAATAGTACAAGTTCCGACACAAAAACCCAAACATGTTGAGGCCCTCGCGACAACTGCGTGTTTTTTTTTTTGTTTGTTTGTTTGCAGGAGAAGGAGGAATTGGTAGCGTGCTGATCATGAATCCAAGCGCTTGACACATACCTGCTGTTGTGAACGCATAATTCTTGTTGAGACTACTTTCTGCTGTGGCCATCTCACGAGCTGCCATGCTTTGCATAAGCAAGTTGCGCGACTGACTCAGCATTTCTTGTTGGATAAGCTGTTCAGGAGTGGGCTGCTCGAAACCGATGGCTGGGAATTCCGCACGGGAAGGCCATGCAACTGCTGCTGCCGTTGTAGCGGCTGCTACTGAGGGGTCCATCTGACCAAGCTTGGTCGTGTGATCTTGAGCAATTGAGGCGGCTGTACCTGCATTAGATGTGGTCGGCTCAGGTACTACAACTACACCTGTAGTTGTGGAACCGAGGCTTGGGCTCAGAGTGGATACGGATGATTCCATGGCGACTTGCATTTATAAAAATAATCTTTTTTTGGAATAATATGTCAAGGTTAAAGCAGATGAGATGAGATCGAGATAGAAAGACGCGTTAATACAAAAAATTATAATCGATGTTTAAAGTCCTTGAACCATAAAAAGTCGAAAAGTAACATTTTGATGCAGAAGAGGATTCAGTGCTCACTCTTTCACATCTTTCACTTTCAATTAACCCCCTTCTCACTGCCATAAAGCTGTAAAGCTGCAGAAGACAAGAGCTGTGGATAGGAATAGAAAGGGAAAGGGGGGGACCTTATCCAGCAGAAGGATCGCTGCTGGACAGTTTTGTCTTTTAATCCACTCCTAATAGAACACTGCAAGGAGTGTGAAGAAAGGAAATAATGTGTCGGAATTTTCATCTTAAAATGAAAGAACCCCTGTCGGCCACTGAAAATAAAACAAAAAAGGAAAGCCACAATAGAGAAAGTCAAGTTGGATAGCGCTCGATTGTATTTGTTGTATGCAATGTGCATTTAAATGTGAGTATGCAAGTATGCATATGGGAGAGAAAGCAGGGAGGCGAAGACGCGATGGGCAAGTAGAGTTGTATGCGCATAGAAAGGAATCATTAATGGGTAGAGAATATAATCAAAACAAACATAACCCCTACGAAACACATCGTGGTGGTTGTGGCGGTTTTTTCTTTTTTCTCCCCCTTCAAACGGTAAACAATTCGAATCAAATGATCCGAATGCAAACAGTAATAACCATTGAGGAAAATAAAATAAAATAAAATAAAATAAAAGTGTCGGATGTTCGTGTCATTTGCAATTACAGATAATAAGGAATACAAAAAAGGCGGGATATAAATGTGGCCCACGAGAGTTTTGGACTCCATGCAAAGCCATGCAAATAAAGCAGCACGCGAGGAGATTTTTTTAGGTGGGCAGTGTGAGAGCATGCAATTATGGATCAGCAACTAAAAGCCTGCTCTTTTTTTTTTTTTTTTTTTTTTACCTTTGTATATAAGTAGTTGTAAAATTATTTCAAATAAACAGTGTGTTAAAGTAGATTGTGATATGAAGATTTGACAAGAAAAAGGATATCGAAGGATGCTGGAATTGAATATTCGACAGACAAGAAAAATAAAGAATAAAAAAAGAGGGCTAAAAGGACGACAGAAAGGGTATAGGTGTCACTTTTAGATGAAGTAAACTATGTTGGCTGGATGTGATCAAAGAAACAGGCCAAAGGATATAAAATATGCCTTAGAGTTGATGAAAGGCTGAAGTGGAGAAGTAAAGCTGTGCGAACGAGTAGTGATGGTTGCGCCGTGAGATTTTGCTGTGCGGGTTTCAAATGAAATAGACTATGGCGCGTAAGGAGAAAAACGTGGAGGAAGAATAGAGTGAAGAGAAATGACGGTGAGTGAACCAAAAAGATCAAAAGTAAAAAAGAAAAAAGAAAAGAAAAAGGTAAAAAAAAGTGGGAACTGCGATATTTTCCGTCAGCTTTATATATGTATTAGGGACAAGGATGGTTTTGCTTTAATTTGTATTGCCATTCTATAACTAAAATATATTTGAATAGCCAGGTTCCTATGGATTAGCAATACAGTCAATGTCTATGCAGCATATGTGCCCGTGGACATTGCTGTTCTCATACACATTATATATCGGCCCCTCTTTTTTTATTTTACTATATAATTTCTTTATTCTATTTGCTTGATGTATTAGATTTGAATAAGTCCTATACTATTGTTAAATAAACAGTTGCTCTTGTATTGAACATTGACCATTCAATGTGCAGTGCTCTATTCAAAGCATTCAAAACGAACTCATTGTCCCTTGTTGATGTTTGTGCAACCATGGTCATTTTTAAATGTCTTATAAATATAAATATATATACAATTGCTTACTTTAACACTCTTAACTCTATGCTAATTGAATAAATAAGGATTAGAATAAAAACAATATTTGCCCTCAACTCAATATGTTTTCAATTCATTGAACAACTCCTCTTTGCTTATTGAGCATGCTCAACACAACAACAAACAACAACAGTAAGCTCTGCTAAACAATTATGTTTATATTTTTACTTCAACTCATACACATACACACACCAAAAGAAAAAAAAATGCATGGACACACACAGCGCGCAAAAAAAAAAAAAAAAAAAAAAAAAATTAGGAGGAGGGCCAGGGCTTTCATTCTCCATCATCCTCAATTTGTATGTGGTCAGGGTATATCTCCTCTTTCTGAGCTATTGACATTGGGTTGAATATCTGCCTTTATTTTCCTGCAACCAAGATGAATGACAATGATTTTGCTTGAATATGTCATTCATTATTCATGAATCAAACTAATGACGGATGAATTATGTCCTGCAAATTGTACACGTAAGGATTTAAGGCATGCAAATCGCTTGCACCCTCTCCTTTTTTTTTTATTTTATTTTATGTTATTTTTTATTTTTATTTTTTGCTAGAAAAGCCAGAAAAGAATCCCACAATGTATATCTGTAATGGAGCATTGAGCAAGAGGAGAAAAAGAAATCTCCGCACCCCATAAATTTTTCCTCGTATCTTTTCGCGCCTAATGTGTGCATGGAGGCAGCGTCGACTATGTAGACGAATTGAAAGTGACATGGGTTAAGGAGAGAGGTAATAGCGGTACGCACCACCTATTCGTCCTCGTATTCCGTCCACTATATATCCTCTTTTTTTTTTTTTTGTCGCCCCATCATCATCATCTTCCCCACCCTCACCTCAGGTTCGGCTTAGTCACGATTGCTATGCCAGACAGCCGACGGTATTTAAAAATTAAAGGGCCGGACAGCCGATTAACCTTACCTAGCATTGGATATGAGCTGCAACCTTCCATAGCAAACTTCTAAAAAGACCATCATAACAAGCCTGGAACCCTTCTGTAGTAGACTATAGCTTTTTTTTATTATTATTATTATTATTTTTTTTTCTCAAGATACCCTATGGCGTAGTGGTGGATATAATAGGTTTACCCTTTTTTTTTTTTTTTTTTTTTTTTTCCTTCAAAGGAAAACTTAGGGTGCTCAAATTTAATTGATCGCTCAAAAAAATTTTTTTTTGGAAAATGTAAACATGTTTCCTCGGTTTCCCTTGAGTGTTGTTTGTGTTGCGGTTTTGGTGGAATAATCATATCAGATGGTCCCTTACGGTCCTCATGTTTTTTTTTTTCCTCTATATCATCCAATAATATTCTAGTGTCTGGGCGCATTCCTCTTCTACGCACTTCAACAGGAACACTTGGGCATTTTGAGTAGTATTTATCCAACCAACCATTGAACATGATTTATTCTAATAGATGGCCACATGCTATATGTATAAATGGCAGTCTTTTTTTTCCCCCTGTCGTTCATGTAGACTAGAACGCCTAAACTTTTGTACTGCATTTGGTGTGTTTATATGAATATGCATAGTATGGCGACATTGCAAAAAAAGAAGGATCTGACAAGTTGGTCAGGCGAGGACGATGAGGTACGTGAGTTGAAAGTTGGTAAGGAAATTAGATTGGCATAGCCGTACATTTTTTTTTACATTTTGAGCAAGACCGAAAAAAAAAAAAAAAAAAAAAAAAAAAAAGATCAGATATACAAGCGCGTGTGTACAAGCTTAGCTTAATGACTAATTGACACGTCAACGCCACGCGCAAACACACCCATTAACATACACACTCACATACAAAATACAAAAACGCAGACTCATGCGCCCATGTGCTTTTCTCGGAAACTTCGCGACTAATTTGTCAATAATGTCGATGTGATTGATGTTGTTTACTCGGTCTTCTTTTTCCATCTTGAATGGAATGCATAATAGTCATCACTCTTTTTTCTCGTTTTAAAAAACAAAGAAAAGTAAGAAAAAAAAAAAAAAAAAACATACCACTTTAGGTACAATCTGATATGCAATGATCGGAAATGATTGTGTTTTTTTTTGTGTCTGATACCGCTCTGCCAAGCGTATCAAAGAGAAGAGCGAGAGATTCGAGATCCGCCTGGTCATGAAAAAATAAAGAATATGCGTTGTTGTAATTAATATATAATACTGTGGTGTTTTGGCCACGCTATGCTGCTCCTTGAGTTACCCATCTCTGCGATACAAAAAAAAAAAAAAAAGACTAAGGGGTTAATGAGTGAACCGATATTAATAAAGTTCTGGATCTCTCTTTTTTTTTTTTTTTTTTTTTTTTCGTCGCCGTTTGTATGGATATGTTTGGTTAATGCAGGCGCAAGAAGAAAGGAAGAGAAAAAAGAGATGCATGTTTATTATCGTCATTAGAGGAGAAAGCATAAATTAACCTTCGTACAAATCTCATGAATGGACCATGTTGGATGAGTAAGACTCGGAGCGAACACTCCTGATTTGGACATAGGGATGAAGAAATCCCTCGTATTTCATTGTTTTCTGTGTTTTGTACTCCATCTTATAAAAGTTTGTGTCAATGCTTGCATGCTTGTATGGTCAAACGTTTCTTTTAGCCAAACTAAGAGAAAAGGGAGGGGCAAGAGTCGATGACATCTGTTCCCCTGCCCGAGATCTGCAAGAGCTGCCTCTCCATCTGATAACACAAAGGTCCGATGGTAGGCTTTAGAAAAAGATACTTTGAGATTGCTACATGTATAGAGATATACTCTATATTATTTTCTGTGACGAGTAAGATCGCGAAACATAGTGTAAAAAAAAAAAAAAAAAATAGGCGGGCGTAAGGCTATTAGTGTTGTTGTTGGTGATGGTTTCAACCGACGCGACACAGAAACCTTGGTCTTGTGGTCTCGGTCCACACCTTCCTTTCAAGGATGGTCTCATTTTTAGGATTCTTTCTCCTTTCTTAATGCTCGCACATGGAGGACACATGAACTAGATCCGGATCTGGAAGCTATAGTGAGGAAAGAAAACTGCATCCATAGATGACCTTTTATTATTATTATTATTATTATTATTATTATTATTTATTTTGTTTATTGTTGCTATCTTGTTGTTAGTGTATATTGTTTGTTGTTGCAATCATTTGCCATGGTCGCCAAGGAGGATAGCCGTGCATGTTTTTTTTTTTTTTTTTTTTTTTTTTTTTTTTACTCCGCTCTAGTAGCTTTGTTAGATTCCACTTTAGTCCATAGTCTGGGCCTATCCGCCTTTTTTTTTTTTTTTTTTTTTTTTTTTCCTGTTGAAAGTTATTCCTTAATGTCTATCAATTTGTTGTAGTCGCATCATAGCATAATAATTAATGATTTCAAAACTACACCGTCTACCGCTTTCCTACACCAATTAAGCACCGGGGCATCACGGGTCGTCATTGAGCAATGAAATAGTTGCTTTTTAACGCGATACTTACGATCCTATTTTCATCTTCCCAAAGCAGTGTTCTCTTTTTTTTATGGATTCATAAAAGACTTTTTATTAATGATTAGAATATTAAGGGAGTTTTTTACGTTTATATCTTAGGAACGTAAGAGATGAAGGGCCCACCGTTGCTCTTTCCCTTGACTCTTTCATGGATATGTGTCATAGAGCAGAAAAAAAAAAGGGACCCTTCGTGCTCAAATCCTAGCTATGAGAGCGTTTGAAACGGTGGAGAGAGTATGCAGATGAGATGGTCAAATCAACCGGACCAATGGCTTGACAACTCTCTCTTTCTCTTTCTCTCTCTCTATCTCTTCGGTGTCATTTTGCTGAGCTTTGTCGCCGTCTAGTTTACAATTTGAAGACGACGCAGCAAAAATGTGCGCGAGATGCACTTTTTTTTTTTTTTTTTTTTTTTACCTATTAATGTTCAGGAGGACCATTGGACAAAAGCGTGCTCCTATTATCAGGAAAAACAATATGCCTCTTTTATCACACAGCAAAAACATTACTGTTCTAGGAATAATGCTCTAGCTGTTTGGCGGCTAGACTTTATTACTCCAGTAAAGCGTGATCAATGTAGCCGATATTGTGGAGTAAATATAGCCGAGGAGATATGTAGTGATTTTGGTCTTTAGTCGCCATATCACTCAAACACTTTGTCGCCATCGGTAATAGAAAGTATACATATTTAATACATCACTAAAACTGATCATCTATTTTTTTTTTTTTTTTTTTTCTTTCCCTGTATGACCTTCATTTTATTAGTGACATACCCTTGAGGTTAAAGCAAGGGACCAATTCTTCATGAAAAAAAAAAAAAAAAAAAAAAAAAATTGAATGAATGGCTCATTCTGCATTCTCTTAATCATTCCATTATTCATATATATACTCTTGATGTGGTGTGGTGTTGTAGCACAACTAAGGAGTAAAGTATGCCTTTGTTCTGTTTTTCCAAAAAGAATAGTCTTTTTTTTCTTTTTTTCATTTCAGACGACAAAAAAAAAAAAAAAAAAAAAATAGCCCTGAATTTATTATCTCTCGCTCACATTCATACACATTCGAAAAGGCGCTTCCATTCTGTTGTTCATATTCTAGCTTTTTTTAAAAAAAAAAAAAAAAAAAAAAAAAGAAAAAAAAATGAATAGGCCGTGTTCGTGCCGAGATTTCTTTTTTACACTGCTCTATCCCGCGAAAAAGAATAGAAGGGAAAAGGGGAAAGAGAGAAAAGATAATGGTAGATTGAGGATATGGCTCACCAAATATTGTTCTGTGTAAAATAGTGCTCTCGTACGTGTTTACTTCCCCGTAAATTTTTTTTTTTCACTCACCTTTTAATGCTCTCTACCTTGCTACTCATAAGCAATTTTGAAGTGAAAATACGTTGCGACCCTTGCTGTGCAGTACCAATCATATTGCCCTTGAACCGTTCGGCTGTTTAGTTTACTCCACGTTAATTTGGCTAAAAAAAAAAATATACAATAAAAAGTTTAAAAGAACGCGTTTTACAACAAAATAGCGAACAAATAAAGGGCGTAAAAGATATATTTATTCAAAATACTATAGCTACACGTAATTCAAAACCCTTCTCCCTCTCCTTATGAGAGCCATCAATACCATAGCTTGTCCACTTATGCACTGCTCATTTGTAATTCTTCGAACGAATCCTCTTTGGCGGAGAATACCGGCCAGTCAAAGATAATTATGTTTTATCCTTACATTAATGACATTGAACTTTCGGACATTACCATGGGAATTTATATACAATGGCTAATAGTAATAGAATAACAATGATAATAATAATAAAGAAAAAAAAAAAACTTCGGCTCGGAGATGCAAGCTTGATTCAATATGCATTATAGTCTACTCTACATTTATACATATTTTTGCAGTTGCAAAAAAAAAAAAAAAAAAAAAAAAAAGGGTTACTGAGCCGTCTGCTCGGTTACGTGTTCATATTGCTTATCCTTTCTTGCTTAGAGGCTTCTAGCTTTATGCGATCCTCCAAAGTCAGGGCAAGGTTTAAGGCAAGCTGTAGGCTGATTTGTGCCTTGAGGTCCATGTTACCATGCACTGAACATTTGTATTTTTCCTCTTCTCTTCCCTTCCCCCCTTTTTTACAAATAAACTTGAGAAATGCATGTATACATTCTTTACTGCTTTTTCTTTTTTTTCTTGCTCGATGTTTTGTTGACATTTGTCTAAACATTTGGGTGGTTGTTTTTTTTTTTTTTTTTTTTTTTTTTTTTTTTTTTTTCATGCACATGCACATGTCCATATTTCTTGAATCCCATCTTACGTTTTTCCCACATGTTTATTGAAACACAAATTACAACAGTCCTGTCGTTGTAATGACTTGACTATCAGATCAGAATACTCTGGGAAAAAAAAAAAAAAAAAAAAAAAAAAAAGGAAAGAAAAAAGAAAAAAGAAAAAGGACTTGCAAGCTTGCATCACCTATAATCATTTTGTAATGAATGGTAAAGACAGTTTCCCTATCACATGCACATACTGCAATATTAACAAGGAGACTGAACCAATGGAGCTGGGACTACCTCAAGCTCGATAGAAAATATTGAGTGGAGGAAATCATGCTCGTTGCTCCCCGTTACAGGCTAAGATCTCCTCTCACCTCCCCTCTTCTCTCCTCTAGTCTTACTAACGCCAACTGCATATATACCACCATGTCTCTTTGACTCTCAGCTCCCGTTATTTTACCCCTCTATGTAGCTCCCGACGCGTTACTAGATTAGATGGATAAATTGGTGAAGCGGTCGGACCTGTCGCGTTAAAATAATAGTAATATCTATTATAATAACGGAAAGCTGAGCATAGTCCTGTGTATAAAATCTGAACATATACCTGAGCATTTAACCTAGGCGCACAAACATCAAGAATGTAAGGATACACAGCACCAGGGATTGGACATGGAGCCGTTGATGTGAGCTATAGATATTCTAAAAAAAACAAAAAAACAAAAAAAACGGCATTGAAGAGCTTTTTTTTTTTTAATCATTATTGTAATTACTATAGGTAATGTTGCTGAAAATAGAGAGGAAGGGTCATTCGGAGAGTTTTCAGTTTTCTGAATACGAACCTGTCCCTTACTCTCTCTCTCTCTCTCACTACAGCCACCTCATTTTTTTTTTTAAAAAAAAAAAAAAAAAGCGGAAGAGGTATTGAGCGGAAAAAAAAAAAGTTTAACCCGCGCTTATTTTATTATGTAACAACCTCGCAGTGATGACAACAGAGAGCAACGACATCAACAAGAACAGAGCGTGCATTAGTAGCGTTCAACAAAAAAGAAACGGAGACATAAGCTACTAATATGGAAACGCGAATACAGCGTCCAACACCCCTTTGACTATTTGACTTTCTATACATAAATACAACAATAAGGTAAAAAAAAAAAGACAGGAAAGGAACCTTCTAGATTCTGTGGCTTTCTGTTCAAGAAAAACCTCATTGTTTGTTTTGTGCGTTTTTCTTTATTTTTGTGCCTGTGTTGCAATGGGTATGTAACGTGTCTTTGTCATTTTCTTTCTTTCTTTTGGCAACCTTAGAATTAAGGCGCATTGGCATGGATGGACATCATTGAGGACAGGACAATAGTCAAAATAACAAAAAAGGTGAGCATAGCTCTCAGGAATTTTTCTGAATCGTGAACAAAAGACATGAATGTTTGCTTTCTGTAAAAAAAAAAAAAAAAAAAAAAAAAAACAATTTACACATCGTCGTTTTTTTGCTTTACTGTAAAACATTTACACAATTGTTCCTGTTCCCCTCTTATTCTTCTTGTATGTCCGCTTATTGTTCCTGCTCTCACAATGCATTCTTTTTTTCCAGGTATTTTTTTTTTTTTTTTATTTTTATCTTTGGAACCAGAATAACTTTTCTTTTATTGGTTCCCTCTTTAAGAAATAAACTAGTCGCGAAATGGACGCGCAATCACGAATCTCGCGTCGTTCAGATCTTTTTCACTAGTTTTTATTTTTTTTATGGGACCAGTTTAATCACTAAGGCGACGGACTAAAAAAAAAGAAAAAAAATAAATAAATAGACGGTATAGTTATATACCTTCACACTCTATTCGTCCATGAAAGAAAAGAGCGGAATGGGATTCACCTGTTTCTTTTTTATTTATCGTTATTATTATTTTACCAAGACGGAAGAGACCCTAAAAGGCATCCCGCACACAAGGAAGCGAGGGGATGGAAAGAAAAATGAATGCAAGGAATTTCTTACCAAATACACACACATACAGATATAACCATGTGTATACTAAATGTTCCAAATATTCATTGGTAAAAAAAGATGCTTTCCCTCGTTTTTCCCTGTTTTCCACTTTCTCTCCACTTTCTACTTTTACGCTTTCCGCTAATCCGCTAATCCGTTTTCCGTTTATCTTTTTTTTTTTTCTTTCTATTTTCTTTTTTCTTTGTATGATCTTGTGAAATTCATTGGAGCTGTGCAAGTAGAACGTGGCATGGATTGAGTATTCCATTGGCTCATGACCATACGGGTACATTTTCAAAAGAGTCAGGCAGGAAAGCAGGTGAACAAATAACAACAACAACAACAGAGGAAGCAACAGAGTGCTGAATGACAGATGCTATAACATATATAGTATATATAATACATATTTATGATATACAATATTATATATATTATAAATATATACACATAGCACTATAGCAATTTTTTTAACGCTTTTTTTTCTTGGACTGAATACTGTACATGTATATGGTTTTCTACTATTCTGCAGCATGGTCTATCACTTTGGTGTCACACACATACTCTCTCTCCCCTGACAAATGCTCGGCAGGCAGTCGTAAATAAAAAAAATAAAAAGATGACATTGTTCAATCTTGTATAATATACAAATAAATAGATAGACTACTCATGTCTTTAAACAATAAAGTTAGGGAATTGTATTGGTTTTCTAAAAAACCTTTGCATTTATTTTTTTTTTGTATTTGTTACACAAAGTTAGGACACGCTTTTTCCTCGCTCCGTCCCCTGATGTTTGTTACACCTCACTCTCTCTCTTTTGTCTTTTTTGGCTCTCTCTCTCTCTCTTTCTCCTTCACATTTGTTGACATTTCTTAACCGCCAATTGAAGTGAGTACAAACACATCATTGTTTTTTTTTGTTTTTTTTTTATTTTTTTATATTTTATATAGCTATGTGTGTACATGTGTCGCCCATTCGTTAAAAGAGCACAGCTAGGGCTTTTTTTTTTTTTTTTTTTTTTACCCTATTGATCCACTAAAGAAAATTATGCAGACATTGTTCCAAATTTATGGTGCACACTGTGGTGCGGCGCGGAAGGAAAAAAAAAAAAAATATAGAGTGGAGAAACGAGTGAGAAAGAGAGCCAAAAAAAGAGAGTAGGTGAGCGAGAAGAGAACCAAAAGAGCTTTGCTATAAAAAAAAAAATAATAAAATAAAATAAAATAAAATAAAAGACGGCGAGTTCCCAACTATCCGTTAGTCTACACTCTAGTGTTATGTATATATATAATATCTACATTATACCACAATTGTATTCAATGTATCCTAGTCCTCCAAACCATTCAGGTAGAAAAGGAAAACTCAATTGATTGCAACCCTTATTACTTGGTATGTTTGTACATAGACGGCTCATGCTACAACAGAGAGTGTCAGTTATGATATATCTCCGCTCCTTATTAGGAACAGTTTTATACATGTACATGTAAAAAGAAGAACTCATGACCTGACACGTTTTTTTTAACTTTTTTGTTGTGATTGCATTTGTTTGCTAAATCTGGGCCCCTCCCGATAATTGAAGTTTGTTTAGATCCCTTTTTTTTTATATAATACCCCCGCTTTGTCATTTTGCGCAGGAAATAATAATAAAAAAAAGGGAGTATGAGGAGAGAAGAGTGATAAATAAAGTAGAGCAGGAGAGGAAAAAAAAAAAAGGGGAGTAAAGGGGGAGAGGAGGTAAAGGACTATTGCAAATAAAGGATACACAGCTCTTGTCAATAAAAAAAAAAAAAAAAAAAAATTAGGCCTACAAAGCAATGGCGGGAGAACTTCGCTTCAATCCAAAAATTAATCAATGTCGAAAAGCGCGCAAACATACATACATAAAAAAAAAAAAATAAAAAAAAAGGCGCGACAAATGTTGGGGTCATTAATGCGAGCATTCAGGAAAAAAAAAAAAAAAAAAAAAAAAAAAGAATGGGTGCATGCAGAAATTCAGAGGCAGGGGACATTATGCATGTATCCATAATACCCATAATTTCAAATGGAGTGGTTAGTAGTCAAGGATCTTGGAGAATGGTCCAGATCCCAAGGGGAATGAATGCCACAATCCTAGTCTAATTCATGCAGTCATTTTCATCCGTCCAATGGTCTTTCATTATTATTGTATATTATTGTTAATGCTATTGTTATTGTCAATGTTGTTAATTATTGCTATTGGTATCCAAACGCCACTTTGTTTTCTATGTCTCAAGTGCAATTTGTTACAGTTGAGAGTACGATAGTAAGGGAACCACATCATTATGAATAACAATTGCCGCCAGTAAATTTTCCGGAGCTAATTACACAGCAGCTTATATATATATATATACTATATCTTGTTTTATTTTATTTTTTAGGGCTAATGCAAGTGTTGGAAAACGATACCTCTACACCTATTCTACTTTACTCGTTTGATTCTTTATTTTTTTTTTATTTTTTTTTTTTTTACAATACGATCCAGCAAAAAAACAAAAAAAATAAAATAAAATAAAGCAGTGTAGCAACTGAGCAATAAACCTTATAAAATGCAAAGAGCGCGCGGTTTAGGAAAGTCTCCTTCCTCGCAAATGCACTACATTAACAGGCTGGTGACACACAATAGTCCATTGATACGCGGATACATTTGTATAATTGAAGATATTAGCCAATTCTCGATATACACTTTTGCTTCTCTCAAGCACAAGTACTAAAATATAATATAAATACTTTTTTTCTTTTCTTTTCTTTTCTTTTCTTTTTTTTCTTTTTTTACTTTATTATTTGCCTTCATGAACGTATTAATTGCTCGATTGTTTAAGCTCACTCGGCGCGACATTATAGTCGAAAAGAGCAAGGAGCGAAAAGAAGGGAAAAAAGGGAGGGTGGAAGGGATCAGAAGAACCAATCAAGGGTAAAGTACTAAGGCTTCGCCCGGGGGGTCGGACATTTCAGTGATAGTATTGGAACACTCATGTTTATTGGCGTGTTTGTTTCGCCTAATAACACAGCTCGTTTTTTTTTTTTTTTTTTTTTTTTTTTTTTGCGCTCACTTTCAAAAAAAATAAAACAGCAAACGTTCTAGGCGTCGGGTTTTTTTTTCGCGGTGCGCCCATCATCAATTCGTAATTCTCGCTCTGATCTCTTTTTTGAACAAGGCGGCGTAAGAAAACGAAACTCAGCTTCGTCTCTCTCTCTCCCATTTGTCGGTTGGTACGATCTCCCCCTTTTTTTTTCGTCCGTTCACCTTCCACGCGAGAATTTATTTTGTTTCGTCTTGTCGGAGTAAAAAAAAAAAAAAAAAAAAGGAAAGAGATCATTACTCAAAAGACGTTGAATAGAGATGGATTGGTCATACTCAAAAGACGTCAGATAAAGATGGATCTGTCATCTATACGTGGCATATATGTCAAAAAGGATACCTTTTTATTTATTTTATCTTTTTTTTTTATTTTTTTTTTATTTTAATCTTTTGAGTATTGAAAAAGAAAAAAAGAAAAAAAAAAGTCCTAAACACTAGCTCGGTTCAGGGGTCAATATTTGTTGATGACAATGGTTTATAAATTTCCAAACTCCATTGACTATTGAATATATATATCATCTTAAAAGGTAAAGAGCCAAAAGCGGGGTAAAAAGGCTCTCTAAACGCAGATCGAGCCAGGATCGATAAATGTATTCCAAAAAAAAAAAAAAAAAAAAAAAAAAAAAAAGTAAAATAGTCCGAAGAGTCGACAAGAGCATATATGGAAACAAGGCGGGTAGGCTAATAGTCAAAGAACAACAACGGCAACAACAACAACAAAAATGTTGGGTGTAGGTATCATAATAATAGTAATAATAATACTAGTAATGAACCAATGTCGTTCAAATAAACACGATCGGCACGATCTATGAGATGAATGCTTTCAAGCAAAAGTTATAAAAAGACGCGTCACCGAGTCAATAAGTCATAGATCATTGGGTCATCGAGTTACCGAGTCATATTTTTTTTTTTTTTTTTTTTTTGTGAGCGCAAAGTTGATGCATTTGGTTGTAGTTTCTCTCTCTTCCTTTCCCTTCTTTTTACTCTTTGAAAATTCTCATTGTTTTTCTTTGTTTCTTTCTATTGTCTGTGAGCCGTCGTTTTTTTTTTTTTTTTTTTTTTTTTTTTTTTTTAAAAATAGTTAACGACTATTATTCCTTTCTCTTCAAAGGAATAAAAAAAAAAAAAATTGTGAGCTTCAAAGAGAATAGGGCCAGGAGTCTACTTAGATTTGCCACCATTGCTATACCATGGTGTAATAAAAGGTACAAACATTTATTTATAAATATAAAAACGATGCGCTACATGGTGCCACAAGAATGCTCTTTTGTTAAATTGCCAGGATGGAGGAGGGAAGGGGCTCATTGATTGTGTGGGTTATTGGGGTAGGAAGGAGGAGGGAAGGGAAGAGTAAGAGGGAACAAAATCGAGCCTATTTTCCTCGAATAGGCAAGCCTTACGTCCCGATCGTTCAATGCGCCTTTGGTTAAATATAATGCTTATGGAGTATATATAAATATTTATATATCTGAGATATATATATGTATAACACTATAAATCTAATTAGAGTTTCACGATTCAAAATGGATTGAAGTATATGTACTCTTTGCTCGGTATGCCTGCTTACATGGCTTACATGTACGACGATGTTATGCTTCGGCTATGCTTTGCAATGTGTATGAATAGAGTAGTAAACATTTATAAATACTATATTTATTATATATATATTATATTTACAATACATGTAATGCAAATACAGATTAACAAATATCCAGCGTGTGTATACGTACGTGTACTGTATAGGTTTATAATTATGTATTATATACCTCAGTGCATACATCCAAGAGCATATGCAGGAATATCAAACGAGTCGGGCACGATTAGTGCCGATTCGTGTGTAGTGCATATAGATTTATAGAAACTAGCATAATTACACAACCACCAAAGCTGTTGCACCATTTTTCTTTTCTTTGTTGAAGAAAAGTAAACAACTCGATAGATGTAAAAAAAAAACAAAAGAGAACAAAAATATATAATAAAAAAAAAATGCCTAGGTTATTTTACGTTGATTAAAGAGTAAACTGCCGAAATATGGATGAGCACATATGGTCCAGAACAGGGAAAGATCGCCCTAAGAAGTTTAAAACATTAAAACCAAATGCACAAGAAAAAGTTTCTTGTTATGATATATTATACACTTTCTACTTGGAAAAAAAGAAACTTTCCAAAGACACAATGATGACCATAAACGGCTTGGAACACACGACTAAATCTTACATACGAGCATCTTTAGCATGCAAAGCATGCAGACATGCGAGCAAAAAAAAAAAAAAAAAAAAACACACACGGGAGCATGATTGTTTAGTTGAAGGCCAATGCCGTAACAAATCGTCGCCAGAACTTTATTTTTTCTCGATCCTTGAGTGCTGATAGGATGAAGCATGGTTCCATGAGATACCCACGAATGCCGCACGAGCCTTGAGGAGTGGACAGGAATGCTTGTTGCATTAACCTGTAGGGTAATCATGAGCATCAATTTCAGCCATTCATTCAAATGCGTGTGAGCCTATATCTCTTTTCTCCTTTTTTTTTTTACTTTCTGGTACTTCCCCACTTTCTTTATAGAAAAAAAAAATAATAATAATAATAAATAAATAAACTCCACAGATGGTCTTTTTTTCTTTTTATTTAATTAGCTTGGTGAGAACCTGTGCTTTGAAAAACGCGGAAGAAAAAATTTAAGGCATTTCTACACTTCCACGCATGCTCGCATGCATATTAAACAATAACAGAAAAGAAACATTTATTGATATAATAAATAACAAATAAATAAAATGACAATAACTGGAAGGAGTTTTTTTTTTTTTTTTTCTTTTTTCTTTTTCCTTTTTCCTTTTTCCTTTCCTTTATTTGTTTACAACTTGGGGAATCCTTAGGTTGCGAAAGGTGCATAGTTTAATATGACACAAAGCAAGGCATGACCAGCAAAGGATGAACAACAAATAAAAAAGCATTGCCATGCAGCTAATAGGATGTCAAGGATTCGGAGGCGAAGAGCTGAAAAGATACTGATGAGAACTCTCGTAACCCTACCAATTGACCCATGATGTTGTGATCGCCGATTTGATTGGGTTTCCGATCGTCCTTATCTTTTTGAGCATCTTCATCATCACTGACGTCGGCTTGCTCTCCTCGGAACTTCGATCTTTAAACTATGAAACTATGAGAACCTTGTGCCCTGAACTTTGGACCTTTTTTTTTTTTGTGAGGATGTTGACCCGTCATTGTATATAATCAAGTACACATATATATAAACATATGTAATGTAATATAACTGATTATGGTTATATGTACTACAGCTGCACCTTGGAGTGAACTAGTCTAAGAGTGAGAGGCTAGACCATTAACAATATATAATATAGCATGGACAAGGGGAGGGCGTAAACACATCTGTGGTTTAGTTCTTCCATTTTATCAAGGCTTGTGCAATCAAAACATTCTCTTTGGATTTTCCGGCATTACTACAAGAAAACTTGCAGTTGGATCAATTGATAGAGTTTTTCTTTTCTTTTTTCTTTTTTTTTTTTTTTTTTTGTAAAAACTCGGCAACAGAGAAAAAGGTAAAAAAAAAGCAGGGGCATAATATCACTAGACTGAAAAAAAAAAAAAAAAAAGAAAGGTTAAAGAACCATGCGTCTATTGTTTCCATTTCCCTTTCTTTTCACTCTCTCATTTATTGATTCATTTTGGTTCTTGGTATGCTTCAAAAAAAAAATTTATCACCACTTAATACATTAGTACATTGATGCATGTAAAAAGAAATGATAATTTTTAATTTGCCTCCTTTTTTTATGTATACCCCACGATTAAGAATGGAAGGTCCTCTGTCTGGTCTTCAGGCAAGTGGTTGAAGTGTGGTTTGTTGCAGCTTGATCAAAAGGTGAAATGTCTTTTTTGTCGCGAAATTAATTTGATTTAATAAGAAAGCAGTGCCACATACCCGGAGTTGGGGATCAATGTTGGTTGTGTGTGATGTGTTCGTGTTCGGAGTACACTGAGGGCGAAGTATATTTTTTTGTACGACACTGCACGGCAGTTTTTCTTTATTTGCCCATTCAATTATAAGAATTTAAAAAAAAACTTACAAACTGAACAAATTGACACAGACCTTTTAGGAGTTAATGTGCAATTACATTCATAACACTTGGTATACATATACACATCTATACGTACTTTGCATAGTACATTTGTACTACCATGACAACAATTTGTAAGCCAGTTGAATGTTTTCATTTTCAAAGTGAGGAGAGAGAAAAAAGGAAGAGAGGAGTTATTAAGGGTTTGAGGACATGTGGACTGGGCACAAAACAGCATCCATTCACACACACACGTACACACTACATACATATACATTTACATTCATACATCCACACATTCGCACGTCCACACATCCACACAAATACGATACAACATGACATGACATGGTGCATACGATACGACTTGACATTTGTAATGTCATGTCTTATCTTATGATCGTTCCAGCACAGCAAAAAAAAAAAAGATATAAAGTGCAATGCCCAATCGTAATTTACGTCATGGCGTCGATCTCCTTTCCCTTCATTTCATTCCTTAGACCCTTGCTTAAACACTTGGAAATGTATAAAAAATTTCATTTGCCGATAAAAAGGCCGGAGAATTTTATTTTTCTTTCTATAATTGAATACACACCTCTATTTTTAATTGAAAGCTCTTTTTTTTTTTCCTGAACGCCATGATGAATAGGCGAATAGGCATTTACGCTTATCAATCATGAATGGAAAACCGCGCATTGACCGTGTATATGATCTAGTTCCGCAAGATCATATTGTAGAGCATGAACAAAAGCCGTTCGAGAAGCAATTGCGGACCTGGATTCATACCAATTTTTTTATTATTTTTCTTTTTATATAAACATGCATTAGCTCTACGAACTATACAGCGCGACTTCTATTATACTGATCCGTCCATGCTTGATAATTCTATATAGCCTTTTCAGTAAAGGTCTTTAATAAAGATTTATTTGTATACATGTGTGAGACCAAAAGTGGAAAGGATACATTACATTTATATTTTTTTTTGTTTTCCTTTTTTAGCGTTAAGATGAAAGGTGAGAGGGAGGGCTTGTTCTCCTCTTAAGGGAACGGCACAAGATATTTATTTCAAACGTGTTTCGGAATGCCAGAAACATGTCCATTAATTAATTCTCTCATTCTCTCATTCTTATTCATTCATCATCCAAGTCCTTCTCACCATGGAAAGCGAATTCGATACATCTCAGGAGCAGCAGCAACAGCAGAAGCCACCCTTCTATGTCCAGTATAATCAGATAGGCCCTCCACTACGTGCAATGGAGTGTGCTACAGAAGCTCGATTTATCGAATCACTCTTCCTTATCGCAGATGACGCGCGCGATACCTATCAGACGCACATAGTCCGTGGTATTCCCAACTTTCCGAGCTTCTATTCGTTGATTCGTTTTGTGAATCTTAAAATAGACCTATATAACGAGAGTAATACCCAGAGCAGCAACAGGAACAGCGATAACAGCAGCAATAGTGGTAGCATTAGTACATGTGCCTTGCCTACTACTCTTACTAAAGACAACAAGGTTATGAACCAGTATGGACGGTCTCGTTCACCTTGGATACAGCTCATCAATCAACCCTACAGAATCCTTACCACGATCACAGCGATTGGCAAGACCAGTTTAAGATCACAACATCAGTTCATTACAGTTCCTCAGAGTCAGGTGAAGCGAGACTTCAATGATCGAGAACAGGATAAAATGTATGAACGTTTGGAACCAGGGGATGAACCTCCACGGCAATTTGCAAGTGTAGATGGTGGACAAGTCTTTGTTAAATTTGAAACGAATGAACAGGGACAAGGTTTTTTCCGGCCTGATCCTTGTCCGTTTAAACCATATCCGGTCATAGGCCCCAAGCTTGCTCAAATGATTTTGGAAAAGGGGCCCGAAGAAGTAAAAGAACGACCCAAGAATGCATTTAAAATCAAACTTCGTTTGCGTGAGTCGGATGAGGATGAGGTATTATTGAACACATTAAATAGTAATGTAGTATTCCTTGCTTTTGTCTTTTTTTTTTTTTTTTTTTTTTCTCTCTTCATCTTCTGATTTTTTTTTTCTTTTTCTATTTTTCCTTTGTTGAATACGTAGCTCGGTCATGTCACAAACTCGCGTTACGCTGGATTGCTATATGATGTTTTGTTTTATGGTATTCAACAAGGATATTACGCTAACGGCTCTGGACCCTTCACCACACCTGAGCCACTTGTTAAAGATGCAACAACAACAACAACAACAACAATGCTCACTACTACTACTACTACTAACACAGAATCAAGATCAGGATTAAGAACAGAATCAACAAATATTGCTGTTCCAGCTGGTGCTAGATTCTACAAGGATGCGAACGTTCATGAGGTATTTGTCGGCTATCAGCATGAACTCAAAGTCAGAGATGGAGTGTATGCCTGGAGTTGGGTCGAGCGGGAAAAGATCCATAATGGTTTAGACGTCATCCAGATACAAGTTTGTTCCAGTAACGATGGGAGTGAAAAAATTATCTCGCTATGGAGAGCCATTATTGGAGAGACCTCCCGCCCTTCCAAAGCATCTCTTTAGAAAAAGCTTAAAAAATAATAATAAAAGTGGATTCTGAAGTACAAAAGCTATTTTATTAAGGGAGCATTATACTCGTGTCATTTTAAAAAGATGCATTTGCGATTGCTTCCTGTGAATAGCAAGCCATTGGTATAGTGATACAAAGAAAAAAGGGGGAAAAGAACAGCTATAACAACTACTGACTCTTGAAAGTAACAAGAGGATGTTGTTTAGGATTTTTTTTTTTTTTTTTTTCAAGTATTAAATCCATCCATTTTAGGGAAAGACAAAGGGTTATAGACAAAGGTTATAGACAAAGGGTTATGTATTTGCGTATATGTGTGTCTGTGCACGCTCTTTAATGAGCGGCAGTCGTGGTCCTGTTCCGGATTCCGCATTCTCCACGAAGGCCACAAGCCTCGATCCATTCACTATGTCTTTTAATTAACTCTGGAACAATTCTGCTCTCAATCTCAATATGTTGAACCTCATCCTCTTCAGGTGTCAGTCGAATCTCTGTCTCGTCTTCATTTGTAATCAACTTGACTACTCTCTTTCGCGTCGTCAAGATGTTACCAATCACGATCTGGTGTCCATAACGTCGCAAGGCCTGACGAGATTTGGATGGCAACAATGCTTCATCGGTCTCTAGTTTGAATGAGACGATGAACGCCTTGGGTGTCCAATCATTCACTAAAGGCTTCAAGATCTTGGGTACTTGATCCATGGATAAGTTCAAGAGTCCATCGCCGGATTGAATCTTATGTTCAGACATCTTGTCTGCAGGGATAAAGAAATCAGACACAGCTGCTGCAAGGTAGTACATGGCATTAACGTCCATCTTGGAAATGATCTGTGCTGCGGTGCGAAGAAGGAAAAGATAGTCGTTCACAGTAACAAAGTCCAAAGTCAACAATGTTCCTGCACGTTGAGTCTAATTTGGTTGTATCAGATTTTGTAATGCGAAATATGGGGTGAGTGAAATAGTTTCTCAGAATAATTGGATTGGACTGTCTTTCTTTAGCGTGTATATTTGATAAAAAAGAACATGGGAACTCAAAGTCATTATTATTTCATACCTCGCGATATTTTTGAAGGACGGATCTCATTTGGTCGACATAGGCAGGCATGACTAAAAAAAAAGTTATGGATATGTAGTTGAGTCCGGCTGTGTGTCATCTATTCTCCGTATTCTCCTATATGACGGATAAACCTTAAAAGAAATTGTTCCGAGGACCCTGGGAAAAAAAAAAATCTCTTTATTTTTGCCTTAAGCTTACCATGAATGCCTTTATCATCCGCTTCCATAAACTCCAAGAAGCAGTTTTTAGAATGGCTATAGTGACGCGAGTAAGGCTGAAGACTGAATTGGCGATGCATAAAGATCACGGCATATCCTTCTTCCAAAAAGTATTCTGCTGATGTGGCGCCACGAGTTCCAGCACTGAAGTTGTCAATGAATCGAACTGTTTGAGTCTCCAAAGGCACAGTCGTTCCTCCGCTCTATTTGTTTTGATGAAAGAATTGTTAGAATACATCACGTCTAAAAAAAATGTTGGTCACAGGTGAGGGAGGCCACCAAAAAAGGAGACAAGGCCGAAAAATGGACAGAAATTGTCAAACAATCAAAGCGATAAAAAGATTAAAAGAGCATCTGTGTTGCGGTCGGTCTGTTCGCCTGTTTGTACGATCACGATGTGGGATGATCTTTATACACTTCTGATCGCGCGCTCCAAAAACATTGTAAAAAAAAAAAAAAAAAAGTCTTACGATCTGATCTACGCTACTGTTCAATGTCATCTCCGATATCCTTTTTTTTTATGTTATGATAGTGCTGAATACAACTTCACAATTTACATCTGTGAACTTACAGTAACAAGAACAACTCTACGACCTTCATGCATATGTCTGTCAACGAAGGTGTGGATCTTCTCTGCATTCTCAGCCAAGAACTTTGGTGGAGCGTGGGTTGCAAAATAGAAATCAGCGGAGACAGGGCCTGGACTAGAGGTTGAGGCAGGAGTTGAAGCGCCTGAAAGTGAAGCGGTTGTACGGTTGAGAGCATCTCCGTTGAGATGTTGTCCATTGATGGTAATGGGTTTCTTAGGGATTGGCTGGTTTAGTTCGTGGGAAGCCATCGCTGGTTACAAATGAATAGTGGGAGGAAAAAAAAAAAAAAAAAAAAAAAAAAAAAGGCTTATATGAGCTAGCAAGTTGTATGCTATGAAATGGAAGAGTGAAGAGAGAGGAGTGTAGATAATGGAGTAAAAAGTAAAGGCTTGAAATGAAAAGAAATGAAGTGAAGTGATGGACATTGTTCAATTTCAGCTTTTTAAACAATGATACCAGTGACTGTCACCAAAGGACCTTGCTTTTTTCATTTCACCTCTATTGGAATTATCTCGAAGTTAGCAAGCAATCCTCGATAGTCAATTAGAGGAATGCAACAACGTGAATAGCATAGGCACAGCAAATAGACAGAGTAGACTTGGAGGAACAATTAAACTTCTTTACAACAAGAGGGCAAGGATGACGATCATAATAACGATCCAGGGCTAAAAAAAAAAAAAAAAAACACACACACACATACACACACATACACATACACACACATGTATTACATTGAACAAGATCTTGTTCGTTGATCCAGAAAGTGTTATTGTGTTTGTCAAAAGATCTTCCCACAACCTCTGGTCTTTATACTCTGATATTGCATTTGTGATTTGTCACCAGTAAACACTTTAATGCTTTACTGAGCTTTCTGTGGCTGCAAAGTGCAGAGCAAAACGACGTGGTGGGTTCACCCAGGGAATTTTTTATGCTTCGATTTCATGTGTCATTCAGCCTTCTGGCTTTGGCCCTTCTATCATTCTCTCTCTCTCTTTTTTTTTTTTTCTTTTACTGCACGGATATCGAATCTATCGCCCGGTCCTCTCTCTTTTTCTTTTTCATAATCTTGCTCTATCTTTTCATCTTTTCTCACTCCTGCTACTGCATCTATCCCGTGCTCATTGTTCACTTTGCAGGATTGCAGACATCTCATTTGCTTTGTTTCTTTTGAATTGTCACGCATTTCTACACACATAAACAATTCTCTCTTCCTATTCTCTCTCTTCTCTTTCATTTCTCTCTGTGCTCCTTTGTCCCTGTATTTGGCTCTTTATTTCCGATCAGTGTTTTGCCTTCCGTTTTCAATTGTAAATTGATCGCTACACAATGAGCAAGAATCCAGTCAGCAGGAACAGGAAACTAGGTGCTCTAGTTGCCTACACCACTTTGGCATGTACATTGGTCTCTGCAGGAGTATATCTATATTGTCAACAGCAAAAAAATAGCGCTTCTCGTCGTTCATCCACAGATAGCAACAATACTAGTGGTGCGAGGAACGGCTCTAGTCAGGATCGGAACTCTAGAGGTAGTCTGGATAACGGAAATCGTAGAAACAATAGCGGGCAACTCGACGATGAGCGATCATCAGAGGTAATTTCATTACTTTATCGATTTTATTTTATTTTATTTCTTTTTTTTTTTTCTACTCCAGTTAGACATGATGTTCTTGAAGCAAGGGAAAAAGAAAGGGGGTTTTCCTTAGTAAATGGATCTTCTTGAACCATGTGTGAATATATGATTAACAACCATTTTGCCTTTTTCTTCATCCAATTACTTTTTGTTGCTTGTTTGTTTGTTGTTCTCGTGCCAATGTGTCATTGCCTACACTACGATTGCCCTCCTTTTTTTTTTTTGTCTGTTTGTTTAAATCTTGTATCAGGCTCAGTCATCGTCTTTGTCAAGGCTCGGATCAAGGATTGCAAAGACCGTTAAAAGGAACCGCAAAGTCATGACTATCTCACTTAAAAATGTAAAGTTGATGCGATCGAAGATATGCTGCTTTGTTTCGTTTTTTTTTTTTTTTTTTTTTTTTTTTTTTTGGCTCATGTATTTATTTATCGTATATCATTGTTCCTTTATTCTTCTATCTACTCACATGTATACGGTACCTTTGTTTAAAAAAAAAAATAGACTATTGTATGGAACCCATCACCCGATCCAACAACACCCAACTACGGTTTTGTGGAGGGCGCGGTCCCATTGCTATTTCATCTAGCTGAGAACTATAATTTGCACTTGATTTTACTCTGCCCCTCTTTGACACAGCAACATCAGAATGGGAAGGACCGTGTCCCAACGATTCAGGAACAGGACGAAATGAAACGTCAGCAGCAATTGGTCCAGGATCGAGATCGGGAGCAGATTTTGACCATGCTTAAGAATGCAGGATTAATTACGCCTCCAGGGAGTCGAGGATCCAAATTGATTGATCCTCGTCAGGTCTTGATCTGTGAAACAGAAGAAGGAGTTGGTCATGTGGTTCGTCATTTGGAGAGTCAAGTTCATGTGGAGGCACTACAGAGTGTGCTCGAGATGGTCCAAGGCGTTGTTCCCAAAGTTGTGTTTGTACAAAAGAGACCTGGTCACAGCAGAGCATCCTCGATTGCAAAGAATGGGCAAGAAGGAGTTGAAGCAGGTAATGGTCAGGTAAACGACGATATCATGACGAGATCGCATGTGCGTGTACGATCCTCTTCTAGGGGCTCGAATTCAGGATCAGAGGATCATCGTCATAAGAGCGAATCATCTGTATCGCCATCCTCATCCCAAATAATGGGTGATTCATTTGTGGAAGTCATCAAGCCATCATTATCATCATCATCGCCAACATTGGTATCTAGATATGTGACTCAAGCAGGCAAGAAGGGCTATGTTGAAGTGACGCATCAACTGACACAAAGTAGTCTTAATCCAGAGTATAGTAGCTAAAGTAAAGGGGAATAAGCCTCCATCCTTTTCTTGTTTCGTGTGTGTTTCTGTATGGCCAATCAAGCGCGCTTTGTTCGTTTAGAGAGAAGTGTATGATAGACATAGGCACAGGCATTGTTGGGCGCAGAGGGAAAAAAGATAAAAAAAGGAATTCGATCAGTCTACTGCAACTGAGCCTTTCTTTCTTTTTTGAGAAAAGGGATACATTTTGAACTCAAGTTGAGTCAGTTGAAAGGATCAAAAGGCAAGAGGGAGAGAGGGATCAGACGGGGTAAGGAGGGATTTCGAAAGATAGTCGATATGATACAAGGGAAATAACGACAATTGGGATTGTGGCATGTCTGGATCAGAATGGAGAGTAGACCAAACAAGTCGGAACTCATTGACCATGATTTAACCCCGGCGAAGCATCTGTGTGAGCAAGAAGGGAAAATAAAAAGCTCTGTCTCTTCCAATGAAATCTAATGGTCGCTTGTCTCATCAGACATTAGTTTTTTTTAATTAGAACATTTTATGCATTATCATGACTAGTCATCACTACAATGCGATGTACACTCAATATGGCTTGAATAGGCAGTGATCATCTGAATCATTTCTCTCTCATTCACTTTTTTTTCACTTCACCTTTCTCGCTTCTCACATTCACTCGCATCTGTCTCATTCTGAAATAATATACCCCATTCAGCATACATTAGTTGCTGTCTATAATCACAACCACATTCTATTGACTCTCTCTCTCTCTCTTACTCTCACATTCTCACTCTCACTCTCACTCTCACTCTCACCCTTTTTATTTATTTATTTATTATTATTATTATTATTTTGTTTCTATCTCTCTCACTAATCCTGCTTCTTCATAGTATCCTATTCCTTACTGCGTACTGTAATCTCTCAATTGCATCTGCGGATACCCCATCCTTATACTCTTCAATCTACTTTTCTAATTTTTAACCTCGTCGTGGACCATGGACTTTGTCACATATCAATTTGAATCCTCTTCCCAGTTCTACGATGGTAAAAATAAAAAAAAAAATAATAATAATAATAATAAATAAATTAAGCTTGCAATAATGATATCCAACCTTTTTTTTGTTTTTATTCGTTTAGAGTTGAATGATCTTCTTCAAGAAGGTGGATTCCACGATAGTCCAGAATCTCAGGTCAACACGTATATCTCTCTAATCGTTCAATATCAAGGTAAAATAAACATTAAAAAGAAAAAAGATCTTCCTCTCATAAAACGTCATCAGGAATTGTGGATCGGTTATTGCGAAAAAGAAAAAAAAAAAAAAAAAAGGAGAAGCGGGCAAAGAGACGAGATGGTGCTCGGATTACACACAATCATGCATGTACACAGGCATGCTCTCTTTCTTGTGTACAAACAGCAGTCATTTGATGCATTTTTTGAAAGGCTGATCACTCAAATGTTGAAATCGAAATGTGGACAAAACTACATTTCATTATCCTAAAAAAAAGTAAAAAACAAAATAATAAAAAACTCGTGTGTGGAGAAGGAGCGGAGCAGTTTTTTTTTCCTGATATGATTGGGTTCCATTCTTTAAGACGTAACCTATCATGATTCCAAAGTTTTTTGATGACCTTTTTATTCCGATGAATTTTCATTGCTCCAGACTGACGAATTTTTGTTTTTCTCTTTAAAAAGGCCAGTTTCTAGATCAATCAGGACAAGATTTAGCACAATGTTGTTATCGTCTTTTTGATTCAGATCTGTTCCAAAACAATACTCTCAGCATCACTTCCACCATTAGTGACCGTGCAGTCCAGGTACGGTTGATCAAAACTGATTATAAAGATAGGACTGCAAATGATGTAACAGGTTGTTGGGGTATGATTGAAACAAAACAGGAAATGAATGTCTTTATTCATTTAAGAAGACTGAGGATTGTGCGAGGGCTGTGCGAGGGGCTGTGCGAGTCATGCATGAATGAATGATATGATATCATTTTTAGAAAAGAAAAGAAAAGTGTACACAGGCGTATTACATCCATTAATGCTAGCTTACTAATTGTGTAAAAGAAATTGGTTCATCTTCTTTAGAACCAAGCCGAAGAGGATTTATGGGTTACATATCATTTCCTCTACTATGCGGGCATGGTAACACCCAAGGCCTATAATTGGATGCTTACCAGCGAGTTCTTTGCAAAGCTCAAGTATCAAATTTTGCGGATGGGTGGTAAGAAAAAAAATATCAGTACAGAATAGACAATGGCTATTTTTTCATCTTCTTCAGTATCAGGAAACGGAGACAACGTGGGGTTTATCAGTGGTTGATCTTTCCATTTTATTTTTTTATTTTTTTATTTTTTCTTTATACCATTTAGGCATGCGACTTCAACCTCTTGCTATCACTTTAATGTATGAGATCTGTCGGGTTCAATCTTTGAAACCCCAAGAGCTAGGTAAGAAGGGCTCTATAAATGAACCTCTACATGTGCTTTTTATATTTTTATATACTACCGCGTTTTCTTTCTTATATACGATATACTAAATATTTTGCCTGTATGGAATGTTATTATATAGCAATTTTGGATGAAGATTTCCTTCATTACTTGCTGGATCTCGTGGAGCGGACGAGGACGGATGAGGATGAAGGAGTAAACTATAGCATTATCAAGCTATTATTGACATGTAATGAGCAATTCATGTTGAACCAAACAGCTTGCAAGGCTGCTTACAATTATACACCTTCCAACACTCTACTTGTTGTCCTGGCAGACCGACCTGGTGCAAGCTGTACATTTGGCGAAAATTTAATCTTTATGTTAAACCGAGCGGGTAAAAAAAAAAAAAAAAAAAAAAAAAAAATGAAAGAGAAAACTGGATATTCATATGAAACTCAAGGTTTTGGACATGGTTGATTAACAATCTTCCTTCTTCTTTCTCTGTAACTTTTACTAAATAGAAGATCCATCGCTACAAATGCTAATTCTCAAGCTTCTCTATCTCCTCTTCACATCGCCGAAAACGCAACTTCGATACTTCTTTTATACCAATGACCTTCATGTGCTTGTGGATGTAATTATTCGAGAGCTTTGGGACTTACCTGAGGAACAAGAGCCAATTCGGCATGCTTATCTTCGAGTTTTGGGGCCATTGCTCAAGAACAGTCAACTTGCACAGGAGCAGGATACATATAAACGTCCGGAAATCCTCAAGCTATTGGCACAGTTAGGTGGTGAGGAGATGGATGAATCGTTGAGACAGCATTTATGGGAACAGGAGATGAGAGAATTAGAGAAGCTGCAGGCAGAGAACGAAAATAGAAAGTTGACCTATCGCGATCGACAGAGTAGCAATGCTACTATTGCATCTACATCTACATCTACATCCTCAACTACATCTACGCTACTTTCTTCTTTTTCTTCGCGTCCACAAGTGAGAAGCTCTAGCATCAGTAGTTGTAGTTGCAATAGTAGCAGTAGTAGTCTTTGCAGTAGTCCTATCGTAGACAAAAAAACAGCACATGCCATTCAGAGGCCAGCATCTTCTTCTTCTATAAGCAGCGCTGGATCAGTGATTCTCGAGAATGTGTTACCACCAGCAAGTGGTCATAGTAGTTGTCCTGTTCATATGCACATGGCCTCACCGCCATCAACACCAGGAGCCATATCAGGATTCATTGAGCGACGAGATTCACCTCTACCTCCTCGATCTGCCAGCCCAACAACTCAACGGTTGGTGGAGCGAGTGTTGCGGGAGTGGCTCGAGCATGAACTCAAGGCTACTGCTGCTGCTTCTGCTGCTGCTGCTGTATCATCTACTACCACTCACTGTTAATTAGGAAAGAAGAAGAAGAAAAAAAGCGCCACACCTTTTCTTCCTTTTGTAATATATATAATCATTGACTCTCAATCCTCGCTCTTCTGATGCATAAAGGCTTTACCAGCATTATTAAATGACAAAAATGGTTTCTTTTGCTTTCTTCTTTCTTTTTACTTTTTTGACTTCCAAAAGAGGTCTTGCAGAGCATCAGCCAATTCTACTAAGTCTCGTTTATGTTGACTAAAAGTATTCTCTGGCTCATTCAACACGCAGTCATGACTGCTGAGATCAACACTATTTCTAACTATTTGCTCCACAGATGCCGTCTTTGTGGTACCTACACTAACACCAGGCACCTAGACATCCACTCCTCCACATTGTAGAGGGAATGATCCTATAAGACGTGTTTTGGCCATGAACATCTTTGTATCAGAAACTATAGCCAAGGGACGTTTGACTTTACTCGGGAGTCTATAGTGGTTCCCACCCAAATCTGGGTCTATACTTGTAACAGTATGATGTGTATATTTGGGACAAAAAAGGTCCTTTCATTATTGGATTTTTTTGACGTTGCTGATACTACATCGCTCACTATCGGGCAGCATTTTTTGCCCCTTGATGAACTAGCGTGCGTTGGTAATTCGTTCAAACGAGCTCAACTGTAGTGGAACTGGAGTTCGAGTTGGAGTTGGTTTGGAATATTGGTGCCTTTGTGTGGTTCATGTCTGGTGGTGGGATGCGTCAACATGTTTCAGTGATGTTTATCCATCAATTTTTTTTATCATCACTTCTCTATCGCTATCTTTCAATCGCCGCGCACATTCATCTTCGCACCACCGTAGTTGCTTGACCATCTGCGCACGCACGCTCACTTGTTGCAATCAAGCCCACCCTTCGTTGCGCGATATTTTCAAGGTATTTTTTTTTTTTTTTTTTCTTCAGCAGGTATACCTCTGAATGGAGAAGTAGCTGTATTTTAAGCCAGTTGAGAGGAAGTGTGATTGTGGACTCACCATATTTGGGCCGTCCTCACATATTGTATTCCCTCTTTCATGTACGCACATTAACCACGATTGCTAATGTCAAGATTCAGTACAAGGGGAAAACACCGGTTGAATCTCAGTCGTTCCCTTCGTTCAGGATCCCAGACCAATATCTCGCAATGTCAGATTGACTCCTATCATAGACTTAGATCACACAGGTGGGAAATAAAAATTGATATTCAACTATATCAGAGCATTCCAAGGCATGAACCGCCTAATACATAAATATATAAATGGCTACCTCCTATACCTTTAATAAGCATATGAACCATTCTATGAGGAAGAGCATAACAAGGTTGCAAGATGCGAAGTGGCATGGGTCGTATCCAGGAACGAGATTGATGCGCTGTATCGGTTGAGATCTCACATTGCTTGATTTACACATCAAAGCTATATCAAGTGCTGTGCCACGGTATCAGCAACTCAGAAACACTTGAATTGTGCTTAGCAGATATGGTAGCAAAAGCGAACACAAACGAAGTAAAAAAAGTAACGTCGCAATGAACGTTTGGTTGCCACCATTATAGACTCACGAAGAGAGAATGTTTCCTCGCTTTTCTACAACGAGACTATATTAGAACAGGGTCAAACATTCATAGGCATATATATACATATGATGTATTGAGCATCCTACGCCTTGAGGCGCTGCGGTATAGCTGGTGAGAGACAAAGTTGGTTTGGAGCAATGGTGAGTACCACCATCTCTTTTTTTTTTTTTTTTTTTTTTTTTGGTGGTGGCACAGCCATAGCATAGATGATAGATTGCTCCCATCCGCTTACTTTCCGCCACCAAACTCGTTTCTCACCTGTGTTTGCATGCACAATATCTTTTTTTATTTCCAGTGAATATTCTTTTGTATCCGTTGAGAGAAAGTATGGTTGTGGACTCACCATATTCGGACCATCCTCTCGTATTGCGAGAAACGTTCGCTATAGATTAAAGAGCTCTCGTTGTGGGTCCAGGTCCACGACCCTCATCAGCCGACCGCAGAGCCTTTATGTGAGGGTGTGTAGATGGTGTGTGCGTACAGTTGGGCAACACGCGTCAGAATACCCTTTATCAAAAGGGCCACTGATGGCGCTTTTAGAGCGCTTCTCCTTTCACATCCTGCAGCCTGCCAAGACATGGACTTCGATACGAGCCAATTCAAAGACAAAATGAAGGACTGACTTTATCTGATATGAAGCGCCAAAAGTGAATAAGTGGCTAATCATGCTTTTCCACAAATTTGTAGGCTCGTCACCAGCCTGTGTGGCGTATGTACATTGCACTAACGCTCACTGACAGGCTGGGACCAAACTTGAGATTATGAAGGGGTCAACATTTTTTTCTGGAGCCATTGATTTGGTGTGTGTGGTTAAAACACACTCAGCAGTCACATAGAGAAGACACCCAATTTCAATGTTGTGGCTTGTAGCAGTCAGTCTCAAATAGCTGTTGTCATGTGACAAATGGGAAATTGAAAGTTTTCAGTTCTTGCTCTGTGTCGTATGGTGCTGCGTATCCGTGCGGTGTCGACAGCCCTTGCTCTGTGTTTTCATTGGGTGCTGCCAATGTGCCAATGTGCTGACACTCTTACTCTGTGTTTTCAGTGGGTGCTGTGTATCCGTGTGCCAGCAGTGGTGCATACCGATACACTTTTCAAACATGATTAATCATTAAATACAAGCCACCATTTTGAAATTGGGTGTGTTTTCCACGTGGCTGCTGGATCATCAAGAAAAAAAGTTTTCTCACACACAGCCCAACCTTGAAATAAAAGAACAAATTTATCCTTTCTTCCTCTTCCTTTTCTTCCTTTATCCTTTTTTCACTTTTTTCTTATTTCCCTCCATTTTTGCTCCCTTCACACATCTTCTTCTCTTCCTTTTTCATTTATTCTAAGCCTTCATTCATTGCCTTTCCTTTCTTTTCCTTTCCTTTCCATTTTTTTTGTCTTACACATTTTTTCATTTTTGTTTTCATACAGTGACCACGGGTAAGAGTAGAGAATAAACCTTTGCCTATTTAACCATCATTCTCCCTGCATTTCAACCACACTCACACTCAGTCCCACTCATCTTAATTTTCAATGGCCACCACAAGGAGCTCAACACAAAAAAACATGGCTGCAAATAATTCCACAGGGAGCCAAGCACAAAAAAACATGGCTGCAAATAAGCCTGAAGATGTCTCCACACTCAATAAACGAAAAAGAGTAAACCAGCACCCACAACGAAAAAAGCGCGCCATCCCACTGCTGCTGGAGCTGAACTGCGTTGTTGAGGGAGAAGCAACGTCGTTCCCAGTAGGGATTTCCTCCGATAAATCGGTCGGGATACTCAAGGAGGCCATCAAAGCAAAGAAAGCCAATGCATTTAAGGACATCGACGCTTACCAGCTCACCCTCTACAAGGTTTCCATCCCTGACGGAGACAAGACTGTGGTTGAGTCGGAAATCAAGTCAAAAGAGGCTCTTACAGTCGCGTCAATGGAGCTTGGGGAGATATTTAATTCTGAACTTCCAGAGAAAACTATCCATGTTTTTGTCAAGCCACCACAGCGAGGTATATCTTTGGCTCTTGATGGACTGATTGTTGATATTTCCAACTGATGAAGCTTGGTTTATATCTTAAACGGCCATGTGCATGATATCACCATTTGGTTTGTGTCTTGATAACTCAACGTTCTTTCTCATTATTCGCTTTTGATACTTAGCTCAGAAAAGAAAACAAGATGGAGATTCTGGTGAGTGATTTTGGCTGAGAACCTGGTTATTGATCATTTTAGAGTGATGTGCAATAAATCAAAAATATTAATTTTGATCACTCTATCTCTTTTATCAGAGTCACCCTCTAAAAAAGCTCGTCCAAGCAGGAGTAGCAGAGGTGATCTTATGGATGCGATTGGAGAAGCAGGGCTTGTAACGAAAGGGATAGTGGATGGTGAACCTACCGTCTCGCCTCTCAACTCGAAAGAGAGGGTCAAGGTGCTTTCGTACATGGGGGGGCTACCAGTAGATGATCCTTACAAAGGCATTATTAGCGTGGCTCGCGAGCTCCGAAATTCTGGTGGTATCAAGGATTCCAAAATATTGACTGCCCCTGAGGGTTGTATCTTCCCTGTTGCCAGAACAAGGCATCTTTATATCAGAAAAGAATATAAAGAGCTTTATGACCATATTACATCCAGGTTAAGTACCCCTCATAAAACTGGTTTGAACCGAATGTTTGTCACTGGAACACCTGGAATTGGGAAGTCAGCCTTTCTGGTCTATTTTGCCATCCGCCTCCTTGCCGAACGCGACGAGGAAAATCCACCGATTATTATTTTCCAAGAGAAGCAGGGTACCGAATGTCATGTTTATGGAGGAACAACTTGCCGACGTAAAGGGGATATAGCGATGTTCGATGATTTCCTTGCTCGGCCTGAAACGTGGTACTTAGTTGATAGTGGTAAAAATCCTCAACCAAGTCTAGCTAGGACGATATTCGCGGCATCACCAAAAACTCTCAATGAGCAGTACGGTGAATTCGCCAAGGAAACTGCACGCTTTAGCTACTATCACATGTCACTCTGGAGTTTGGACGAGCTTAAAGAATGTAGAGCCAATGTAGAGTATTATCATCTAGTGGATGAAGAATTTTTGGAGGAGCTTTTTTACAAGTTGGGGGGAGTACCAAGACATGTCCTACAGATCCCAGCCTTTTCACTATTCATGAATCAAGAAAATATTAAGAGTGCTAGAGACTCTGCGTTTCGCCGCGTCAATGAGGCCATTAAATCACTCCTGGAGCCAGCAGATCTTGTAAGCCTCTTTTCACGAGGAAAAGATGCGAGTGCATTTAGTGGTCGTTTACTCCATAGAGTCCCCACTTCTGACCATCTCGACTTCTACCTGGTGTGGGCATCTCGTTGGGTCGAATCACAGATTATGGAGAAATTAAAAGATAACACTTGGGTCGATGTGTTGGCGGAACTTGTCAAAGGCGAAGAGGATATAGCTAAAGGCCCACTGTTTGAAATCTATGCTCATCACTTATTTCGACGTGGTGATATTAGATTTCCCTTTAAGGATCTCCAGTCAGGCGAAACAGGATTTCTTGATTTTCCAGCAAATCCAGAAGAGGTGTTTATCCGGACTTCAGAGGAATTATCAGGGCTCACTCAAGCAGCTGGCAAGTTGTTTGTACCAGTACATTCTAAATTTCCGTGCATTGATTTTGCATTGGGACCCAACAAGCTATTTCAGGTCGCAGTATCAGAGGAACATCCGATCAAGCAAGCACCATTCAAGGAGATAATTGATTATATTACCGGACCCTGCTCGAAGGGAAACCGATCAAAGTTGAAGGGAAGTGATGATACCATTTTCCTCTATTTTGTGGTACCAGGTTACATATATGATAATTTTAAGGTTCAGAAGTTTGTTATTAACGATAGTCAGGATGCCAAGGCAATACCTGGATACTTGAAACATGTAAGACAGCGTGTCATAAAAATCGACATCGAAGCTGCATATTCAGGAGGAGCAGCCGGTACGAATCTGAAGAATTAAATCGAATACCAATCAAGTGGATGAAAATTTGTCCTGTAAAAGAAAAGCATTATACCTGTTCCTTGAGGATTTTTTACAATGGTTCATCCTTTATAAATGAAGCCATCATTATCCACTTACCTTTTAGACGAATAGATAGAGCGGTTTAATCCGTCCTCCCTTCTACTGGGGCATATAGAACTTTATAAAGCCTGTGATCATCATGCGATCTTGTGTGCAAGAAAGGGCAGATTTTTGTGATACTATTATCAAAGAGTTTTGTAAAAACGGATAGAGATGAAGAATCCTGTGGAGAACCCAGTGAGAGTCTGATGATGAGACCCAAAACCATATTATTATCACCAGGACAGCTGGCATAGGAAATTATCCTTTCTCATATGCTTTGTCATCTGGATGCTTGCCACTTGCGGAAGACCCATCAATTATCATCATCCAAGGCGCCAGAACGTTTAACCAGGAGCTAGGATGACAGCTCCGCTCTAAAGACATAAATGTCGTTTTAGCCCCATGGTGCGTACACGGCATGGCAACCTGTGACCAATGAGATCATATTAGTTGTATGTTCGGCCAATTCAGTGTCAGTATGTGAAGGCGGCGCGTCTTGAATCTCTAGGCGTCCAGGGACATGGAATAAAAAAACATCAAGAATTTGGCCAAGGCTGCTACGCGCTTGACCGGTAAAATGTGATACAATATTGGATTGTGTCGTCAATATATTAATAGTTCTCGGTATATTAGTGCTACATGCTGTTGAGGGCATCAATCTCGCCAGAATCATCCCCTCTCACATCAATTCATGCCAGACGGATGAAAGATTAGGAGGAAAAGGTCCTTGATGTCTGGGATATCCACGCTTGTTTATAATCTCACCAAAAGTTCTGTGTCTTGCGTTCATAGGCGGTTAATCGCAGTTTGGTTTTCGTATGCCTCTTGAAGAACGTAAGCAAAAATGCCTTTATGTTTTATATTAAATACTCATTAATTTACCCTTTTTACTTGTCCGAAGGCAGAATGACGCCTAACCAATGGATGCTATTGCAAGTGTGTCCACAGGTCCTTGGAGAAGTCCATTGAGGAAACTCGGTTCCATCCAGGACAGATTTATTCCTAGCGCTCTTCACAAAAGTAGCAGAATTATTTGGTGGAGTTGGCTTTAATTGCCTTGACAAGCTCCTGCAAGATTGGTTCGACAATCTAATCAGGGTCCTTTCGGAGCGACATCAAAGCAACTCTATGTTTTTGGTTGTTTTGAACGAGGCGCAGGATATGGGGAGGGGAGGCTAAATACCAGTTTATTAATAACGACGATACTATGCGACCAATATTATCAGCATTCTTTCATGGATTGGAGGGTTTATCAGAGGATTTAGCACGAATTTGCATAGATCCTTGCAGGATAGGCTTCTGTATTTATGATCCTGCTTGGGTTAAGAGAACTGACAAAGCTTCAAGGAATATCGAGAAGTTCTCGATGACTCGAGGTTCAAGAGTGCAGTACCGTTTCCTAGATGGGATAATCAAGCAAAAGTCCGGACATACTTCAATACACTTGTGCGATATTTGGAGAAATAAAGTTACTCAAGCTCTGCATCAAAGCGGAGAGGCCATTTTAATGATCAAGCAATCGAGATGCTATATGCTTGGTCCTGTGGTCGTCTTCGTCCAATGATTACTATAATAGAGAACGTCATTGGACGTGCCGATGCAGGCCTTTGGAAGCAAGAAATCAAGGACCTGGTGTCGTCGCTCACTGATCCAGGATATAAAGAATCTGGTAACCTATGCCATGAGTAATCTAGAATTCTGAAGCGTATTAACAAAGGGGATGCAGCAATTAAAACCAGTGTCGACATCAGGGAAACCTTCGGTCGAGCCGTAAAGAATGAATAGATTACTATATAGTAAAGACTTGATATTGGAGTACAATGAGCCTGTTCCGGTCGAGGTTTCATTTGCTTGAATTGTCGTTAATCAAAGGAAGAAGGAGTTTACGATTGTCGTTGAGCCAATAGCATTTAACTTATTTGAAGTGGATGACCCTTGATTGGTTAAATTGGTTAATAGTGTGTTGCTAGACGCCCCTATGTCTGGCACAAAGGGCACACATTTTGAGTATTTCAGTCCCGCTTTGTTAGTTTCAATCTTCCAGAATTATAACAACGAACGAATTCTTGGATACTCACTGTAATAAAGACTCAATACATGAATCCAAGTTAATCTCGCTTTTTTTTTTTGTTTCCAAAAGAGAACCCGTCTGGACCAGATATCGTCTTTGTACTGGAATCGGAGGGTAAATACGACCTATCTGACTCATCGAGCCTAGAACCACGACTACCTCCAAGGATCCGCAGGGCGCCGTTTCGGAAGAGTACCAAAGGGAAATTCGCCATCATTAAATGGTAAGTCTGGTACTGACACTGACCAAGACAACGCCTGAGGGAAGGGCGACAAAGGTGTTTCAAGCTCAGACTCCTGTAAAGCTATGGTTGACAAAAATGTAGCTGGGGCTAATGCATACTGCCCTATATTTAGCGGCTGGGCAAAAGCGGATGAGGGCGAAGGTGAGGTGATTAGGAATGAGGATGAGGATGAAGGTGAGACTAAGAAAGGTGAAAAAGATGGAGCAGGGGCCAATGGACGCTGTCTCATATTCAGTGGCTGTACCGGCGTAGGTGAGGACAAGGACGAGGGAATTGGAGATGATGACGAGGATGGGACCAAAGATGAGGGCGAGAATGTGGCCATGGTTGCAGCTGGGGACTGGGACAAGGGCCGGGGGCAAGGACTGGAATCAACGCGTGCTGCATCCGATTTGGTAGTTGCGACGATCGTGCGGGATCCCTCATCAAGCGAACGCTGGGTCCTATATTTGGATATCTTTCACAGATCTTTTGATCATCCTTTATCAACTGAAACGCTGACTCTTGCAGCTTCTTTCTTTCATATTCATGCCATCGTCGCCGCTGCTTGAAATAACTTTCATTGATGCAGTCCCTGTCCTTATCGCTTAGAGTCGTATATGATCTCCATTCTTTGCCTTCCATCCTCATGACCCAGGTGTCTTAACAGGGCTGCAGTATCCATGAGGATGTATGGGTCCTGAAGATCGATACTAGGATCTGGCTCTACAACATCCTCGGCAAGGCTATCATTATCAAGATCATATCTTCAGACGATGCCAGGCGGCTAATTTCATAAAAGGGATAACTCTTTCCACGCGTCTGGAGCTCCTTCTTCGCCGGCGACAAGTTATGGCCATGTTCATCTACGACATGGTAATCGGAGGAAATACTTGGTTCGTAATCATCATCATCCACACTCTCTTCTTCAAGCTCCATGGAATCGTTCACTATACTAGTCTCGTCTTCACGGTTAAAGAATCCCATGAAGCGATGGTCTTTTAACTTTGAGTCAACATACTCGCAGATGGAACGGAACCCATCTAAAAGCTTGTACAGCCCCAGCATTTCTTCATCAGAGGTAAAGGAGAACTGAGCTGAATTTGAGCCTGGCTCTTGTCCGTCATACCAAGAATCATTCTCTGGATCAAGGCCTTCTGTTGCCTCGGAAACAGCAGCAGTACGAAGGCTTTGTCGTATATATTTTATGGCACTAGCAACATCTGGGTCTCGGGTCTGATCCATTAGCCTCTGAGATCAAACTTCTGCTCATCGCAGAATATGTCAACATGTGCGAAGCAATTCCGAATTGACTGTGGTTTTACTTTATCCCAGACACGTGCAATAAGTCTCCATCCCGTAAGGTTGTCAATGAAAAGCCTCCGTGCAATAGCGGCTGTCCTCTCGTGCAGACTTGCAGTCTGGCGCTTGTAGAAGGTTTCCTGGAGGCATTCTGCCTTGTAGTTCCCTTTGAACACAGCTATAATCCCAGCATCGAGGGGCTGTGTCTTACTTGTGGAATTTGCAGGAAGGAACACAAGTTGCACATTGCGAAGTTGATCAAGCACAAAATCTCTCGGCATATGGCTCGGGGCATTGTCCAACACCAAAGCGACTCGGCGGTGGGGATCTTGGGCCGCGACCTTCAGCTGGAATCGAAGCAGCCATATTTCAAATATTAATGATCTCATGTAATCTGGCCTTTTACCAGTCCAGGGCGTTGTAAGCGCGTCCTAAGACTCTTTCGAGAGCTGCTCGAACTCTTCTTGCCAGGTTTCCCAGATACCTGTGTCAGCTTGCTTGCCTGATCTCCAAGGCAGGACCTCAACTTGTGAGCGAAGCGGCTCGTCATTTTTGAAACCTTGCGGCAAATTCTCGCCTACAATTACAAGAAAAAAAAAAAGAATTGCTTACTCAATATAAAGGGCTTGCATCGGTCAGTCCCCGTTGCATTTGTGCACAAAAGAATCGAAACTCTTGTGCTCCGGACCTTGGTCCCGGAGACTTTGTCGTAATCCAGAGTCCAGTTGGACGTGGATTGAAGGAAGAGACCAGTCTCATCGCAATTATAGATATCGAGGATATTTTTCTCTAATAAAAATCAATAAGTGACGTCAGCACCAGGTTATTATTAAAGACCATTATCGGAACGCCAATTGTTTCTAAATGATCTCGCTCTCGAGGGGTAAATCCAAGTTGATATAGATGACACTGATGAAGCAGAAGCTGTGTACTATTCTCTGTTCTCTATTCTCTGTTCTAATTGTTTGTTGCTGTATCTCCAAGCCGTTATAACTGTTGGTGCTGTTCCAAATCACGACTTGCCAGCTCAGCCTCGAATAACTTAGGCAGAGCCATTACCACTGAGCTGTGCCGCTTCGCGTGGCCGTCCAGGTTCAGAAAGGCCGATGTCTCTGTCGACTGCAAGTAGTGCCTATTGATTAGACCTACTATGTATGTCTGTTTTCGAGGTGCTAGTGAAGGCACCGTATGTTTAGTGCTGAATGATTGGGAATCGGACCTGTGCTGCTTCGCGTGGCCATCCAGGGTTCGAGACATAGTTCGGCTTCTGCTTGCGAGCTGCTTTCTTAGTTGAGCTAGCGGAGTCATTTGTAACGAGTTGTGACAAGGGTGACAAGGGTAAATCCAATACGATCACCTCGATGTGATGACAGTGATGATTGATATTACCTTTGTGGTATCCTTTTTAAACATTATCTTGTTTACTTCTCCAAGCCGTTGCTCTTTTCTGGGACCCATAGATGACAATTACTCGATTGGCGCCGACCTGCATGCCTGAAAACAAAGCAACCCGTTATTAGAAGGGAATGACATCAAGGATCCTTTTGGTCAAGAACAGTGCTATTAGTACAAAGAATACCATACAATAAATTGATATATCGAAATATAAAAACAAAACGCAGTGTTTATATGTCCCACTTTTTAGATGTTATTAGCAACATGACTTTTTGCATTCCCAAAACCATACCTGGCTATGATTTACTTTTTTATGAAGAAGATGAAGACTTTCTTAAATTCAGCGAGTTCCTTCCTGTGCAAACCTATAGAATCTAATAACCACCCAAAAAGATTGGTCTAAGTGGCCATCAAGCCTGTTTTTTCTAGTTCTTCCTACCTGAGCTAATAGTCAAATGAAGTGTCACTATCAGGTTCCATTTTAGGCAGAGTGTCAAGCAGGACTCCCCTTCGCCAAAAAAAATCATGGCGTACGTATCTTCAGTGAGAATAGGCTGAAGTTATTGAATAGAAAGTAAAAAATATTTAAATTGAAATGTGCTCTAAGCCAATGATAATCTTGGAAATATAACAATTTTTTGATTTGCAATCCCCCATAGTGCTCGACTGTATGTCAACGATCAAATTGCCACACGCCACCTGAACGATGAATAGTTTTTCTCAAGCAAGAAGACTTGCGAGAGCATGAAGAAGAGGCAAAAGTGGGGATGTGAAGTGGGAGCTGCACGAACCACACGAGAAATGATTGATAGAAATGAAGCCAGTGATTTGGGTGTGTGTCTGACCATTGTTGATAACGAACTTTTGAACCTTAAACTTGGCTTATATGTCGCATGGAACCATGAAACAGAGGAATGTGATGTTGTCACTTTTCTTCGAGTTTGAGCAGTTTCTCTTCGAGCAGGATCCAGTAATACTAAATTATCAATTGTCTCCTTGAATGGTGCTTGCTTGATCGGATGCTCCTCTGATGTGACCTGGAATGGCTTGTCGGGCCCCAACACAAAACTAATGGGTGGAAAGATAGGAATAGACAGTAGAAACAACTTGCCACTTACTTAAGAAAATTCCGATAATGCAGCTGCGGCAATCCGCTTGGTGTGTTCACTTCTCCTTGCTCAGGTTTGCTGAATAGCGATATTTTAATTTATCTATTAGTGTTACATTACAAAATTGTGTCTGTGCCGTTGTCATAAACAATGGCGAGTAAAAAGGAGTAAAAGAAGCGATCGCTACTTTTTCCTTGGTCTCTTATCCCTGCTTGACCTATTGGGCTTGTCGTCCTCCGCATGAACTTTTTCTTTTATTTGATCCGCTGGCTTTGCTCAATTCTTCCTTATTTTCCATAGTTTGAGCTTTATCGACAATTCTCTTTGATGTCCTCCTTGCCTGTGGTTCTTTGGGCTTGCTTCCTTCTCCCTCATCCTCACGGAAATGCTTTTTTTCAGTCAAGAGCACGTTTCATGGTAAATATGACTACTCGAAACAAACCCAGGATGCAGCGAGGGCCGGAATACAAGGTGCGCTTCAATGTCTTTACAGCGATAACCGCAATATAAAAAAATGATTGAGACCATCGCTTGTTCATCAATGTGTGGAAGCGCCACGAATCCAGGGAGGTTTCTGATGTAAAAGGCCTACGGGAAAGCCTTGATGAAACTCAGACTATAAGGTCGTTCGAGATCACAAGGTAATTTGTTGGACGTGAGGTTGTGTGGGCAGACTCTTGATGTAATTAATTAAGATAATGAAATATTCCTTTCAAAAGCCAAAGATGGAACTGGTTACCTTATTGTTATGCCTTTGTAATGTTGAAGGCTCTCAATCAAATACTTCTTAGAGCTAAGGAAGTGTCTGTTTCCCCTTGCGACTTTCTTTCTGCGTCGAGCCTGGCTATTGCACTATTTCAAGCGTCTTCATGGACACTATCAAAAATGCTCTTGTTGGACCGAGCATTGCTTGAGGTCGATGCTGCAAGGAATAAGAGGAGGCCTGCATCCCGAGCTGACACAACCTGAGTCCTGTCTGATGTCTTTCAAGGTGTAAAAGGAGACTTTGGTCTACTTCAATCCATATACGCTTGCAGAAAACTAAATGCCCATGCCAAGAAAGAAAAAGTTACTAGTCAATACCAACAGTGGTGCGAAATCCAAATTGACTGTTCTGTCCAATAATGAGACCACCAGGGAACTTGCTGATTGCGTGTTTCGCTGCGCCGGAAACTGTGTCAACATTAATCATCGTTGGGTCTTCCAAAGTCCCAAAAATGGTGTACCATTGATCATCAAGGTTGAGCTTGAGAATCTTTTGTACAAAATATCGTCGCTGCATAACGCCAAGAAGGAGCTCTCAGCATTCGGTGGGAAACCCAAGAAGACGGCTGACAAGTCCGATGATAACATGATCATATCCAAGGTTACAGATAGGATGCCGCGGCTCCGTAAAGGCACGGATGCTCGTACATTTCTGGGTCAGATGAAAAATTATTAGACTGCACTCATTAGCAACGATCGATTCGAGAAACTGTGCGGACGATACCTTCAGTTACTAATCGGGAGTGAGCACCATAAAGACCTACTCATACGTGAAATGTAGAAGTCTGAGCCACATGAACTCACTTGGAGAAGTGCGAAATACTGTTCCTGGATGTCTCCCTCCATGAGCAGGACGCACTGCCGAGATGAAGCAAATGTTGGAAACCGGCCGAAAACGGACAGAGGTTTTCCATGAATTCGCCACAAGAAATTCCAAACAGGTAAGTGTGACTCTTGGGTTGCTCATATTCTCTATAGATGCGGAGACGTCGAACCAGATGATAAACATACTTCGAATACTCTAGAAGGATATAGTGGAAAGGTTTGCCTCCATCAAGGACTTCGTTCTGATCCTCGGCAAGTTCAGCGGTCCTACCTCTGCTCTTCGAGCACAAAAGGAGCAAAAGTCTCCGCAGGGTTCTGCTTCTACGTAGGTCCTATCAAAAAATAAGATTAATCGAAGCAAGCGGTTTTCTGCCTATAATAAACCGATCAAAGAATCGATGCGACCCACTATTGGTACCTATCAGTGCAACTGCTGTGGCGCGAACAACACTCATAACACGATTGACTCTGAATTCTGTAATCATTGCAAGAAAGCTGATCATACGTTTTAAGATTGTTGCAGCCGACAAAGATTGAGTAATAATGATGCTAATGGCAAGAGCGATAACAGAAAATATATCTATCATAGACTAGGAAATTTCCCTTCAGAAGGTTCATACAGCAAACAATCTACTCGTATTCTACTTGGTGGAGCCAAAGCATCTAAGATCTGTATCTCTTCTGCTATCACACAGGCAAGAACAAGCCTTTTAGAAAATAAGCACATCGAGAAGCATGTAGATGATATTATCTTCATTCGAAACGAAAATGTAGACAATGTGTAACAGACGCGTTATTCTAGAATGAATTATATCGTGACTGAATAAACCCCGCAAGACTTTCCGAACCGAAAAAGGATATCATCGTGCTATAATGTTCTTTTCGTTTTTTTATTGTGGTCCATTTCATCGCGATCACCTCCATTCCTCTATACTCATCCATTATAAAGATTGCTTTCCTGCAGCGTTTTTCACCAAAAAAAAAAAAAAAAAAAAAAATCCAAGCTTGGTCCCAGTAGGTGGGATTCGTGCAATGCATTTAAGCTTTTCAGGCAAGTGACACGCCGCATACTGTGGGATCTCAAACACCTGCTTTCGTTGGGCACAAACATTCATGCACGAAATTAATTCTCAATTAAAACCAAAGAAGAGCACGAACTTCACTTTGTGATCAAGGCTCTCTAGCTCATGTTGCTTAACATTCTTTTCCTCTTTTCATGTTTCAACACAACAACCCTTTCTTTTTTTCTTTTCTTTTTTTTTTATTTTATTTTTATTTTTTTTACCTTCATCCTACTTCCTTCTGCCACAATAAGTCAGCACAGATATGACTGGCGCTACGCTTCGCCGTGGCGTGTTCCAACTAAAAGTTACCAGACTATTTGACACTTTCAATATTAGAAGATGCCTTTTGATACTGTACATTTCCTTGTTTTTCGGAGACTTCACTACTCCTGTGACAGCACAAATCCCTGACTTTGGATACTCCATGGCCTATGCCACTGTAAAAGATAAGACACTATACATCCATGGAGGATACATAGAAACGGCGCCCTCGCCCAGTAACCAGTTTTTCGCTCTAGATTTGACACAGCCAAGCTGGAACACGTCAAGACCACCATGGAAAACGATCAATGTCCACAACCTTGCCGATCAAAGACATCCAGGCGTAGCGGCCCACACAATGACTGTATCTAAAGACCAGCAAATGCTGATTGCCTTCTATGGCCATATGGTGTTTAAATATCACTTTGCAAATGAGACATGGTCAGCTCCCATGAAGCCGTCTTTGAACTTCACTATATTAAGCCAACAAGCTGTAACAGATCCCAACTCAGGGCTCGTCTACGTTCCTGGCCCTGTCGGCTCTGACTACATATCATTCGCAGCGGGCGATATGTTGGTATACAATCCTGAAACAGGAGTATGCCAAGCGATCCCAATGCCGACAGAGCACTCTAGTGGTAGATTTGAGCATTTCGCCGCTGCTTGGAGTGAGAAGCGGAATAGTCTTCTCATTCATGGAGGGTGGCTAGGTTCTACTACCAAGACCGCTATTGACATTCTTATTGAATACAACCCTGCGACATCTGCGTGGAAACAAGTGGTAAGGCAGCAAAGGATATGGTTGATAGTTTACATTTTCATGGCTGATTTATCTGACACTGAGATCGGTCGTTTTGTTACAGGCCACGACAGGAACGCCCCCTAAAGGCTTAGCTGCTCATTGCATGGTTCCTGGTAAAAAAAAAAAAAAAAAAAAAAAAAACTCTTACTTGCATCAGGATCAGATATCATCTTTTTGACACAAATTTAATGAGCCTCGTCTATTTCTGGAATTAGCATACGGCGGATCAAAAATGATTGTATTTGGTGGCTGGCAGGAAATTGATGACTTGCAAAGCACTATATACATCCTTGATATCGATACTATGACATGGAGTCAAGGGCAATCGGCCCCTCCAGAACAGGCTCGCGCTTCTATGGTCTGTACTTCGATAGGTGATAACTTCCTGGCATGGGGAGGTATCGTTAAGAGCAGATCGAAAGGTATGCAATTCAGCCCTCATAGCCACCACACCATGTAATGTTGCTTATTACCACTCATTAAATAGCTCTTATTATACCTGAAAATTATAAACTATAGGAGGCGCACCGATCATTTACAACATCAAGGACAATCAATGGACTACACAGTACTCCTATTCAACTTCATCGCCGGATACGTCTACGTCTACGGCTATTTCCACAAGTAAAGTGAACGACGCTGTCATTAATAGAGTCGTTGGTGCTGTGGTTATTGTGATTGTGGCTGTGTTTTTTGTGTAAAGGCGCAATAAATATGGGAAGGGTCATCAGCACGACAAAAGTACTCCGAAAGCATCACACGCCTAGATTACTGACAACGTACGGCCTCGTTCTCAAGTTTTGTGTTCGAATATAATTCAGATAGTCTACGGGATAATAGATCATATACTACCAACAAATAAATGCAGCTATAAGGCCAGGTAGCGCAGATCAGTGCATAATTAGGGGCACTGAAGCGTCGCTTGGCTGGATCAGTAATAGTAAAAGGAAGATTTGTGAAGATCGGTGACTAGTTAGTTCAGTATTTTTGACTCTGACAGAGAGGAAACAAATCCACTGTTGTTGGGATGCGAAAAATGATGCGGCCACCTATGGCAATAATTTTATCTTATTAATGCAACTATGAAGCATACCCCATTAACTCTGTCAAATCTGCCATGCTGCTCGCTCCGACTTTTGTAAATGGAATTATCTCTGCTGCTTATCCACGGAATTATATTGAAACAGCAATGTCGTGGCCCCCGTCGCTCAAGTCAAACCACATAAAGCTTCAATTAAGGGGCCTGATCAAGGAGCGTTTTTTTTTTTTTTTTTTTTTTTTTTCTTCTAACCCAATATTTTTTGTAAGTCAGCATTCACTGAAATCTAAGAATTCGTCGACATCAAGCCATGCGAAATTACACTACCACCGTTACTAGTGATAGAACTACGAGTGTTCAACCACGTTCAACAGAAGAAAATCCCTCAGCAAGTTCGCCTACTTCACCTGCCCCCATTATTATTGTTTCTAGTTCTGCCGGTAGTGCTTCTACTGCTGCTGGTAGCACTACCTCGTTTATTTATCGGAAGCGCAAGCAGCCTGATTCAGAACGGTCTACGCCTCTGAACGTGTCAACATTAATGTCGTGCAGGGCTCCAAAACATGTTTATACGTTTCAACAAGATATATTCCTTGCAGAAAGGCTCGCGGATCCTCGAATTAGTGAGATTTTGTTTAGTTCAATCGGCGGCAGCAGCACCAGTAGCAGTAACATCAACAACAACAGTAACGACAACAATAACGACAATAGTGATGGCAACAGTGATGACAAAGACGTGACGATTTCAGCTCCAGCTTCTGTTCCTGTTCCAGCTCCTCTTCCACTCAAAAGCAAGATCCATCAAGAATTAGTCGATACTTTCAACAAAGAATTCAATACGACTCTCGATTCACTTCAAATAAAAAATAAGATTGCGGCCATGCAGAGGATCTGGAAGGAGGCAAGGGCACTAATCCATAATATACAAGGTACAGGGAATGAGGACAAGGACAGCGAATTGTTGAAGGAGATGGTTCTTAAAAGATGCTCCTTTTTTTATATTATGGAACCAGTTTGGTACAAACTCTGGACGTCACCCTCGTCAAAAGGTGTTAGCAACAATAGTGGCAACAAAAAAAACAGCAGTAATAGCGTCAGTTACAGTAAAAGCAACGGCAAAAATAACAAAATTGTCAGCAACAGCAACAATACCAGCAGCAACAACAATAACGACAGCATTCAGAATCCGCCTTTTGTTGAGGAGGATCTGCAAATGGCCGAGGAGGAGGAGGAGGTAGAGAGAGCTAACATTGAACATGAAATTATTGAGCTGCAGAAACAGCAGCAAGGAGAACTACAGGAGCAGCTGCAAGAGCAACTGCTGGAACAGGAACAGGAGCTACAACGGGAACAGGAGCAACAATATCAGAATCAACATCAACAGCAACAGCAGCAGCAACATCAATATCGACATCAACAGCAACATCAGCTTTCTCAGGACTTGAATCAGCAACCATCATACTTACCATCGTGGCTATCAAGAGAAGAAAGGATCGTCGCGCCCAGGACAGGACAGCAGCAACAGCAACAACAGCAACAACAGCAACAGCAACAGCAGCATCCACATCTTAGAGAGCTAATATCAGTTATTTGTGAGACTCTAAAATCATCTCAATCTAGTCAGGAGGAGCAAACTAAACGATTTCGGATAGAGAAAGAATCAACACTTCTGATCGAGAAAGAAGTGACGGCTCGTGAAAAGGAGATGACAGTCCGCGAAATGAAACGTATAGGATCTTTGGTGGAGATAGCAAAACTTGAATTGCAGCGCGAGCAAAAAGCGATAGATCGCTTAAAATTGGAGCTTGAGCTCCTCAAGTGGCGTGAACGTGAACATGAACAAGAGCGTGAAAGAATGTCAGAAATGGACCATTATAGCAGCAGTAGTCACAATATTAGTAATAGTGATGTTCAAGCACGAGTGGGTATTGAGTAATAAAAGTCTTTGTCCGGAATTCGACTCTTAACCTTTTCAAGAAAGGGAGATTTTTTTTTATTTTTATTTTTATTTTTATTTTTATTTTTATTTTATTTTTATTATTATTGTTATTATTTTTCTTTGTCTCTTCTAGCGCTGTCGAATTTATTTTCCTTTGATCGAGTATTTTCCATAAGACTTTTCAGGGTCGTAGATCTCAAAGCGTGACAAGGGGAAAATATGTTTGTTACGCTCATAATACGTCCGCTCCACCACTTTGCCGGCATGAGATTCATCCTTCTCAATATTTGCATCGTTGGTCAGACGAATATCCTCATGAACATCGAAACTGAACAATGGTCCTGATTTACCACGAGCTTTGTTGATGATAAAGTCGTAGAATGTATAATGATGCGGAATAATTAAGTCCTCTTTCACATACATCAAATTGTCGATACTGACACCTCGCAACTGTTGAAATTGCTGACGACATTTTTCCAAGAACTGTGCTATCGTATCTCCCTTCTTGCACTAAAATCATGTTCATTGAATAGGAATCGAAAAAAAAAAAAAAAAAAAAAAAAAAAAAAGTTAATGGTAAGGAAAAAGGCAATCGAAGCGTTGAGCATACAAGATTTTTAACCTTTTTTTTTTTTTTTAAAAAAAAAAAAAAAAAAAACAAGGAAGTTACCTCGACTTCTTTACGATGTCCTGATCCATCCCAATACGAATAAGTGATCTGAATAGGCTCCTTCTTGATCTCTTCCTGTTTCCTCAGCCACTCTTGCCTGAGTTCTTCTCTAGCCATACGCTCCCTTTCTTCACGTTCTCGATCCGGCAAGAAACTAGTATCGATATTAGGATCCTTTCCAAACTTTGGTTTCTTGAAGAGCGGCGTTGACGGAGATCTCTCTCCATTGGCCCCATTTCCTCCATTGTCTTCACCATCATTTTCTGAACGCTTCCGACTCAATTCACCATTTTGTTCTCCTCCTTCGCCTCCTTCTTCCTCATCATCTGCAAATGATAATTTCGAAATGACTTTTTTAGCCTTTTTCTTTGTTGTTTTTTCTTGTCTAATTAGTTATCGATCAAAAAGAAGGAAGGAAAAATAGAGGGAATTGTTTTAGTTTTTTTTTTTTTTTTTTTTTTTTTTTTGTTTTGTTTTGTTTGCTCATTTGTGCTAAAAGAATAAAAATATATATATATAAGGTAGCTTTTTAATAACATTTACATACATTTGATTTGTCTTGGCGGCTTCACGTTTTTTAAGCTCTTCAAGTTCTTGTCTAACTTTCCGAAAATCCTTGAGATGAACAAGACCCACAGTCGACTTCTTAAGAGCCTCCTCCACGTTATCATGTTGCGACACAAATTTGTCTGACGAGACTTTAAACTCATTATCTTTAGCAATCTGTGCACGTTGTTGTTCAAACTCACTCAACATCTTTTCACGCTGCTTCTCCAATTTTTGATGGCGAGCACCCTCTTGCGCTGTTCCTGTAAATTCATAAGAAAAAAGTATTTTCAATTAGGTGAAGATGTTTCAGTAGAGGAATGAAAAGAGTTTTTTTTTTTTTTTTTTTTTTTTTTCTCTTCGTTGTTACTGTTATTGTTGCTACTTTACCTTTGTATTCGGCCATGGTCGATTTGTATGATTGTGAGAAGAATAGGTTTGGTTCGAATTCAGTTTATAAATGATGTTTAGAGGGGCGAAGCTTCTAAAGGATACAGGTTGCAATTATATACACTTTTTATTTTATTTTTTTCTCTCTAAGCAGTCACATAAGAAGCCTATAAATCCTGGACATGGGAATAGAACCTTCCATGGCCACGATCCTGTACACACCCACCAATGCAATTGTTGATACAACTCCTGCCACCACAACCCGAGTCTTTCTTGACTTGATCAGATCTTGGACTTTGATGCGACTGCTATTATTACTTTTTTTAGGCAACGCCATGTTGAAAGCAATAGGTCCCCCACTCATCATATGATAGGCTAAAAAGCCCACCAGCAATACATAGGGTATCGTAGAAGATTTCTTCATCCGATATAAAAAAGTGACAAACGAATAATCAATCATTGCCGAATCTCCCAGAACATCTACCGGGACTGCACGCATCGAGTTCGCATGACCTAGAACAATAGGTGTCAAACACCATCCCACCAAACGATGATATGGGAACAGTCCTGGTGACGTTCCACTTCCACTAATACTTCCTCTCACACCAATGTCAGAAATCCTAACGCCGGTACCGTCTTCTTCCCTGTGATTGTCAAGTCTCCTTGATTGCCTAGAAGAAGAAGAATGGATCGTTGTTGTCGTTGTGCTTGTTGTTGTTCCTGTTGTTACTGTTGTAATCGTGGCTGAGTTTTGTGTCTTGGTATTATCCCCATTGTTTTCACCTTCATCTGTAATGACAGGGGTTGTGGAAGCATAATAAGCCTTGGCCTTCCAAATAAATCTCACCAAAGCTTTACAGAAACCTGTTCCAACGTGAAGTGCTAATGACCCATAAACGAACACCTGTTCGATACCGTAAGTCTGAAAAAAAAAAAAAAAAAAGCCAATTAGTATGTTTTGTGATAAACACAAAATAAAAGCTTAGTTAATTATCTCTTCCTTTTCTTTTGAAAAAATCTAACCTGATAATAAACGCGTCCCCAGATAAGAGCCTTGTTTGCCAATTCTACGCCTCCAACAGACGCTAAGACAGGGGGCACCAAATGAATGATTCCAAAAGCACCAAACATCAGAGCAGAGTAAGCCTGAACTCGGCCTAAACCTTGATATAGCCCTACAGATGGGAACGAGTATACGCTTTTCCTTACTCCTCCTATTACTCCTCCACCACCTACTCCTGTGTTGCCTCCAACAGATTCTGAGTCAGTAATAGTGACTGTTGTAGCTTTGTAATATGCCTCGGAACCTGTCAGGCTTTGGAGTTCTTGCTCTTGCTCTTGTTGTTGTTGTTGTTGTTGTTGTTGTTGTTGTTGATTATCTTGATGATATAATTCCTCATTAGATTGTTCATCTTTAACATTTTCTGCACTCTTTTGTATGTTATCAATGTCATTGTTGTGAGGCTGAATTATTTCAAATAGTGAAGAAGAAGAAGAGGAGGACGATAACAATGATGAGACTGAATTTCTGGCTCTTGTTGCTGTATCACTATCGTCACCCTCACCAGCACCTTCCCTTGTCTCTCCAGAGATGGCCATCATGGAAGAGATTAACCGTCGCCCTTTCTTCTGTCGGATTGTTTGAGAGCTATAGCGAGCAGGAACAGGTGAACTACTTCTGCTACTGCTGTTTTCATTGTTTGTGTTGAAAATTAATCCGGCGGTGGCTTCTTCAATTCGGATCAGTTCTTCCATATCAAGCTCCTGATCATTTTTAAAGGAAGGAAGCATTGTCGTTGCTGGTGTGTTCTGTGTTGGATGCTCGTCTGCCCAGACGTTGTATGGCTCAGCAAGGGGACTTGAAGGAGCCATTTTGTAGCAGCAGGCAGCAGTGATTGTGGTAGTAATGGTAGAGGTTGCTGTTGATATTGCACAACTGATCTTCTCCTTTTATCTCTTATTTGAAACCAGTTACAAAAGAAGGAGAGAAAAGGGGCGATATAAAGTCAAGTAGAAAGGTGTTTTCACTAAAAAGAAAGAAAAAAGAGATTAAGAGGTGAAGTGGAGAAAAAAAAAAAAGAAAGAAAGGGACAACAGAAAATATGCTCTGAAGCAAGGATGGCGGGCCGCACTGAACAAAAACAAAAAAAAAAAATTCAACCGCCGCAGAGCTTGTCCCGGAGAAGAATTTTCATGTGTGTGCAACTGTAGAACCACATCAATGTTTTTTTTTTTTTTTTTTTTTTTTTCTTTTTCGCGTAGGCAAGGTTGGGCAGTGTGGCGGATCCACAATTCAGTTCCTTTTTGTTCCTTTATTTGCTTTTAACTCGATGTCCCTGAATGAAAATAATACAGAGGAGAAGCACAGGGGCTCTGTTTTCTGTTTCTTGATTTTGCATCATCGGTTACAATGTACAAATCATGACACCATTCAACAACATTTATAAAGTATTAAATGCTATTCCCACGCGTTTTTTTTTTTATTTTTTTTTTTTTTCCTCTTTGATTCCTTCATTATCAATAACAACAACAAAAAAGGGTTGTATATAATATAAGCCGATCTATCACTTAGAAAATATCATTGCATACATAAAAAAATTCACCATGAATACAACGGATTGCTTGTGTCTTTCTTAAAAAAAAGAAAAGGAATCAGATTACTGTGTTATCAAAATTTTTTATTCCTGCATGTTTGATGGATATATCCCGCATGCACCTTTTTATGAACAAATAGCTTAATCAAGATGATGTATTATCTCTCTCATATCTCTCTTGCACCATGAAAAAAAAAAAAAAAAAAAAAAAAAAAAAAAAAAAAAAAAAAAAAAACGACAATCTCTTTTCTGCAGGAACGGTTACTTTGCATGAACAATAAAAAGCTATTGATTGATTCCCTAAATTACCGAGCCTTATGAAATAGCCTATTAGAGTTAGTTTAGTGACATTTCAATCACTATGGGCTGCTTCATGATCTTTTAGGTTTTTATGTCTGTCTCTCCACCAGACAAAGTGTTATCAGAATCAAGTCGATCACTATTGTGATCACAACTACTTTCTAGGCCATAGCCTGGACATCGCATGGGTAGCACATCATCACCATCGACAATTACGACAGCTGGGTCTAACAAAGTGAGCAGCGCAAGATATGAACACAAGCAGTGATCTTCGCCAGTCTTTTTTTTTTTTTTTTTTTTTTTTTTTTTCACTGATGAATTTGGCTAGTGTGATGCTCCGCTGGCCTTCAAGAGCGGCATGATGTACTCTGATACAAAAATATCCTGTTGCGCCTTTGGTATATCATTCCAGAAACCATCGATGGTGAGAATATTCTGAATAGTACACCGCACCGCAGGAAAAAAAAAAAAAAAAAAAAAAACTCCTTCACGACGCAAGATTCACTAGTGAATATCATTGGGTAGAAGAGATATAGGTAGAGGCGTTGTTATTGATCATTGTTTCCTGTGTTGGTTCCGGAACTCGAGAAAAAGAAAGATGAAGACTAGCGTAGGGCATCAAATGCTATTTATTTATTTTAGCTTAGTTCTGGAATCTCGAGTATCAATAAAGGATTGATTACACAGGAGAGGGTTGCTAGCAAAGGAAGGGTAATGTTCACATTTGTAGGCATCACGATATGAAATAGCCTATTTTTTAAGACATGGATTTTTGCAGGAGAAAAAGACCCAGGCTTTAATCAACAACATGTTCATTTTCTGTTCCAGCCTATGTGCAATTATATTAACCTTCTGTTGTCGTTTACTATTGCAGACTGTTTTCTTCTATGTTGCTACGCACTCACGATCATAAAATAAAAAAATAAAATACATCTTTTCTATGCAGTTACAATGCATTTATATTTTAATACATAGTAAGGGTTCCATAATTAATTTAAGCGTCGACGCCCAGTAAAAACGGTGATTCGTATTGTGTTCTAGAAAAGGTTGTCTACACGCGATATTGCTTTCTTTGCGGTGCCGTGTCAATACACAAGACTTCCTTGTCAGAAACTTGACGTGAAACTAGTGGAACAACACCGGTTCTAATAAGATAATTTCGATCATTTATTCTCAAAGCAGTTGTTTAAGAACAAATCAAGTTAGTAAGTGTAGTCTATCTCAAACATAATCCTTTCTTTTGAACACTGTTGGAAGATTACAATTTCACATGCACCGAGGTGAAATGTAGTCCAAGCAATATGCCTACATTTCTTACACATGCCGCACCCCGCCTCCGATGGTCTCGCTGCAGACTAAACTTAACCCTGCAAGACGCAAGTGACATGGCTGTGCTCGGTACATTCAATTAAACTGTATTAAAACTGTATTCAATGGACTTACCAAATTACATACAAATTGAGGAAAGTTGAAAACCATTATTCACTTATTCTTCATTTTTACATTCATACAACAGCCAAGCCACTGCGACCAATTCGCCACCAGTCTGCACTCTGGACGCGTCTTCGAATAGGCTCGTCACCTGCCTGTGTGGCTTATGTGCATAAGTACTAACGCTCACCGACAGGCTGGTCCAAACTTGAGAAAAAAAAAAAGGCCAATTCCCCGCCATTCGCACGACTTACAAAAATCAAAAATGAAAAATACCAACACAAAGGACGTTAGCAATAATTCCAACTCTGCGCCCCGAACTCATGTTGATTGGCTCGTAGACCGGAAGGGGAATTATGCATCTCTTTTCCCAGACTTTGTAAACAAATTTAACCTTACTGAGAGTTCCTCGGCCGAAGCCGCATTCGACAACTTAATTCGGTCTAAGAAGTTAAAGAAAGAGCTCCGGAATCGGCTCATCGATGAATTTAATACATGGAAGCAGAAGAATAGTGAGAGGTTTTGGACCGAGAACGCCATTTGAATTTCCACTAGGAGAGCAGTGAGCAATACAGCGCAAAGAGTTGTTCGGAATGCTGAGGGTTTACTACAGAAACAATTGGACACGGACAGTGCAATCATTGAGGCCCCTACTGAAACATTAGCGTCTCCATTACTTGCAACTCCGGAAAATCAGCATATCGATGAAGATCAAGAAAGTAAGTAATTTTTTGGAGAGTGCATATTCATGATAGAAACTTTTTTACTGACAGCCATTGATGTTCAACTTTCACTTTCCTGTCGCGCCATCCATTGCATAATTATTCTTCTCGCTACTTTTTTTTTTTTTTTTTTCATGTTTCTTAAACTCGATCTTTCAAAAGACTCTTCCCGATCTAAAAGACAGTCATTCCTACCCACATGTTCTCTACGAGGAAAACGGATTCTGAATGATAATGAATGTAAGTGAGCTATTGATTAAAAGTTACACAAGGCTTGTAGCACTTTCTATCTGCCAAGATACTCATCACCATCACCCGCAAGCTTGACTTGCAGAATTAAGAACTGGTTATATGATTCCCAGATGCTCAATTTGCCTTTAGTAAATTATACAGTGGAATCTCGATAATTGTACACTTTTGTACAATTTTCGAATTTGTTATATTTCTCGGTTATTGATTGGCTAAGAAGCCCTAAAAATCCTCTACTGACTCCCCTACTCCAGTTGAGTGTGGGTTTTTAGAATACTTTTTTTTAAAAAAAGTAAGGCTCTTAGCCAACCAATGACTAAGAAATATGACAAATTCGAAAATTGTACAAAAGTGTACAATTATCGAGATTCCACTGTACAGCGTTTTTAATTGTGTTATCCATTTAAAAAAAACATTTATCCATTTTCAATTTGCATTGCTCCGATGAGAAATAGGCTTTATCTAATTTAAGCTAATAAAATTATTTTTTCAAACATGATAACCGGACTGTCACAAATATCCAAACACAATGTCCTTTTCATGTCCCACAAAATTCATGGTTAATTTCGTGTACTGACTATGTTTTTACTCTATTTTTAGCTGCCGTCTTTCCACAGAGGAGTCAGGAATCAAATAAGAAGTTGCGATTTGACTTGGATAAATCAAGGTTTACGGCTCCGGGTAATCCGTTTGAGGACGAGAGCAGCAGTAGTGAAAGCTTTATACCAACAACTTTAGAAGACTCCACAGGAGATTACTCAGTTGTTGTTGATCGTCCCCAATGGATTGTACGTGTTGTTGGGCCAGGCCAAGAGTCATCATCTCTTATGCTTGATCACTGGCGTTTTGGCGATCAAAATGTTTCACGGAAGTTGATGCAAAACCGAGCATCGTTAGTAAAAAATCATGAGGATTTACAGACGGTGCATGAGATTTTGTAAGCCTTTATAGCCTTTATTTCTGTAGTTTTACCCATCCTTGATATAGTTATTAACATTAGCTGATTGGATATTTAGGCAATTAAATTTTATCTTTACGCGGGATGTGATACTCGACATCACGGAAGCTAAAGAACTCGCCCCAACCACCTGCTGCCAACCCATCCGCTCATCGTCCATAGCTCTCGCTATGTCAGAGCTAGCTTTCACGGCAGCTAATGATGGATACCTCGCGACGATAAGCGAATGGAGAAAGATCCGAGAGTCGATAGAAGTAGAGAGCGAGCATGAAGAACAATGGGAGGTACTTCAAAAGATGTTGGACCACATGTGCATTACAGCGACCTTATGGAGTCCTCTTAAATACACAAGCAAGCGAAAAGGAAACGAGGACAGCTTCTACACCAACATTGTTCGGCCTTTTCTGACATGTGCCTTTGGTCAGCTTCCCGATGTCAAGTTGAGGGGTAACGGCGACTGTTTCACCTGCGGGGATGAGCTAGATAAGGAGCTCAAATTCCCTGACTTCGCGGTCACAATGGAGTGCTACAGGAAGGCCTTCGGAGAAAATTACCTTGCAATCGCCGAGGTCAAGCCCCCAAGCGCTTCCCAAAATGAGCTTGACGACGACTTCATCAAATTACCAAACTTGATGAAATTAGCACTCGATCATCAGATCAGACAAGGTTATGGAGATGGCATAGTGGTTGGGCTGTTGGTACAAGGGTGGAAAGTCCTTGTATTTTACATGGCACTCGAGCACGAAGCTGTGTATGAGTTGAGGAACGTCGGCCAGTTTCAGTTGATTGCAGACCACACCCAGATGGCACAAGTTCTTTCAATCTGCCCAGTATTTGTGAAGGCAAAGGTATAAATTATTTCTCTCTGGTCTGTTCAGCGCGATTCTGCCCTGCTTTTTTTTTTTTTTTTTTTTTTTTCGAGAGAGAGAGAGTCAGTATGTTTTAAGCCTCAACTGCATTTTTTTTTTTTTTTTTTTTTTTTTTTAAAAACTGTAGGAGCTGGTTGAAGAAACAAGAAAAACACTGCGCCGACGACCAGCCTCAAATCTATCACCCAAAGATCAGCTCCGTCGTCCCTCCTACCATATCAGCCCTATAATGATCCATCCCAATAATAGCGACGATACAAGCGAGCATGAAAATAGTTGAGTCATTACTAAAGCTGAGGCTGACGTCAGAAGGGGCATTTAATCAAGGATAGGAGGATGAATCTAAATGAACAGGTAATGGAGCGCCTATTACAGTCATATGAAATAGATCTGCTAGAATTAACAAACATTATCTTCAAGCTTGCCTTGCAGTCACAATTCGTTTGATTCTAGCGTTTTTTCATTTATATCCTTTACTTCTGGCGTTCTGTTAACACTCTTATCCAACACTGTATAATAATACTTAGTTGTTTGATGGGGTCCTTTAAGTGTTTTTATTTTTCGTAGTGTAGTATATCTTTGTACTTTATTTTGTACTTTGTTTTTTTTAATTTAATTTGTATTTTAGTATATCTGAATTGAAATAGTGCCCCGATTTTAATACAAAAAATACATGTCGTTTACTCTGAAGCAAAGCATTATTGAATTTTCTGACGAGGTAAAAAGCCGAATCGTGTTCGCCTTATAATTTTAAATGGACCTCTAAAATGTCGCTTTAGGTTGCTTTTTTTTATTTTTAATTGGGCGAAATCAATTATAGGTCTTTTATTTAATAAAATACTTGTAATTGATAGCCATGATTTTTTTGTTTGTTTGTTTGTTTGTTATTTATTTATCTGTCGCAAGGAGCGGTGAACAAAGTGTTCCCACTAGAAAATCAAGAATGGTATAGGATCCTACCCGTTCTACGATCCACAAATGATAAAGTTTGATGAACAATCCTCCTTATCTGGTCAATGTTGTTATAATTCGTTAACTCTCATTCCTTCATCCACGAGAGCCTTCGTACTTTGTTGGCGTTAACGTGAACAGTAGTTGGCTACTTTCCCAGTACATGATCAGACTATCATGCTAACGAACAGCCATGCAAGGACATGTAGGAGGGGCGGGGGACATTCATGTTGAAGCAACGAAGGCGTAAAGTACCCATAACAACAATAATAGTAATAAAGAAAAAATAAAGAAATAAATAAATTAGTCAATAATGCGAGTTGTATACTGTAGAGAATATAAATAAAGGTGTAATGTTTGATTGAGAGTGTATGTCCGTTATCAGGAGACCATAATCAATGGGGCAAAGTATATTTTTGTAGTTATCTAAAACATCACTTGGAATCTCCTCGTCTCGTAATGAAAGTGCACCATATTTCAATTGGCGAACATTCTTTTTTGTTTTGTGGGGGAGAAAAAAATTTGCGTTACACAAAGGTCACTTGGTTGATCGTGATGAAAACAATAAACAAACGACTCCATTCATTAAAAAAAAAAAAAAAAAAAAAAAAAAAAAGCCGTTTACTTATCCCATTCATACTGTAGAATGCAAACACACTAGTTACAGATACACCAGTATGTTTGACATGGGTGTTTTGTATACAAATATGCATTGCAGATGTGTACAAAAAACAGCTCCCAAGAAGGAGCTCATGTTAGCGCGCCCAAATATTTACAAGACCAATAATGCACAATGCCGAATAAAATAATAAAATGGAAAAGAAGAAAAGGAGAACAAATAAAAAAAAAAAAAATCAATCCATTATAGCCAAAGTTGTCGGAGCCTCATTGGAAGTTTAGTAGATCCTTGTTGGGGTGGAGGAGACATAGCATATATAAATTGTCAAATATTGTAATAAATTTCGGCAAAAATACCCATCCTTCTTTTTCTCTTCCACCCCTTAGATCTCTCCCCGATCTTCACTTACTCAATCGGGGATAGGCTCCATAGAAAAGCCCGATTTTAGAGGCAGTCAAATAGCTTGCTTGTCTTTCCTCCTTTCTCTGTGTCTCTCATGAAAGTGAGCCATGGTGTGGTATTATATATATATATATATATAATTTGTTTATTATTTATTTATTTATTTTGGCCTTGAGCGCTTTCGCGTTAGCTCTTCAAGTTTAGTTGAATGGCCTGTTCCTCCTTTGTGTTTTAGCCAAATAGGTAAATTGCATTAAAATAGTTTTTCTCTGTCCTTTGTTGCACCATGCGTTGTATACAATGAACAAAGATTCATCCCACACACACACACAAGGCCAATGGCATTTTAAAATCTTTCGTTTTGGTGTCATGTGCTCCCCCTCGTCCACTCATCATTTAGACGTGAATCAAATCCACTCTCCCGATCTGATCTCAGTTACCTCTCCCGATCTCAGTAACGAATCTTAATTCGTCCCCCTTTACATTTTCCTTTTCCTCCCTCCCGATCTCATTTATCTAAACTGGGATAGACTTATGGATAAACTCGATTTTAATGGGGGTGTCCTTGTTTCTGTTTCTGTCTCTGTCTTTCTTTCTTTCTTTCTTTTTTTTTTTTTTTTTTTTTCGAGTCTAGTTGTTTATCTACTTTTTTCAAAAAGCATGTCGCGCATTCGAATAAATATTCTATATTATAAGAGGAATAAAAAGAAAAGAAAAGAAAAGAAGAGAAAAAATATATGCAATGCAATGCAAGTAAAACTCATCCTTCCTCTCCCCTCCTCCTCCTCCCCCTTGCTATTCTCTCTCCTCCGCTCTCTCTCGCTTTCACTAAATAAAATAGAAAAGCCGAGTAAATGAATGAGAGAGGATCATCAGATCATTTTTAAACAAATCAATCATTTGGACGTTATATATTTCTCAAGTTACACAAATAAAAAATAAAATAAAATAAAATGATAAAATAAACGCCTCCTGCATTCTGCATTTTGCCAAGTGAATATATATGTATATAAATATAGTGATATAAAAGTAAGATAAGAATAGATAGACTGTGGGCTGTGGGCTGTAGGAGTCGGGGAACTAGGGGACGCCGATCTTTTTTTTTTTTTTTTTTTTTTTTTTTTTTTTCTTGTTTTTGCACATCATCAGTTCTTACTTTTTTCGTTTGCTCATTGATCACTACATGTCCTATACAATACAATATACCGATTGCATCCCTATATCGATTATATATATATATATATAAATCAATGTTTCTATCAATGTTGTTAATGTTTATTCTGATATGTGTCTGTTTACACATGTGAACGTATCGCGGTATTTTATATGCGGTATATAAATCTGGCACACGTCTTTATTATTTGGGCGCATACATTTGAGCATGCAGATCTGTGTAATTGAGTAAGATTGTGAGGGGGTGAAAGAGGAGGAGAAAGTAGACTCAGTAAATGTAAATACAGATATACATATATTATATATTGTATACATGTATATTAGATAAATATGTATACGCATTATATACATATACATGATGTGAGACTAAAGACAGGTGATACACCGTTGTGTAACATTTCACACTTCGTGTTGGCTTGAATAAGCATGCAGAATTAAGGTAGGACAAAGATAATTAACATAAGCATTTTTTTTTTTAAAAAAAAAAAAAAAAAAAAAAAAAAAGCAAATAAGCATTTCTTGAAAGGCACAAAATGCAATGTACCTGTACAAAGCTATAATACCCTTTATCTCAAGGTCCATGACACTTTACTTAGACAATACAAGGAGTAGGTACAGGGAGAGGAGTGGATCAGAACGTTAGAAAACAAAGTTGGAGCATAGGATGATATGCTTGTTCAAAATACTTTTTTTTTTTTTTTTTATCTTACAAAGTATAACTATAATAAAAATGTATTTATATGATATCCAGACAGCAACAACAACAACAAAAGAAAAGAGAGAGAGTGTGTAAGAGTGAGAGTGAGAGAGTAAAGTAGATAATGAACATCTTTGATCCTCCTCTCTCTCTCTCTCTCTCTCTCTCTCTCTCTCTGCAGATCAACTCCCTTGTGTATATCCTTGTATGTATAATATAATCTATAAAAAAAATAAAAAAATAAAAAAAATTAAAAAAATCACCTCATGAAGACGTAACAGCAACAGCAGCAGCAGACATGCATGTCCGTAGTTTAGCATCCATCAGAAAGTAAACGGATTAGACGTCACTTCCCAGTAGTACATACCGTACATGTTCATCATTGTCTTTGATTATTATTATACGAATGTACTTTGGGGATAGAGCAAAGGAAAAAAAAAATAAAAAAATAAAAAAAAAAAGTAAGTGAGCCAACCTCCAGATTAAAGTAAGACCCTCTTCTCCTCTCTCTCTCTTTTTCTCTCTAACCAAAACAAAATAAAATAAAATAAAATAAAGGAGACTCTAGTTTTTTTTTTTTTTTTGTAGAGAGTGAAAGAGGGAGAGGAGAGACGAGAGAGAGATAGAGAGAGAGAGAAAGTAAGTGGATACATGTACACAGCATGCAAGATGCAAGATGCAAGATGCAAAGTACAACAACAAAACAATGCTTAGAGTGCATTGCTTTTTTAATACGAGAGCCTCTTTACATTCAAAAAAAGAAATAAAATAAACTAGTTAAAATAAAAAAGGTCGAAGGGATCTAGAGACTACGAAACTGAATGAACAATATGAGAGGACAGCTGGACAGGACTCCTCCCCTCCCTAGGCCCTTAAAACTCACAAGGCCTGAAGGTTCAAGATTCAAGGGCCAAGGGGTCAAGATTCAATGATCAAGGTTCAATGGTCAAAGGATCTCTAAACATCAACGATATCCTGCGGAATATCTGTCGTATTCAAATAAAAAGTCATATTAGAAGGTCGGATGTATTTCATAGGTCTCTCTTCACTGTCTTTCTCAAAGTCTCGAACCTTTCTTTTTTTTTTTTTTTTTTTTTTTTTCTGTTCTTCTCTGTTTTTTTCCTTTTTTTTCCTTTCTTTTCCTTTCTTTTCTACAGATACTAGACTGGATCAATATGAAGGAGAAGAAGGAAGGAAGGAAGGAGGAAGAAGAAAAGAGGCCTGGACTCTAATGAAACTTTATGTTTTGGGCCGACCAAGAAAGAAAGTTTCTTTTATCAATTGATTAAAGACGGCCAGAGAGAGACAGACAAGGGAATGAGCTAAAAAGTTATCAAAATCATCATAAATTAGCTTTATGTGCAAAGAGCTACTTGACGTTCCTTGCCGTTGAGACCCAAACAAAAAAAGCAAAGCAAAGCAAGGCAAAGCAAAGCAAATCAAGGCAAAGCAGAGTAAAGTAAAGTAACAAAAAGCTCTTTTTGACGGATGTACCTTTTGATGATAACAGATCAGTCCACAGCCATTGGTGTGGAAAGTGTTCATAAAAAACTGATTGGTCTTTTTAGTGCATCAAACAAAGAAGAATTAATATTAAAAGGAAAATATAAAAAAAAAAATAAAAAAATAAAAAAAACTTTTTTAATTTTTTTGAATCGTTTGAAGATGATGATGATCATAGATCCTCCCCCTTTCATTTCTCTTTCAATCACTGATCACAAATTCCGAGACCATGAACTAAAAAAGATCCGTTATTTCTTTCTTTAATACCGATGTGTGTTACTACTGGGCAAGTTTATTAAAGAAGAAGAAAAAAAAAAAAAAAAAAAGACTTGAGAGGAGAGACGATGATCTAAGATCAACATGGCACATGGCTATGGAAAACAAACAAACACACAAACAAACAAATAAATAAACAGTGGCTAAAAAAGCATAGGGTAAAGGGAAAAGGGCAGCGGGCAAAGGGCAAAAGGTCACAGAGGAGGGAAGGCCAGAGGACAAAGGCAGGGTAAGATGAAGGAAAAACTACATTACTCACTTATCCTCCATACGTTTTTTTTGATTAGTGACAGTAGGGATTAGACATGTTCTTTCATACGATTGGACAAAATAAAACGCGCAACTAAAACTATTGTTGGATTGTTTTGGTTTGATGTCGTACAAGAAAAAAAAAAAAAAAAAAAAAAAAACCAAAAGTACGCGGTGTCATCTTACTCTTTTAAAGCACCCAAACAACACTCAAGGCATCCAGAGTATTCAAAGCATTCAAAGATAAATGTGGAGAAAGTGAACAAAGGAAGGAGGGTTTTTTTTGGTACCGTCATTAGATTATCTTTTTTTGATTTATTTATTTTTTTTATTTTGTCACTTTGCAACTCTTAATAAATTAAAATTAAAATTAAAATTAATAAAAAGTTTTTTTTTTTTTTTTTTTTTTTTATACACACACTTTAACCTAGCCATGACCATGGTTCGAGACCCTTTTTATCTTTTTTCTTTTTCATTTCATTTCTACGTTTTTCTTTACCCCACAAACCTTCTTTAAATCAATGTCCCTTTCTTTCCTTTCCTTTCTTTTCTTTTTTTATTTTTATTTTATTTTTTTTTGGGAGATACCTTTAATGTTTAGTGCATGTTTTCTAGATTGTTATGCATTACTCTGCCTGGGTAATAAAGTTTTACCTTTTAAAGCCTGTCGTCAAAGTATCCTTTTTTATGCTTCAGAAAAAGAAAATCAAGGTTAAATGAACAATTAGAAGCAACTAAGGGGAAGGAAATGAAAGAAAAGAATACAATTTAATTGATAGTTGAGGAGCCTTTTCTTTTCTTTTTTTTTTCTTATTTGCATTTACAAGACTGCTTCGAGCAATATTAAAATATGGTATATACCCTTTTTTTTTTTCTTTTCTATAAGAATTACTCGTGGAGACTTTGATATATACGAATTTATACGCACATCAATGGCTTCGTCAGGAGATGAATGACGATATATGCATATGCATGTGCATGCGCATGACATGATGAAAGTGCGACCTTGGGACTAAACTGGGGGGATCACTGGTAGGGTTAGTCCTGATGGGTATATTGTATATAGACTGATGATATTCGTACGAATGGGGTCTGAGTACATTGCTCACTCTTTTTTTATTTTTTTGTATGTTTTTCTGGTTTCCAAGGCAAAAGGGCCAACAGGCACAATAATGAAAATAAAAAAATAAAAAAAATCTTTTATGAAAATCTCCACATGTCTGTGCTGTGCTTCCTCTCCAAAGTATTAAACCACTTTCGAAACACAGCAAAAGTCACGTATGGCGAGAAATTAAAAGGAAAAGGAGGTTACATAGATATGTCGGGAGTATAAAGGAGAGAACGGAATGGGGATGAAAGGAGATTCAGAAGGTTGTCTGTGTATCTGTGTATCTGTCCTTCTGTCCATCTACTTGCCTGTCTATGCGCGTAGTCGGTCGTTTTTCCTTTTTTTTTCTATTATCAATCAGTCAATGGTGATTGGGGGATATGAACAAAAGTATGAACAAAAGTATGAACAAAAGTATGAACAAAAGTATGAACAAAAGTATGAACGAGAAGTACGAACAAAGTATGATGAACGTTTCTATTTTCTTTTTCTTTTTTTTTTTGCTCTCGTTTGCGTTGTTTAGAGAAATTTCCGTCCAAAAGCCCTGATGCTCTACCTTTTTCAGCTTTCTTTCAACCATTTAAACAGCTCTACAGTGTTGTGAGTTGTGACCAGTGGGGTTATTCAGAGTAAAAATGACTTTAATAAAAGGAGAGGGAGGGGGATCTGGTTCATGACTGTTACTTGGTCAGGTTCATTTTAAAAAAATAAAATAAAATAAAGTAAAATTAAAATTATTTCCTTTTATTTATTGTCGACCCTGTCCCGTCCCCTCTTGTTTATTCTATGCAAGGAGGTAGAGAGGCAGACGAAAAGCTCTGCTCAACACCTTAACAGTTCAAGAAAGGCACTTTCATTTCCTTCCATTTTCTTAAACGAACCCATGAAAACGAAAAAGAAAAGGTCTTTAATAAATAGTAAGCGGCCTTTTTTAATATTTTACTCTATACCCTGCCGAGACTCTTTCTTGTATTCATCGTCCTCTACTTTGTACGGTGCTAGACAATGGGAAAGGGAAAGGGAAAGGGAAAGGGAAAGGGTCCAGTCCCAGAGATTGCATAGGTTTATGTCTCTATCTATCAATTTCTATTTTGGTCCTCTCATTTCCTCCATTGATAAAAATGACAATGGGAATAACACGCACGATTACGAAAGGATTATGGCTGACTTGGTTTTGCTAGGGAATCCTATTGTGTGAGGATAATGCATGTTAGAGACCGAATCCAGGCCCGAGAGAGCGGAGTCATCATTTAAAATTCCCCATCAAGTCGTCCATCGAATGAGCCTTTCGTTTAAATTATCTTCTGTACACTCTTGTTTGAAAGAAACGAACGGGCCCTTTATTACTTCAAGACCGGAGAAAAAAAAAAAAAAAAAAAAAAAAAAGAATTATAGCTTGACCGAAGCAAGTTTGAGTAACGGGCGGGAAGTGATGCTTGGTGACACGATGCATGTACGCTGATTACTAGCGATTACTAGGCATTACTAATTAACCGATTTACCGCTAATTGCTGATGCTATATACCTTCATTGCTTATCACCTTCTCCCCCTCTTTCGATGGCACCCTGTTGCTATTTTTTTTTTATTTTTTTTTACCCTCAGTACCTTCCAAGAGCCGACAGGGCATCTATTTTATGTATATATATATATATATATAGTGATGATGATGATAATGATGATCCAAAATGCATGCCTTATTTATTTTTTTTTTTTCCTGTTATGTTATTTTATATTTTTGTCCGAAATGGTGGGAGGGATGCAAGGTATAGAAAAAGGAAAAAGTGATGATATGCATTGATTGGGATGCTATTGGATAGGCTACTTTGGCTGATTATAGCAGAGGATGGATTATAGGAATGCAAAGTATATACGATGTAACATGCAGAGGATAGCTGTAAAAAAAAAAAAAAAAAAAAAAAAAAGTGCCGTCATGAGCCCACCGTAACTGCAACTGGTTTTTGTTGTTTTTAGTTTCTCCTCCATCCCTGACAATACATAATATGTAAATGATATAGTAATAATTCAGAGGAAAGAAGGTACATTTGCAGTTATATATATATATATATATATCAATAGAGAATAGATGGATTGAATAAGACAGTGTATTATAGTACTAGAATACATGCTTTATATGTTGATTATGATAAATAAATACATATATACATACTATTACAATACATGTAACATGTAAACATGTACGATGCTTCAGATATGCAATATAGTTTCAATATAGCGTTTTAAAATATACAAACATTCAATACCCAAATGATCCCCTACACTCTTCTGCTCAATGGTTTAAAAAGGGGGCAATCTGTCCTTCCCCCCACTTCTCAATTTCTCTTTCCTACTTCCTCTACTCTCTCACTCTATTCTTTTCTTTTTTGTGTTTGTTCTTTCTCCACTCTTCTCTCTCTCTTTCTCTCTCGACATACAGAGTTATCTTATCTCGTTATAGCAATTGCGTTATATCTTCAATTGCAATCATTGAATTACTTTCGATCTTTTTTTTTTTTTTTTTTTTTTTCTCCCTTCCTATCCTCTTCTCTCTCTTCCCATCTTCTTCTTCTTCTTCTTCTTCTTTCTACTCCTTCTATTACTTATCACTCACTACTTTCATTTTTCTTTTCTCATCAATCAATCGTTCATCTAACCCCCCCCCCTTCACTCGTATACGTTATATTTTCGAAACCTCCTTTGCACAACCATGGGCGCTACTCATTCATCAACGCGCGCCACATACAACGGCACAACTGGTTACTACACCACCAACCCTTCTGCCGTAAACAAGTACGGCGGCAACGCAAAGGGTCGCCGTTCCTTCTCAAAAGATCATCTTCATCGTCAATATAACAAAAACATCAACAATAGCTGTGGACAATTACACTATCCAACCTCGAACACCAGTAGCAATAACCTTCACCCATCATCAGCCTCCTCACCCTCCTCATACCCCTATTATGGTCATCCGCAATATAACAATACTCACAATCATCATCACCATACGACTTCCAGCCCTCTTCATGTCTCGCCTCCAACAAGTAGCAATGCCTCATCACATTCATCATCCCGACATCGGATTTTCGGTCGGAGGCGATCCTCTAACCAAACAGTCGAGTCTCTGTCATCAAGTCTAGGATCAGTGGCAACCTATTTCGGCTCAACACCCAGCAATGGTGCCCTTCAGCCTGACCCACAACATCAAAACAATAACAAACCCCGATATTCAGAAGATTGTCAATCCCTTTCAGACAGTCAGGAATTCCGATGGTTGCATGGTCGACGATATCACAACACATCAAGTCTGTATATGCTTCCCAATGACACTGACGAAATTGACAGGTAAAAAAAAAAAAAAAAAAAAAAAATACATCTATACATATACATGTATATACTTGTAATATGTATTGTTGATCAATATTTGTCTATCTGTCTATCTGTCAATCTATCTATCGATCTATCTATCTATCTATCTATCTTTCATCCCCCCTCCTCTCCTTCCTCCACCCCTTTCCTCCTTCCATGATTGTAATCATCTTCACCCTTATTCATCTCTTTCACATATGCAAATAAGCCAATTGAATTCTTTTTGATCTGATGATCTTTGGATCGTAGGACGAGATATGATTTGACAATACACAAAAGAAAAAAGCCTTTTTTTTCCCTTCCCTTTCCTTTTCCCTTTCCCTTTCCCTTTTCTTTTCTTTTATTTTCTTTTATTTTATTTCAGCCCTTTCAAAACCAAGTCGTGACAAAGCCCAGGATATATTTTATGTCATTTTATTTTATTTTATTTTATTATATTTTTCTGCTCGTGAAAAAAAAAAAAAAAAAAAAAAAAAAATCGAATCTCCGTCCTCTTGTGTTCAACCTCTTTTTTTTTTTTTTTTTTTTTTTGTCCATTCATGCAATGAAGTTTTCGGTTCTTGACATTCGACAGGTTTAGGAAAAAGAAAAGAAAAGAAAAAAAAAAAAAAAAAAGGCTTTTTTCGTGTCTCTCTTTTACGGTGCTTCGTGTCTTCCCTTTCTTTCATTACTTTTTTTTTTATGTTACAGCGGTGAGAGGAAGAATGAATGAGGTGAAGAAGGTGAGAGGGTTCAAGTAATAAACTTTTAAAAAAAAGGCATCTCGGAGGAAATTATTACCTCCTTTTTTCCCTTCTTTCATGAAATGAAAGGGTATGGATGGATGTAGGGCAAAGTATAGATGTGTTTGGATATGTTGTAAATGATAAGGTGCAAATGAGGGTTGTTGCTTGCATGTTTGATGAGCCTTTTTTTTTCTTCTTCTTCTTCTTCTTTATCTTTATCTTTCTCCCCCTGTCCCCTCTTCCTCTGTGTCTTCCTCCTTTTTTTTTGGCTCTCATGGATTCATCCCACAGAAAATAAAACCTTTCGCCCTCTTTTTTTTTATTATACATAAATGTGTATACATGTATAAATATATATATACCCGGAATATTATTGTCATTTTTAATTTAATTGAGATTTTATTATCTTTTTTTTTTTGGAGCGGACAAAAAAAAAAAAAAAAAAGGGCGAAAAAAAGAAAATACGCCCTATCCAAAACAAATAATTATCTCAATGGACATATCTAAATCATCGAAAAAAAGTCTTTGGCTCTCATGAACTTTTTGAACTAACTAAAAAAAAAATATATATATATATTTGTTTCTCGAATTTTAAAAATGCTTAGATTACATCTTCAACACTATCTATACAAGATGGTCATGGGTGATAAGAATATTCATGTTCCTATTCCCAAGGAGAATAGTCGAGTTATCGATCTCGGATGTGGCCCCGCCACTTGGACGATGGTAGGTTTTATTTATTTATTTATTTATTATTATTATCATTGTATATGTGATTCCTACTTGATGAGCACGGGGTCTTGTTTATTATTTTATTATATATATACCATCGTTGTCGTCGATGACTGGTGGAGTGTGGTTTTTCTTTTTCTTTTTCTTTTTCTTTTTTTTTTTTTTTTTTTTTTCTAATGAGGGTTGTCAATGTTATACAAAAACAAAAAAGGTGTTTTGAAGATTGTGCTACTATCAAAAAAAAAAAAAAAAAAAAAAAAAAAAGAGTGCTCGGAAGTCAATCCGATCGACCATTTTTGTTTGTTGTTGTTTGGGTTGTTCACCTTGGTTTTGGCAAAGATGATGCCATTTTTCTTTTTTGTTTGAAGCTTCGAGGTCTGGAAGTTGAAAAAAGGAAGCTCTTGGGAATTTTTTTTTTTTTTAAAGAGCTGATGAGAACAATGTTGGATACCCGATATGGAGTCTTTTTTTTTTTTTTTTTTTTTTTTTTTTGTTCCATGGTTCCTCCTCCCCTTCTCCTTCCACATTGGCTCTTCTATCCCTCTCATTTTATTTTGCTCTCGCATCTTCTCCCTCCCTACCCATCTTTATCCATCCCCATTCCTTTCCCCTTTTACTCCCCCAGGATATGATGTATTTCACGACATCGATCATAAACACATGCTCATATCCTTATATTCCATATCCCCATGCTCATTCACAGGCAAACAGGCACAGACACATACACAGACATTCAATCATTCAATTTAGCCTGATACAATTACAATTGTCTTTAAAAATCATTTTGCCGCGCAGTAAAAAAAAAAAAAAAAAAAAAAAAAAGAGAGTGAGAGAAAGAGAAAGAGGAAGGACAAGGCAATGGCAGGGGAGGGGCTATTGCGTTATTTTGCAGAAAAGAGGGCTCGAGCGTTTGAAAAAGTTCCCCCCTGAAAAAAAAAAAAAAAAAAAAAAAAAAAAAAAGAATGGCCCATGCGACCGCGACCTTTCTTCAACGACAAGCGCCCTCTTTTTTTTTTTTTTTTTTTTTTTTTTTTTTCTTTTCTTTTCTTCTTTTCCTTACCTCCTCCTCCTCCCCCCCCCTTTTTTTTTTTTTTTTTTTTGTTGTTGTTGTTGTTGTTGTTGTTGTTTATGTTGTGTGTTGAATATTCTATGGTCTCATGGTTCAATATCAGGTGGTAATAGAAATAACAACAACAACAACAACAACAACAACAACAATAACATTTGTAGGGGTAGAAGGAGGAAAGAAGATCTAAAGAAGATGCATTGTCCATTTGATTGTGGTACACATGTGACGCTTTTTGCAAACTCTAAAACCTTTAATTTCTTTTTTTACTTTAAAAACTTTTTAGGATATGGCAACAGAAATGACATCAGTCAACTTTGTAGGCGTAGACATCTCACCCATCTATCCAGCCCTGATCCACCCAAGGAATTGTAATTTCTATCGTGAGGATATTCTCCAGGGGATCGCATCTCAACCGGACAACTGTTTCGATGTGGTCTATCAACGGAATGTGACCACCGGTTTCACAGTAGAGCACTGGCAACGATCCTTTCAAGAGGCATTCCGGCTCTTGAAACCGGGTGGATGGTTCGAGAGTGTGGAATCGGATTGTTCCGTTCATTCGGGAGGCCCCTTCCTGAACATGTGTTTTGATCATGTGAAGCTCTCGATGGCCTCTAGGGGAGTAGACCCAACAGTGGTCCGGTCATTGGATCGGATCATGATCGCCACAGGATTCGTAGATGTGCAGGTGAAGGAGTATTGTGTCCCATTGGGTGAATGGGGTGGCAAGACCGGTCAGCTATGGAAACAAAACATCATCTCGATCTTGGAGACGGTGAAGCCTCATCTGGCAAAGGCTGGTCGAATCACAGAGGGACAAGTCGGGGAGATGATCCAGTCCATGAATCGAGAGTCGAAGGATTATCGGGCTTACCAAACCATTTATGTGACCTATGGACGAAAGCCTCCTTCTTCATCTTAATGAATGATTTGAAGATTCTTTTTTTTTTTTTTTTCTTTTTCTTTTTCTTTTTCTTTTTTTTCTTTTTATATATATATATATATATATATATATTCTATGTATCATGATGTATATGACCGAACCACCCCCCACCTTCCCAAAGTAAGAAAAAGAAAGAAAAAGAAGGAAATGAAAATTGTACAATAATAAAATAAATGTTTGAAAATATTTGACTACATGTACAAAGTGTGCTAAAAAAAAAGAAAAAAAGTCTAAATCGTTTCATTGGAAATGGCCTTGCGCGCTGCAGGAGCATTCTACTTTATTTTCGTTCCAAGACATGGAAGACATGGAAGACATGGAGGCGCGATTTAGGATCTATCCAAAGAGGTCTAGTTTCACGGCATGACAGTATGGTTCTCATCTCCGACATAAACGATCAATCCGGTAGTGTCTACAGTTGCCTCCCAAATCCACATCGAATCTTCTTCCTCCTTCTCTTCCTCTAATGATGATGATGATGGTGATGATGGTGATGATGATGATGATGATGATGATGATGACGTTCTGGCTTCTTTTTCTTCTTTTCCATCTCCTGTTTCTACTACTTGTGCTGTACCTCCTTGACTCTTATCCTTATCCTTATCCTTTTCCTTTTCCTTTTCCTTTTCCTTTTCCTTTTCCATAGCCATGGCTCTCTTGACATTGTTTATCACAGTATGGCGATCATGTTCAGGTTTGAGCAGAACGGCCAAGAAACCGCCGCCCCCGGCTCCAGCTAACGTGGCGCCCTCTAGGAAGGGTTCCAAATGAGCTAAAAGTCTTTTGACGATAGGAGGATGATTCAATGTGGTATTGGAAAGGAGTCGTTTGGCAGCAAAATATCGTGTCATGATTGCTCCTATTTCTGAGAAAACGGATCCATGTTGATGTTGAAAAAGAAGAGCTCTTTCACAACGGGTGGCATCTTTTGAAAGTTGATCCATAGTCTTGACTACTGCATCGTCTCGACCAGCCCAATTCATTAACACGGTCTGAAGAAGGTTTTTGGCCAGTCGAGTCTTTCCTGTATAGATCAACAATAGTCGTGAATTGAACGTTTGAATGAACTCATCCGAGACATCAATTGTCTTTGTATTCAGCTTGAATAATAGAGAAGAAAAGAAAAGAAAATGAGTACAAGTATGAGAGAGAAGGATCAAATGGATTTACAATTGAGTTTTTTTTTTATTTTTTATTTTTTTTACCTTGATGGGTAGACCAATGTCGCAAGTCGAGACTTTAAATCCTGGTAACACGCCACCAACTTGATCTTGCCAACCACCACCTATGAGAATAAAAACAAGAACCATAAATCAATATTTTGTGATTTTTTTTTTTTTTTTTTTGCTTTTTGCTTTTTGCTTTTATAAAGAAAGACTTGCCAGTGTTCATCATCTGCTCGACTTCCAATGTCATGTACAGCAAATCGTCCGTCGTATAGGCTTCTCCTTTAAGAGTCTTGAGGACTGCTAGGATTGCAGCTGCAAGGATACTACTTGTGCCCATCCCTAAAGAAAAAAAAAGAAAAAAGAATACAAAAAATACATTGGTACAGGTTTGTTTGTAAATGATGTTGGGGGGGGGGGTCCAGTTTTAGTCGAGACAAACTAGAGAGATTACCTGATCCAATGGGTAAGGTCGAACGCACAACCAATTCCAAACCTCCTCCGGTATGTTTCAAGGCATCTGCAACGGTCTTGAAGGGAACATCATCGTGTCTTTGGGCTGTGATCCCTAGGATGCCCGAAGCAACAATGCATGCCTTGAGAAGTGCACAGGGTACGAGAGGATCTGCATGATCTCGGATTTGGTCTAGAGAATAATAATGTTTTGGCGGAATGTTTGGGTCGTACGAGAGTGATAAAATCAAACTGGGGTGTGTCACATAATATTGTTAATAAGAGTTAAAAATAAAAATAAAGAATAAAAACAAAAACAAAAATAAAAATAAAAATAAAAGTTGTAATAAAAATAAATTTTCTTTACGCTTCCGTCCGACGAGCTTTAACAGAATATGGAGCCTAAAGATTTTTTTTTTTTTTTTTCGTTCATCATGTCATGCCATGCATTAGTGAAAAAAGGTTAAAAGATGAAGATGACATAAGAAAAATGCAAAAAATGCAAACCAATGGTCAGAATTAGATAATTAGCTTTCGGGATAGTATGATTTAGCTATCAAAAAAATAAAATAAAAAAAAAAACTATTATAACCAGTTCAATTAAAGAGTGTTTTTCTTCTTACAGTGTTATTCACTTTGACAGCAACATTGACAACCTTGCCACCATGCTCATGGCTATTATGAAACAAAAGAATAAGAAATATAAGAGTGTTTTTTCTTTTTATTTTCCATTTTTTTATTTTATTTTATAATACGTATATATATTTATATGTTTAAACCTTACGTGATGGGAATGGTATCAGTCCATCCTCCTGCAAGGTCAATTCGAGCAGGAGCTGAGGCATAGACATAAGTCCCTCTGGGTACTTTGATGGGTCTATAACTAGTCAAGGGACGCGTTGTAGTAATGTCGGGCGCAGATTCAAGTCCAGGTCCGGGGATAAACATATTTTCCAGACCGACATTGAGTTGATCACGTCCTAGTTCTACGCGATCACTATTAGAATATGTCATTGAAGGTTAAATAAAAAGAAAAATAAAAATAAAAAGAAAAATAAAAATAAAAAGAAAAAGAAAAAGAAAAAGAAAAGAAGGAATGGAATGTGCAAAAGAGATGTGGAATGAAGAGATGAAAGAGCATGAGAGAGAATGAAGGAAAGAAAAGAGAGGGGGTAACACATAAACCTCGCGATGTGGTTGGCTACCGAAATTATGTAAACAAGGATCACAGGGGGTTGGTTACATTGAGATGGGATTGCAGATTTATGCAAATGTTTGACCTCGGACATCCCGTCCTAACACATTTTACCCTCGCCACAGAAGCAGTGGCAGTGGCAGTGGCAATGACAATGACAATGAGAATGACAATGAGAACGACAGAGAGATCGATAGCGATAGCAACAAAAACAACAACGACAACGACAACGACAACGACAACGACAACGACAGCAGCAACGGACACAGGGAGTACAAACAAAGAAAGAAAGAAACAAACAAACAAACAAACAAGCAAGCATTCTGTCGCTCTTCTCTTCTTCTCTCCCTTCTTTTTTTTTTTTTTTTTTTTTTTTTCTTTTGATCTCGCTCTTACTTGCACTCGTACTTCTACTCTTTATTACTCTTACTCTTACTTACCCTTATATACTTACTTTGCACTTTCTTTGGTTGCTAATCCGTTCATTTTACTTCTTCTTTCTCATTTCTGCCTAGTTCTGTGTGCGGATGGGCATAGTCAATGTTTGCATGTGTATCGGATGTATCTGGTATAGGATATATGGTATATACATATATGGATATGATATATCTGGGTCTTTTTCATCTAATTATGCTTTTAGCCAATGACATTGGGCGTGACTCTTCCCCCCCCCTTTTTCGTTTGTAGCTGCGCCTAATTGTTCTCATGAATGAATGACGAGAAATGAGAGGGTGAGTAACATTGGAAGAGAAAAAAAAAAAAAAAGTTGAGAGCATTTTTTGGTTGAGGTTCAATCATTCAATTGCTGTTGTATCGTGTGTGTTGTGTAGATTAATGAATGAATGGATGCATCAAACAAAAAAGGGTTTGACCATTGAGAAAAAAAAGAAAGTCTCTTCGTTTTCCCACATGCCCCAAAAAAGACATTTTCCCTCCTCTCTCTCTCACACAACTCTTACTCTCTCTCTCTTTTCTTTCTTTCTTTCTTTCTCTCTCTCTTCTGTCCTTTTCTTCTCTAATCCTTTTCATCCATTCATTCATTCACTCACTCATTAACTCATTCATTCATTCATTCATTTGTCCTTTTTATTTTTATTATTCTTATTCTTCATTCATTAAGATCCATCCGTGGATCCTCTCTCTTCCTTTTTATATTGCCTTATTGTTCGACTAGACCCTAACCGACAGGCACCCTAGCTCGAATTTTAATTGCAATTTCCCTCTCCCTTTTTTATCCTTCGCGACTTTTTTTTTTTATTATTTTTTATATTCAATCATGGCTTACTTCTACTTGACCTCTGGAGGCCACGTTGGCCGTGAAGTCGATCTAGCATAAGGCACTTTCCTTACAACCCTTACAAATAACAAATAACAAAAAACAAATAACAAAAAAAATTACCTTCGAAACCCCTTCAAGGCCCAGCACTAAATAACTTGTTCATACCCACCATCCACAACAAAAAAAAAAAAGAAACTTTTATCTTCAATATTTCTTTTCCATTTCTGGTCCTCTTTTCGGAACCATATCCCAATTGCTTTTATTTATACTTTGGGTCACGTTGCTGATCTCTGTCGGCCCATTCATTCTCCCATCACACAAACAAAATTACAAAACTAAAAAAAAAAAAATGTTTGTCACTACAACTACCAATGGCACCACATCCGACGCGTCGGTTGCTGGATTCAATATCCCATGGTTACATAACAACGATAACAACAACAATGATCTGTCGCTCTATCCTCACGATGTCCTTGATTACTCAGTCTTCTCACACGATCCAAATACATTGCCATCCTCCTCCTCATTGTCCTCGCCTATCCTTGCTATGACCATGGACATGGACAACTGTACCAGCAACAGTCTACTGAACTTTCACCACTTTTCTGCTCCTACTCCTACTCCTGCTTTTGATCTTGATCTTGCTCCTGCCCATGCTCCTGCCCCTGCACTCACGATGCAGTTCCTTCAGGATATGAGCATGGCTGCTTCATCATCATCATCCGCTTTCCTGCCTGTGACCACCCCTCAAATCAATCTAGCTTCTTCCGCTACAATGAATGATGACATGTCGCGTCAAGCTGCTCTATTGCATTCCTATCTTGCTCATCAGCAACAGCAACAACAACAGCAACAACAACAGCAACAACAACAGCAACAACAACAGCAACAGCAGCAACAACAGCAACAACAGCAGCAACAGCAACGATGGATCTCTGCTCCCTTAACACAGGAAAATATCCAAGTCATCCAAGCTCAGCAGCAAGCCCAAGCACTGCAGATGGCATTAGAGAACCAAAAGAAGCAATCGGAGCTTGAGCAGCATCAACTGCAACAACGACAGTTGAGAGAAATGCAAGAAGCCCAAAAGAGGGAGCAACAAAAGCGAATGATCCAACAAACAGATGCCCTGAATCTCGCTAGGTATCTTGCACAATCCCAGACTGTGCAACAGCAACAGCAGAGTCAGATCAAACTGGAGCAGGAGCAGAGCATTACGGCTTCATCTATGGAGCATGATACTGTCTCCATGTCGTTATCTTCCCCTTCTTCCCCAGCTTCATCGTGCTTATCCTCCTTGGTATCGGAGGCTGGTGGTAATAGCCCTCTGACTTCGCCCACACTCTCAGAGCGCTCCATTGGTTCGGAAATATCATCAGACTCTGCTGATACTTCAACTACTACCACAACAACCCCAGCAACTACCGTTGCAGCCAATGCTACAGCTGAGCTTACAGTTGTCAAACATGAATCCCATGTCCCTAATTGCGATGATCCTTTACCATCTGCAACGAGTACTCGTCAGCTGGAGTGCTTTAATTGCAAGGTGACACAGACACCGCTGTGGCGCAGAACTCCGGATCGCAAGCATTCCCTCTGTAATGCATGTGGGCTGTATTATAAACAGTATGGAGCACACCGTCCCCTACATGTTCGTCACAAATTACTGGCCATGGCTGATGTCCGCTCGAATACTCTGCCCTATGCTCGACCTTTATATTCTTCCGGTCGTGGTTCCTCGCCAGTGTCGTCCTTGTCCGATAGTGATTCAGAGTCTGCTGCTACTGTTGCTGCTGCTTCTGGCATCTTGACGGATTTGACAAAGATCTATACCGAAGCCTTGGTTCCTGGCCCTGTTACCACTACCTCCACTGCACCACGTTCACCTCCACTGATGACTGCCAAACAAGGGATTCAGTGCGTCAACTGTTTGCAGACACAGACCCCACTCTGGCGTAAGAACGAGGCTGGAGAGCCGATCTGTAATGCATGTGGGCTGTACGCAAAACTGCATCATCGAGATCGCCCCGTCACGATGCGTAAAGCCATGATTGCCCGACGAAGAAGAGATTGGGGTGGTAACTTGGCACAGCGAGCAGCAGCACAGGCGAAAGCTGAAGCTGAAGCTCAAGCTCAGGTTCAAGATCAAGGTCAAGGTCAAGGTCAAGGTCAAGGTCAAGATCAAGTCTCTACTCGAGCTCAAGTTGAGGTTCAGACTCTGGACCAATTCCAAGCTGAAGCACAGGTGCAGGGACACATGCAAGCAGAGACTTTGTATATGAATCAAAAGAGGATTGAACTCCAACACCAAGATTTACCAGTCCTGAACAGCAACCGTATCGATGATCAAACTATGGAAGAGTCCATTGTGGAGGAAATGAGTCGTAGGGCGCAAGAATTGACTGGTCGTCATCGTCTTTGTTTATCTAACGAAGGGAGGGAGGAGAAGGAGAAGGAAAAGGAGCATACGGCCATGACCACTGGATCCACTTCAGCCTCGAATTGTGGGAAAAGTACAGTAGCACAAAGTTTGTCCAACAATCTGATTATGGATGAATCCAAATTTGCAGATGTGGTGGGTCAGATGAATGCACATCAGATGAACCGATTTCTGAGTATTCTTGAGACTCGATGTGGAGTCCTTCGTGAACGTCTTTTGGCATCCACAGAAGTATCCAGATCTGTAGCCTCTGCTTCCGCCACTGCCAATGCAACATCACCATTTGATGATTTGTTTTAAAAAGAAAAAGAAAAAAAAAAAGAAAAAAGGAAATATATCATATCGTGTCTGGATAAAGAGTGTTGGGTAAATATCTTGATCAGTCCCGAGCAACATGTCACATGTGCGTCTTGTTTATATTAATTTTTCCCTAAAATGTTAGACAATTCAATAAACATCATCTTCACAATCCAAAATGTCATCGTTACCTCCCATGGCCTCACCATCCCCAGAATCAGAGTCGGAATCAATAACAATAACAGCAACAGAGCCAGTGTCATCACCATTGCCATCCAGCAAGACATCAACAACAGCGGCGACACCAACGATACCAACGAACATTTCGCCACAGCTTTATGATACCACGATTGTGACAACCCCGTCCTGGCTTCTCTGGCAATTTCTAGATTCAGCGCTTCCGACAGGGGGGTTTATTGCGTCGAATGGTCTTGAAGCGTTTGCAAAACTTCATCCGGATCAGGCATCACCTCGGGATGTGGAGGCCTATGTGAATTGGAGTGTCCATGCATGTGGCTATACCAATTTACCGTTCATTACAGCTGTTTGGAAATTAATGGATGCGTGGGTATTAAGGGACCAATACGAGTTGAAGACCGAGAAGGGAAAAGAAAGGGCCATGAAGAGTGTGTTGCACAGGATTAGTAATATCGATCGAGAATATGATGTGTTTATGAACAATGCGATCCAAAATGCAGCGTCTAGAAAGCAAGGAGATGGAATGGTGATGATGGGGGTGAAGTGTTTTGCAGATCAATTGAATTATAAAAAGGAGAGTAGTCGACCGGGTGTTTTTGATTATGAAGAGGCAGAAGAAGACGAAGAAGAGGATGATGAAGGAAGAAAAGGGAGCGGAAGGTTCTTTAATGAGCTTGGGCCGAGTATCCGGATATTGAAATCATTCAAGGCCATGTTGAGGACTGAGGAAGTCGCGGGTCATTATCCAATTGCATTCGCAATGATTGCCAGATTGCTAGGCTTTGATCTAGGTAAATGTGAAAGTGTGAAAAAGCTCCCCCCCCCCCTTTTTTTTTTGTGGAAAATGTTGCAGTGTTTATTGATTTTTTTTTTTTTCTTTTTTCTTAATGGGTTATTAGCAACGACAAGGTATCTTCATCTTCATCTTCATGCACGGACACTTCTTTCATCTGCCATTCGTCTGGCTCTAGTGGGACCTTTTCAAGCACAACATATCATGACGCGATCACAAGCAAAAGCTCGGTTCATTGATGCCAAAACAGCAGATCTAACGATCGAAGATGCAGCCCAAACATTCTTGGTTGGTGATATCTGTGCAGGAGTCCATGGACGTTTGTGGACAAGACTCTTTAACAGTTGAACAGATAATAAGAATAATAACAATAAAAAAAAAAAATTATGGATATTTATTGTACAAGGATAAAAGAAAATCCGTGGATTTGATGATGCCATGTAGGATGGAATGAATTGGGTTCAAGAAAGAAAGAAAGAAAGAAAGAAAGAAAGAAAAGAAAAAAGAAAATGAAATATCTAAAATAAAACGCAAAAACTTTTTTTTTTTTTTTTTTTTTTCCTCCTCTAAACACGGAAGATCTCTCCATCCTTATAGTACGCCTTCAAAGTAACATGGAAATCTGCCATCTGGACCATAAACAACTTCAAGAGCTGAGCCTGTTCAGGGGTAAGGGTCTGTCCTTCCTTGCAGACACGATACTCATTGTTCAAGGTGACGATACCATTGTTCAAGACTGTGGGCATGCCCAAGCTTCTCAACTGAGGCTCCATATTATGAGGAAAGACTTCTTCACCCCGATAAACAGGACCAGCGGGGACGACAAAAGTACTGGTGGCCTTGACACCTGAACGAGCATAATCCGATTCAGTATAATTAGCAAAATAGTCCTGAATCTCTTGAGGGGGTTGATTGGTGAAGAGTAAGCCGACATGACCGACCAATTGTTCAGCAAGTTTATGAAGGTTATCCTTGTGTTCATCTTCAGGACTGGTCCCTAAAGCTTTTGCCATGACTTTTGTACGTCCGAAGAAGAAACGAGAGTTTCGTAATTCTGCGCGGACGTTTTTCAGATAGGTATTACGCATGTTCTCGACTGAGAAAATCCAGATGTACTTGTACTTGTCAACGCATTCTCTGATCTATTATGATTTGTGATTATGGTTGAGATTAATATTAATGCTATTATTGTGCTAAGATAGTTAAAGCAAAATATATATATATATATATTTACCTGTTCGTAGAGAGCATCCTTGCCAGCACGACCCTTCTTGTCGGTCTGAGTAAGAGTGACTATAAGGAAAATAATAATAAGAATAATAGAAGAAGAAAAAAAAAATCAGCATGTTTATTTTGATATTGTAGTTCCTGAAAAATTGTAGAAAGCAAAATGATATGGAATAATTAAAAAAAGATAACGCTGCAGCTTATTTTCCCATGTTTAATAGAAGTAATAACAATAAGAATAATAGCAAAGGTGTGAATCAATAGTAGATAGAAAGTGATATTGAAACATGAAGGTTAAGAGCTACTGGACACTGTTTTGTTGTATATATGAAGGTCCATGTTTTTTTTTATACATGTTTCCTCTTTTTTTTTTCCTTCTTCTTCTTCTTCTTCTTATTATTATTATTATTTTCTTTTTACTGAGCATACCGATTTTGTTTCTTTTGCTCTTAGGCATTGTTTAATAGGATGAAGAGAATGAAAGTTGAAGGCGATGGAGAGGAGGAGAGGGGGAGGTTTGATGGTAACGATGGTATTGAACTGTTTTCACACAAAAAAAAAAAAAAAAAAAAAAGAAAGCAAGTGAGAAAGTAAACATAGCGAAGCCACTTTATATATTTGTGACTGTTAGTGGATTAACCTAATTTCTAATTGGGTAAAAAGAGTTTACATGAATGATTCGGCGCGTCTACGAGAAAGAGTTAAAGCGTTTCTTTTTTTTTTTTTTTTTTTTTTTTGCATGCTCATACTCAAACAAACCATCCTTAATACACTCTCAGGATCAGCATACTAAGTTGATCCTCAACTACTGAAAAAATTTCAAAAATGCCTCCTACTATTATCCGAATAAAGGGGCGAAGGTCGTTTGCGCGATAGGTCGTTTCCGTGATAGATCGTGTGTGGGGAAAAAGTATTAACAACTTATGCATGGGAAAAAAATAATATATCAGCTTTACATGATCTTTTGAATCTCTCCTAATGCACAATTTTTATTTTTTTTCCATTTTTCTTATGATCCTCAATTGGTGCTTTTTAGTTCTTCGCTCTTGTCTCTCTCACTTTTGCCCTGTCCTTTTATTTTCTTTTATTTTCTTTATTTTCTTTTCTTCTTTTATTACCAATCCTTAAACTCACAAATTGTTATATGATTATATCTATTTAGTTCAGTAAAATGATGGACTCAGTCGATTATTCTTCTTTCTCAAGCACTCTTCGTTTTTATCTGAACGGGACCGAGGTTATTCTTGAGAGCCCGGATCCAGACATTACTTTATTGCAGTATGTCCGCTCCATAGGCCTTACAGGAACAAAGTTTGGATGCGCAGAGGGTGGATGTGGTAAGCCTATTTACATCCTTCAATGTCTTTTTTTTTCTTTCTTCTTTTTCTTTTCCTTTTTCCTTTTTTCTTTTTTATTTGTCAGGCAAGGGGAGAGAGCAAGGCCTAACTTTGTTATAATGTATGAACTGACAAAAGAGGATTCACTTTCCTATTCTCTGCTGTGGCTGTAATGGGGATAGGTGCATGTACGGTTATGGTCTCGTCTTACGACCGAGTAACAAAACACATCAAACATCTGAACGTCAATGCTTGCTTAACCCCTCTGTGCTCTGTCGATGGTAAGCATGTCATCACGATTGAAGGTCTAGGCAACCACAAGGACCCTCATCCAGTGCAGGAACGCATTGCTCTTTGCTTTGGGTAAGTCTCGCTTCTGCCACATCATCCATGCAATCTAATCCATGCAAACTTTTGTCGTGCAAAGGCCCACAACTAAAACTTTTACTACTGTTTTTTCTTTATGCAAATAAATTATAATAAAACAACAACAATAACAACAACACTATAAATATCCGTCCGGGAATCTCAACCAGCTCACAATGTGGATTCTGTACTCCTGGCATTGCCATGTCTCTTTACACATTCTTGCGCAATAATGAGAGACCATCAGAGTATGAGATCGAAGACTCCTTTGATGGAAACCTCTGTCGCTGCACAGGCTACAGACCCATCTTAGATGCAGCCAAGTCTTTTGCTGTTCCTCAAAAAGCAAAGATCGTGAATGGTTTCAAGGATGGCTTTACGAACCGCAACAGCAATAGTGCGGTCCCAGATGGATGTTGTGGCAAAGGTGGAGCGAACGGTGTTGATGGTTGTTGTAAGCGGTTCGATGTTTCATCTACAGTCCCACAAGAAAGTTCTTTTCAATTCCCTTCTGTCTTGTTCAAGACATATGACCCTACACAGGAGCTTATATTCCCACCTCAACTTATGAAGGTGGGTATTAAGCCGCTTCATTTCCGAGGTCGAAAGACGCAGTGGTTCCGTCCTACAACCTTATCACAGGCACGAGCCATCAAAGCAGCTTTCCCACATGCCAAGTATGTCGGAGGCAACACCGAAGTCGGTATCCAGAAGAAGTTCAAGCATGCAGCCTACTCTCCACTGATATACCTACATGACATCACAGAGCTGCAAGGGATCCGTTTTACATCTGAAGAGATGATCATTGGTGCTAATGTGACAATTGCCAACTTCCAAAAGGCTCTCGAAGATGGACAAAAGAAGGTAGCAGAGCATCAGGTGCCTGTTCTACATGCCTTCTTAGCCAACATCAAGCATTTTGCAGGTCGTCAGATCCGGAATGCTGCTTCTGTTGCTGGCAATATTGCGACTGCATCTCCGGTCTCAGCTCTGAACCCTATCTTTATCGCTTCCAACTCTACATTCAGCATCCTTTCTTCCAACCAGTCTGCGGATGCATCAACAGCAGCTCGTGTGGTGCCTGCTACAGAGTTCTTCCAAGGCTGTAGCAAGACTGCATTGAATCCAGAGACCGATATCTTGACAGAGATCCACATCCCATTGACGCGTCCAGACGAGTATATCCGTGCATTTAAGCAGACTAAGCGACGCGATGACGATACTGCAATTGTCTCGGCTGCTATCCGAGTCCGGCTATCACCTGAAGATCATAAGGTCATTGAGAGCTCATTTGTATATGGCAACATGACCAGTTTCACCTGCCAAGCTGTCAAGACCTCAGCACGCTTGAAAGATAAGAGGTGGGGAGATGAGAGTGTCTTGAGCATGGTCCTCGAGAGTCTTGATGAAGAGCTCCCTATGCAAGTCTCGGCACCTGGTGGGATGCCTGAATACCGGAGAGCGCTTGCTAAGTCATTATTTTTCCGGTTCTGGTGGGATGTGGTTGAGAAGCGAGGACTTTCTGTCCAACATGACCATGGTAACTTAAAGCTGTTGACAAGCGAGATCCATCGACATGTCTCTCGTGGAACTCAAGATGCTAAAGCAGCTGTGCGGAATGCAGAGACAGAGGTTGTTGCGAAGGGCATAGCAGCCATCTCTGCCATGAAACAAGCAACTGGAGAAGCAAGATATACAGGTAAAGCAAAGCATTCAAATATTGTATTGCTATTGCCATTATACGCTAACTCCCTTTATTCTCTTTTCTTTCATTTGTAAAAAAAATGAAAAATCAAATCAAATCCAATAATAATACAGACGATATCCCAAGCTCTAAAGATGAGTTGTATGCAGCTTTAGTGCTTTCTACAAGAGCCCACGCAAAGGTTATAAGTGTCGATGCCAGTAAAGCATTGGCATATCCAGGAGTCAAGGACTATATTGACCATACTAGAGTTCCTGGTAGTAACGACTGGCATGCAGCTTTGGCCTCTGACGAGACTATTTTTGTCACAGACACGGTTCTCTGTGTCGGACAGATCATTGGGCTTGTCATTGCAGATAGCCAAGCCATTGCTCAAGAAGCAGCTCAAAAAGTCAAGGTTGAATACTCAGACCTCCCAGCTATTGTCACGATCGATGAAGCTATCGCAGCTGATTCATATCTATCAGCTGAACCCCGGACTATCATCAAAGGGGATGTAGATGCAGCCTTCAAGACATGTGCCAAAGTATTTGAAGGTGAAACTCGAGTTGGAGCACAGGAGCATTTTTACTTAGAGACACACTCAGCCATTGCCAGCTACTCTGAAGGAGAGGTAGAAATCATTGCTGCAACACAATATGCGGATGGGGCACAAGCGGCTGTGGCAGATACATTGGGTCTGAGCTCTAACAAGGTTGTTTGTAAGGTCAAGCGTGTGGGTGGTGCATTTGGCGGAAAGGAATCACGAGGTGTACCACTGATCTGTGCGATATCAGTAGCATCCTATTGTCTTAAGAAGCCTATTCGAATTGTGCTCGACCGCAACGAGGATATGATAATGACAGGTCAGCGGCACCCATTCAAGGGTAAATGGAAGGTTGGACTGGACCAAGATAACAAGTTGGTAGCTCTAGATATCCAGCTGTATTCGAATGGAGGATTCAGTCGTGATTGCTCTGCTCCAGTCATGGATCATGCTCTGACCCATATTGACAGTGTATATTATTTTTCGAACATACGAACTGTTGGCAAGTGCTGCCGAACAAACCTACCAAGCAATACATCCTTCCGTGGGTATGGAGGCCCTCAAGTAACCCTTATAACGGAGTCATTCATGAATGAGGTTGCAGAGCAGCTCAATATTCCTGTGGAGGAGCTGCGAGAGAAGAACTTTTACAAAGAGGGACAGAAAACACACTATAACCAAGTCCTTGAGGACTGGCATATCCCAGAGGGATATTACCAGCTCAAGGAAAAAGCACGGTACGATGAACGTCGGCTTGCAATACAAGAGTTCAACAAGTTGTCGAAATGGCGCAAGCGTGGTATTTCTCTAATTCCGACCAAACATGGTATTGGGATGAATTCTCGTTTTATGAATCAGGCAGGAGCATTGGTCCATATTTATCTTGATGGATCTGTGCTGGTAATGCATGGAGGTGTCGAAATGGGACAAGGACTACATACAAAAATGATCCAGGTTTGCGCAGAGGTGCTGAAGGTCCCAATGGATCTCATCCATACAATGGACATGTCAACTGACAAAATCCCCAATGCGATACCAACAATAGCGTCGATCTCTTCAGATACGAATGGCATGGCAGTTAAAGATGCAGCAGAGAAGCTGTATGAGCGACTTCAGTCTTACCGCAATCCCAAAGGGAAGAACCTCTCATGGCGTGAAGCTGTCATACAAGCGTATCAAGATGGAGCACATCTAAGTGCGACTGGATTTTACGTTGTTCCAGAGATTGGACACGATTGGGAAAAGAATGAAGGAAAGCTTTGTCACTATTACACAACGGGAGTAGCAATATCAGAGGTAGAAGTAGATATGTTGACAGGAACATATACAATTCTTCGGTCAGATATCAGTATGGACTTGGGTAGATCACTTAACCCTTCGATTGACATTGGACAGATTGAGGGAGGGTTTATACAAGGAGTTGGATATGTCACCACGGAGGAGTCCTTGTTTTCACCCGATGGGATGCTGTTGACCCAAGGACCAGGTTCATACAAGATCCCAGGATTCAAGTGTATTCCGCAAGAGATGAACATCTCATTCTTTGAAGATGTGACACACGAAAGTATAAAGACTATCTTCAAGTCGAAAGGAATTGGAGAACCACCATTGCTTCTTGGCAGTTCAGTGTACTTCGCGATCCGAGATGCAGTACGATATGCACGACAGGACCATGGGCATACTGAAGGCACCTTTTCATTACCGATCCCAGCGACTCCGGAGAAGGTCCGTATGGCTGTTGGAGATGTGATCGCAGAGAGCAGTCGACTGGTTGCAAAACCAGGAGAGAAGCCATCAGCAGTGCTGAGTAATTAAGGTTCCTAGGGGAAGGAAAAAAAAAAAAAAAAGATAACGATATGATACAGCTTATTTTCTCATATTTAATAATTTAATAGCTGTAGTAACAATAGTAATAGTATGAAAGGCCTGAGCCTAAAACAATTAAGCAATAATGGATAAGTAGCAATATTGAGACTTGAAGGTCAGGAGTACTCGACACAGTTTTTGTGTGTATACTTGAATGCTTATGTTGTTTCTCTTGCCTTCGGGCCTTCAGGATTTGCTGTTACAGAGCTGTTTCACATAATCAAACACACCCATGGCTGTTGAATAACCTAATTTCAATTGGGCGTATTTCCGTGAAGGAAAGAGCAGAAGAGAGTCAGAGCGCGTTATTTTTTTGGCATGTCAAACAAGGCGCAGCCCATCCCTCGGAAATTGTCCTGCCCTCAGATTTTGGTTTATTTTTCCAGAATTCATCATGTTCATGCAAAATATCGCACCAGTGTGATCCTCATTCCTTGTTTCTTATTGCTTTCTCTCTTGCCTCTTACTTTTTTCTCCATCCTCTTCTTTTCTTTTTTTTTTTTTTTTTTTTTTTTTTCCTTTTTCCTTTTTTTTCTTTTCCTTTTTCCTTTTTTTTCTTTTTACCAATCCTTATACTTAAAAAGCCCTGCTACTTGTCTATGTCTATTGTAGTTCAGTATAATGGTGAACTCAGTTGATTTTTCTTCATTCTCGAGTACTCTTCGTTTTTATCTGAATGGTACCGAGGTTATTCTTGAAAACCCGGACCCAGACATTACTTTATTGCAGTATGTCCGCTCCATAGGCCTTACAGGAACAAAGTTTGGATGCGCAGAGGGTGGATGTGGTAAGCCTATTTACATCCTTCAATGTCTTTTTTTTTCTTTCTTCTTTTTCTTTTCCTTTTTCCTTTTTTCTTTTTTATTTGTCAGGCAAGGGGAGAGAGCAAGGCCTAACTTTGTTATAATGTATGAACTGACAAAAGAGGATTCACTTTCCTATTCTCTGCTGTGGCTGTAATGGGGATAGGTGCATGTACGGTTATGGTCTCGTCTTACGACCGAGTAACAAAACACATCAAACATCTGAACGTCAATGCTTGCTTAACCCCTCTGTGCTCTGTCGATGGTAAGCATGTCATCACGATTGAAGGTCTAGGCAACCACAAGGACCCTCATCCAGTGCAGGAACGCATTGCTCTTTGCTTTGGGTAAGTCTCGCTTCTGCCACATCATCCATGCAATCTAATCCATGCAAACTTTTGTCGTGCAAAGGCCCACAACTAAAACTTTTACTACTGTTTTTTCTTTATGCAAATAAATTATAATAAAACAACAACAATAACAACAACACTATAAATATCCGTCCGGGAATCTCAACCAGCTCACAATGTGGATTCTGTACTCCTGGCATTGCCATGTCTCTTTACACATTCTTGCGCAATAATGAGAGACCATCAGAGTATGAGATCGAAGACTCCTTTGATGGAAACCTCTGTCGCTGCACAGGCTACAGACCCATCTTAGATGCAGCCAAGTCTTTTGCTGTTCCTCAAAAAGCAAAGATCGTGAATGGTTTCAAGGATGGCTTTACGAACCGCAACAGCAATAGTGCGGTCCCAGATGGATGTTGTGGCAAAGGTGGAGCGAACGGTGTTGATGGTTGTTGTAAGCGGTTCGATGTTTCATCTACAGTCCCACAAGAAAGTTCTTTTCAATTCCCTTCTGTCTTGTTCAAGACATATGACCCTACACAGGAGCTTATATTCCCACCTCAACTTATGAAGGTGGGTATTAAGCCGCTTCATTTCCGAGGTCGAAAGACGCAGTGGTTCCGTCCTACAACCTTATCACAGGCACGAGCCATCAAAGCAGCTTTCCCACATGCCAAGTATGTCGGAGGCAACACCGAAGTCGGTATCCAGAAGAAGTTCAAGCATGCAGCCTACTCTCCACTGATATACCTACATGACATCACAGAGCTGCAAGGGATCCGTTTTACATCTGAAGAGATGATCATTGGTGCTAATGTGACAATTGCCAACTTCCAAAAGGCTCTCGAAGATGGACAAAAGAAGGTAGCAGAGCATCAGGTGCCTGTTCTACATGCCTTCTTAGCCAACATCAAGCATTTTGCAGGTCGTCAGATCCGGAATGCTGCTTCTGTTGCTGGCAATATTGCGACTGCATCTCCGGTCTCAGCTCTGAACCCTATCTTTATCGCTTCCAACTCTACATTCAGCATCCTTTCTTCCAACCAGTCTGCGGATGCATCAACAGCAGCTCGTGTGGTGCCTGCTACAGAGTTCTTCCAAGGCTGTAGCAAGACTGCATTGAATCCAGAGACCGATATCTTGACAGAGATCCACATCCCATTGACGCGTCCAGACGAGTATATCCGTGCATTTAAGCAGACTAAGCGACGCGATGACGATACTGCAATTGTCTCGGCTGCTATCCGAGTCCGGCTATCACCTGAAGATCATAAGGTCATTGAGAGCTCATTTGTATATGGCAACATGACCAGTTTCACCTGCCAAGCTGTCAAGACCTCAGCACGCTTGAAAGATAAGAGGTGGGGAGATGAGAGTGTCTTGAGCATGGTCCTCGAGAGTCTTGATGAAGAGCTCCCTATGCAAGTCTCGGCACCTGGTGGGATGCCTGAATACCGGAGAGCGCTTGCTAAGTCATTATTTTTCCGGTTCTGGTGGGATGTGGTTGAGAAGCGAGGACTTTCTGTCCAACATGACCATGGTAACTTAAAGCTGTTGACAAGCGAGATCCATCGACATGTCTCTCGTGGAACTCAAGATGCTAAAGCAGCTGTGCGGAATGCAGAGACAGAGGTTGTTGCGAAGGGCATAGCAGCCATCTCTGCCATGAAACAAGCAACTGGAGAAGCAAGATATACAGGTAAAGCAAAGCATTCAAATATTGTATTGCTATTGCCATTATACGCTAACTCCCTTTATTCTCTTTTCTTTCATTTGTAAAAAAAATGAAAAATCAAATCAAATCCAATAATAATACAGACGATATCCCAAGCTCTAAAGATGAGTTGTATGCAGCTTTAGTGCTTTCTACAAGAGCCCACGCAAAGGTTATAAGTGTCGATGCCAGTAAAGCATTGGCATATCCAGGAGTCAAGGACTATATTGACCATACTAGAGTTCCTGGTAGTAACGACTGGCATGCAGCTTTGGCCTCTGACGAGACTATTTTTGTCACAGACACGGTTCTCTGTGTCGGACAGATCATTGGGCTTGTCATTGCAGATAGCCAAGCCATTGCTCAAGAAGCAGCTCAAAAAGTCAAGGTTGAATACTCAGACCTCCCAGCTATTGTCACGATCGATGAAGCTATCGCAGCTGATTCATATCTATCAGCTGAACCCCGGACTATCATCAAAGGGGATGTAGATGCAGCCTTCAAGACATGTGCCAAAGTATTTGAAGGTGAAACTCGAGTTGGAGCACAGGAGCATTTTTACTTAGAGACACACTCAGCCATTGCCAGCTACTCTGAAGGAGAGGTAGAAATCATTGCTGCAACACAATATGCGGATGGGGCACAAGCGGCTGTGGCAGATACATTGGGTCTGAGCTCTAACAAGGTTGTTTGTAAGGTCAAGCGTGTGGGTGGTGCATTTGGCGGAAAGGAATCACGAGGTGTACCACTGATCTGTGCGATATCAGTAGCATCCTATTGTCTTAAGAAGCCTATTCGAATTGTGCTCGACCGCAACGAGGATATGATAATGACAGGTCAGCGGCACCCATTCAAGGGTAAATGGAAGGTTGGACTGGACCAAGACAACAAGTTGGTAGCTCTAGATATCCAACTATATTTGAATGCAGGATACAGTTTAGATTATTCTCCTGCAGTCATGGACCGTGCTCTGACTCATAGCGAGGGTGTATATTATTTTTCGAACATACGAACTGTTGGCAGGTGCTGCCGAACAAACCTACCAAGCAATACATCCTTCCGTGGGTTCGGAGGACCACAAATCACCCTCATAGCGGAATCATTCATGAATGAGGTTGCAGAGCAGCTCAATATTCCTGTGGAGGAGCTGCGAGAGAAGAACTTTTACAAAGAGGGACAGAAAACACACTATAACCAAGTCCTTGAGGACTGGCATATCCCAGAGGGATATTACCAGCTCAAGGAAAAAGCACGGTACGATGAACGTCGGCTTGCAATACAAGAGTTCAACAAGTTGTCGAAATGGCGCAAGCGTGGTATTTCTCTAATTCCGACCAAACATGGTATTGGGATTGATCCCCATTTTATGAATCAGGCAGGAGCATTAATCCATATTTATCTTGATGGATCTGTGCTGGTAACGCATGGAGGTGTCGAAATGGGACAAGGACTACATACAAAAATGATCCAGGTTTGCGCAGAGGTGCTGAAGGTCCCAATGGATCTCATCCATACAATGGACATGTCAACTGACAAAATCCCCAATGCGATACCAACAATAGCGTCGATCTCTTCAGATACGAATGGCATGGCAGTTAAAGATGCAGCAGAGAAGCTGTATGAGCGACTTCAGTCTTACCGCAATCCCAAAGGGAAGAACCTCTCATGGCGTGAAGCTGTCATACAAGCGTATCAAGACGGAGTACATCTAAGTGCAACTGGGTTCTACAAACATCCACAACTTGGACACGACTGGGAAAAGAATGAAGGGCATATTTTTCATTATTACACAACGGGAGTAGCAATATCAGAGGTAGAAGTAGATATGTTGACAGGAACATATACAATTCTTCGGTCAGATATCAGTATGGACTTGGGTAGATCACTTAACCCTTCGATTGACATTGGACAGATTGAGGGAGGGTTTATACAAGGAGTTGGATATGTCACCACGGAGGAGTCCTTGTTTTCACCCGATGGGATGCTGTTGACCCAAGGACCAGGTTCATACAAGATCCCAGGATTCAAGTGTATTCCGCAAGAGATGAACATCTCATTCTTTGAAGATGTGACACACGAAAGTATAAAGACTATCTTCAAGTCGAAAGGAATTGGAGAACCACCATTGCTTCTTGGCAGTTCAGTGTACTTCGCGATCCGAGATGCAGTACGATATGCACGACAGGACCATGGGCATACTGAAGGCACCTTTTCATTACCGATCCCAGCGACTCCGGAGAAGGTCCGTATGGCTGTTGGAGATGTGATCGCAGAGAGCAGTCGACTGGTTGCAAAACCAGGAGAGAAGCCATCAGCAGTACTGAGTAATTAAGGTCCTCACGTATATCTATATTTATATATTTTACATAAATAAAAGCAGTTGCATTGTTCATGCTTTGGTCAATAATTAAACGCAGTCCTTCATTTCCAATGCTCTTGAGACCTCCCTCCCTCCCCTCTGAACTTTCAACTAATAAAGCAAAACCCACATAATTCAATAAATCTCGGTAATGGACGCATTACGTAAACCTGACAAGGAAGTTGGCAAGGATCTTGTCAAGGGCACTTTGATATCTGGTAACTTCTGTTGTTGTAGAAGGATAAGAGCAACGGAAATATTAAGGCCAAATGTATCAAATGCATTAGAAAAACATTCATTACGATCAACTAATTTAGACATTGCATTCAATGTTTTTTTTTTTTTTTTTTTTTTTATAAAAAAAAAAAAAAAAGGTGTTGTTGGCGCGTCAGCAGGCGGTGTTATTGGCATTCTACGACAGCAACCCGTTGGACAATATGCGTTTTCTGGAGGATTAAATGCTTCTCTATTTGGAATGACTTTTATTGGTATAACATTAAGGGATCCCAGTTCTTATAAACAAGTGTTGTATTTACATGAGATATAAAAGCTGAGATTTCCATTTTTTTTTTTTTTTTTTTTGCTACAAATGTTATCATTGTATAGCCTTCCGGGAGTCATTTCTTCGTTTTCAGCGAAACAAAAACCCATATTTTGGATTGAAAGATTCACAGACTATGGAGATTGATCAACTTTGGAGCAGTACGATTGCAGGAGCGTGCACAGGAGGGATTCTTGCAGCATTAGCACGTAGGGAATAAGCTAAACTTATGAGTGGAAATCAACGGATTGTACAAAAAAAAAAAAAAAAAAAAAAAAAGGTTTTCTTGGTATTAAAATACTCAAGTCTGTGTCACACACATCATAAAAAACTTTTTTTTTTATTTTTTTTATTTTTTTAGGTGGATCCAAGGCAGTACCATCGGGGACATTCATGTTTGGAGTGATGGCATTGGGTGGTCAATGGATCTGGTCAAAGACAAACCGATATCGACAGGACAGGATTTTGGCGACCATACCTCAGATAGAACAAAGTGAGACACATCAAACGATTACTACTTCTGTTGCAAAGACAACGACAGGCGCGCCACGGGATCGGGACGCTGTAGGCACTGGACTGTTGAAGGTGCTACCGGTTCACAGGACAGATGTTGATGAATATGAAGCAAAGCTTCGACAGAAACTGGAGTTGATTGAACAGGAACAGAAGATGTTGCAAGAGGAGGTGTTGAGACGGAAGAGGATAGTAATGGAAAAGGCAATTCAGGAGAAGACAGTATGACATTGATAATGAGCTCTTTTATATAATAAACCATTTTTCCTATTCATTATAATCGAAAGTGGGTTTTTGGGCTCAAATACACTATGAATTTGGTCCCAAAAATGAATGAATTGACCTTCATAAAAGATGTATTTAAAAATATTGGCGCACATGATATCAACTTTATGCTGATTTGTCCTCCACTTGGCAGTATTCAAGAGATGTCAGGATGTCATAATATCGTTTGAGTTTCTTCAAGTTCGTGTTTGGTAAATGTTTTATCCTTATTAAAAAAGAGGAAAGGGGAACAGGCTTCAGCTTTTTGGCTTGTGCCCTCACCTCCACCGAGAACGACTGGCGTCTTTTGTTAACACTTTTTTTTTTTTTTTTTGGACATGGTGTTTATAAGAGTGAGGACGCAATTTGTTTATTGGTATCATGTGCGTCAATATATGTGACTTTAAATTTCACGTCTTAAAATATACCTTTTATAGAGGTCAATTCATTCATTTTTGGGACCCTTTCGACGATAAAAATTAAAAATTTACATCTTGACTCTTCTCACTTGTTCTGCTTTGCCATTAAAATTTGCCACCATCTTGTTGTCCATAATCTCATTTATTCTCTAAAACGCGCTTCTTTGTCATCAAGCTTTTTATTTCAAACTAATAATCTCTCATTCTTTTCATTGCGATCCCCTTGACTAAAGATTCTTCATTTCTTCTTATCTTTTCTTTTCTTCTCATCTTTTCATTTCTTATCTTTTTTTTTTTTTTCTTTTTTCTTTTTTTTTTCCTTTTTTACTTTTTCACTTTCTTTCTTTCGTACACGCGACATACACCGAGAAATAATGGATTCACTTACGAGCAAGAAGAGAAAAGCAGAAATCACGATACTGGACGCAACATCTACTGCCAAAACGTCTCAATCTTCACCTTCCCCTAAGAGCCGTCGGGTGAGGTCGACTGGTGATATTAACGATAACGCTAGTACTAACGACAGCAACAACAACAGTGAAAAAGTATCTCCATCAAAATCAAGGCTTCAGCATGGGCAGGATCTATCACATCTACAGCGGCCTTCTTTTCAGGTCACTGATCATCCAAAGCAGCCACCATTGAACCCTAAGTTTGAGCGCCCTTATACTAGGTCTAGCAGCTTGCTCGACCATAGTCCTGACTCCTCAAAGCCTCAAGAGAATGTTGCAGCTCTAAAGTCAACCAGAAAAAAACATAGACATGTAGAGGAGTCAGGAGTGCCCGCATCATCACAGTCATCGAAAATTGCGTCATCATCTAAAAGCTCGAAGCGAACGTCTGGAGAAGACCGACGCCAGTCAACGGACGAGCCGGAAGGCATTTCAGCCATAGCACCCACCACGGCACCTCAAGAATCACCAAACAACAATGTCCAGGAAAGCCATAGTACGCCATCAAATGCTGTATCCCACAAGCCTTTGGCGGCAACTGATGTTCCTGTTTCTATACCTGCTCAGATTGCAGTCGTAGAAGCTTCTCCAAGCAAGCGCGTCGCATTCTCTCCTTACAGACAAAAGTCTCCATTGTCGATCCCCAGCGCGGCGTCTACTCCCAAATTGAAAGGGATTCTTAAGTCACCAGCTCCGACACGTGTTTTGAACCGAGACCATGAGCTTGATAGCACTGAAATGAGAAACCCTTTTGTTGTAACTACAGAGAGCGATTATTCGGAAAGAAAATCCTTTGTAAAGGAAGCTCTTGAGTCACTGCAGTCTGAGGATGCTCAAATACGCTCATCAGCCTACCTTAACTTGCAGGCCAAGTTCAGAGAGGGCGATGAAAACCCTTTCTATCTGAAGGAAGTCAAAGAGTCAATGCGATTGTTTGCGAGGTATCTCATGAGGGATTTAGATCTAAATAGCCCTCCGAGTTTGATTCAGGCGACACTGAAGTGCACAGGCTACTTTCTTTTCAACCAGAGAATTGTCGCGATGTTTACTTCAAAAGAAATCGAGGCTCTACTTATACAAATCTTACATTTGGTCAATGCGGCGGATGAGAAACCAACTTGTAATTTGGCGATCTGGACTCTTTCCTCTACCAGAATCCCTCCAAGACTCTTGTATCCGTTTCTCCCGCAAATGATCGAGGCTTTCTTGGACAATCTGGAGTCCCGATTCAAGTCGTCAAGTATTACGAGTGAATCCTTAGGAGGCATGTTTTCCGTATTTACACAATTTCCGAATGAAATTGTGGCAACAGTCCAATCATGGCTCATACCTGTACTTACGAGGTTAATATCACCCATTCCTGGTATCCGGTCAAGGGCGCTGGAGCTGTTGACAATGGCGATCCCTAAGTTGATTGAAAAGGAGGATCCGAGGCGAATACAGGCCGTCAACGAATTCATGGATGATTATAGCACTGAGTTCCTTGAGGTTTTGACAGCAAACTTTCTGGATGCTAATGATGGTAAGACGACATGGACTTTTTTTCTTCTTCTTCTTCAATGTTAAAAAGGATGTTTGGTTAATATTTAAGAGTTTCTCTTGTAACATTAGAGGTTTACGCCGTCACTGTCTGGGGCGCTCTGGTCACATTAATGGGAAAGAAATTACAAAAAAGTCCATTGCTCAACCCCATGCTAAAGATGGTGGAGGTAATATAATCGGCAATATTGGTGTTGCATTTTGACACATCCTTTAACTATTCTAACTTTTTTTTGTTTTGTTTTTCCTCTTTTACTTTTTACGCATATAATGCTTTGATCTCGACATATCTATCACAAATAGAAATGTTTTAATTCGACATCATCCGCGAGGACAGAAATCAAAATGGCTGCGTTTCAAGCATGGACGTAAGCCAAGGACTCTAAGATCTTTTTTTTTTTTCCGCTCGGTATAACGCCAAATAATGGCTGATGCAATGTTTGAAACTTACATTTTATTTTTATTTTTTGTTTTTTATTAGGCGACTCATATATAATTTTGCTATTGGTGGACATATCGCAAACGAAAAGCCTCTTAAACTAATGCTTACCCCATTCGCAAACTGGTAGGTTTTGCTCCGCACTTATGCTTCGTCCATCCAATACTTTGAGTCTTTGCCCCCAAAAGGAAAAACTTTATGTGGACTCTAATACCCATCATTATTGTTGCTCTTGTCCCTGTTATAGCCTTTTTAACGAAAGGCACAAGCGCATTCGACTAGCATGTTTCAACGCCTGGATATCCCTTATTTATGCCCTCGGTTCCAGGCTATCAAAGGTATGTTGAGACATATTTCGAGCAGAAGTTCAGTGCTACTAATTTGAAGACAAAAAATGCGATCTCTAACGAGCTGCCTTCATCTTGCGCTTATCACAGCACGCAGATCAGGTCCTATTTCCTCAGCTGAAACTTGCGATTGTGGACGAGTCTGAGCATGTCCGTGACCTCGCGCTCAGACTCATTGTGGCTTTGATCTCTAATTCTGGTGGCCAAGGTATAGAGCGTTGATGATTGCTAGTAAACAATATAATAACTAGTTCAAAAAGATAATTTTAAAATCGCTGGTAATTAACTGTAGTCTTAATACTTCGATAGACCTTGTGGAAGGGCGCCAGAGTATAGTACCTGGATCAATCACATTTTCGGATCTAGGCTGTGCAGAGGCATCTTGGGTACGTACGGACTTGCTGGATATTTGTCTGGACTGTGTTTACCAAACTGTTGGCCTACAACATAGGATTCAGGAAGCAGCACGCGAAGATTGGAAGGTACTTGGATTGACGGAGCTACCTCTGCTTACGCAGCGGTGTGCGACGACTTGGGAAACCATCGTGAGAGCCATCCGAGATATTAATCTGCAAGAGAAGGGTACGATCTTGTGCTATTCATTGATCAATATCTGAAGCCTCAGTGGCCAAATGGTACGAGGGGAAAAAAGATGTAGTCTAACGAATGACAGTGCCCTCAATTCTTATGCTAGGTATGAGCGCCACTTCTGAGGCAGATCGTGCTCTGTCATCACTGCTATTTTTTGTAGAAAAATTGTCACGGTGCAACCCGAAAGCACTCATCCCTGGCGAATGGCCGAACTGTGACCCTGAGAAGCTTGCACTGTTGAAACACGATACAGAATCGACAGGATACATCATTCGAGCGGACATCATACATTATTTCCTTACTTGCGTTATTGAGATTTTTTCTCCCAGAACGCTTATGTCTGCTCGATATCAAGTTCGAGACAAGATTCACGACGATATTTATAATGCCATCTATCCTGTTTCTGAACCAACATCACAGACAAGTGATGTGGCCCCGCTTCCTCAAGATGAGGGCCTAAGAAGTGGTGTCATCTTATCGCCGCTCGAATTCATTCTCAAGAGCTGGCTGGCGACAGGTGAATCAGTCATTGGGACTGCATTAGAGGATCCATTCTGGCAAGCCATATCAGCCTTTGTGGAGTTTTCAACTAAAGGGATCAATGCCCTCGGTCCGCTGTACAGGTGTTTGGATCATATTGAGGACATTCGAATGAAGAGACATACCACAAACACCAGTATTTGGCCTGAGTATTCCAATGATCCAATTACGCCAACGGCATTCCGCGTGTTCCAGTGCAAATTCTGGGCTATAGTCTGTAAGCAGCATGAATATTCTCAATATTACACAGTCGTCTTTTTCTTTGTCAAAACTATCTGACCAAGTTTTCGTTTTTCAATTTTTCTCTTCTTTGTGAAATGTAGCACAAAAACTCAGAGCAACTATCAGTAGAACTAACCAGATTATAGATGGTACGGTGACAGGATATGAGCAGGCTTATGTGAGCTTTATCAAATTTATGATGTATCCATTTATGATTCTGAGTGATCCTAATGACATCAAACGAGATATACCCGACATGGATTACAGTCAACGCATGTTGGACAGTCAAGATCCAGTGATTACACAAATGGTTCAGTTCATGGAGACATTTAAGGCCATTTCTTTACCTACTTGGACTGAGCTGCTGCAGATTTTTTATAGAACCGCACAACATAAACGGAGTCATGGTAACGATGTAATGAATACATTAGCTGCTCAGATTCGGGAGCTGTACGGCAGGAGACAGCCATTTGTTTGGATTCAGTCATTTAGCGTGGCATGTACTAGCAACATTGTCGATACATTAGTGTTGCATGGTTTTAAGGGGCCATCAGCACAGAAGTCATCAGTACCCACATCAAGAAATACCACTCGTGGACACCGCATTAAAGAGTGAGTTTTTTTTTACAAGAGAGGAGGGTAAATGTTCAAGCCTTGCAAGGATTTGTACTAATATAATTCTCTTGGATAGAAATTTTGATGATCTGCTCAACCTCTGCTCGGACCTATTTGCGGAAGCATACGATAATGTGAGGTACAGAGCAGAGTTGATTACCTCCGAAGGTATTCCACAGATTCAAGAAGCAGCGTTCTTGCTCATGGAAAGAACCATCAACAAAGCCCCTTCGTCACAAATCATTCAATGGCTTCAAGTCCTACAGCCGTCTATTATTACATGGTTTGATGATCCCATGATGAACATTCGTAATCTATCCAAGATGCAGCGTCGACCCTACAGAGCTAGGATTGAAACTATGTGGACTCGGTGCATTTTAGAAAAACTACTCAAATGTTCGCCATCATCGATCGGCGTAGGTGGTCCGAATTCTGCTTTTGGTTCAGTGCTTCCGGCGCCTCTGACTACAATTCGTGGCATTTATCAACATATGCAGCAAAAATGGCAAAAGGCTTCATCTGCCTCGAATCCAGCTAATCCAGTCTTGGATACCAAACACGCTGCTAAAGATGTTGACTCGACCTCCGGGCCTTTCAACTCTGAAACATTAGCTCAACTGTCTCCATTGCTGTTTGCTGCACTCAACTCTCATCACAAGTCAATCGTCAATAAGACACTGGAATTCTGGAATCAAACATTCGGCAAGTCTAACACTGATCTAAATTATCCTGAGGACATTGCTTTAATCATGCAGCAGCTTAAGCTTGTAGCGACAATCAGTCTTCCAGGATGGAAATTCGGAGACAACTCACAGACAGAAGTCCCACAATTCGCATCACTGTCACAGGAAATGCTATCACTTCCTCAAGAGCTCCATGTGCGGTCTGAATCGGGTCTATCGAGGCTATTGAAAGAGAAGGCGGCAGTTGCACGACAGCTCTCGAGAAAAAAGAACAAGCAGACACAAGGAGTAGGAGTTGGCGATGCAGCTACTTTGACAGGTTTGCAGGATGGAGCAAACATCAGTAGTAGTAGCAACAATACTAGCGGCGCAGCCACTCCAAGCTCGTTGTCAACACCAATCGGTAGCAGGCCTCAAACTCCTCTGATCCATACAGACTCGTCTGTACAGCAACTCGACGTCAATAGTGATAACAACAATATCGATCCCGATATTGGCGCATCACCAACCAGAAAATCCGATAAAGGTAAAGAGATCTGGGTTGCAAATCCTCATAAGGCGAATCCTGATCCAAAGTTGATGAATGAGCCGGATAGTGCTGAGAACTCTATGGATGAAGTTGAGGTATTCTCGCCCTCGAAACGAGCTCAGAAAGCATTAGCCATGAAAGAAACACAATTACGGCCTCCCTCTACGAAGAACTCGCTTTCGAAGCCAGCGAATACAACAACGACCAAAATTAATGACACGCACATTAAAGTAAATGAGACCAATAGGGTTATGGATTTGTCAACACCAGCATCAACATCTGCATCTGCACTTGCATCAGTATCAGGGCCTAGCAGTGTCTACTTTAGTGCAGGTTCCAGTCCAAGAGACAACAATAGTAAAGGCAACGAAGAAGTTGTAACGCCGACTCCGTCAGAGGGCTCATCACCATCGGCTACTGCATCAATCCAGCGTGATAATGCAGAAATAAGAACTATGGAGGATCGACGGATCCGAATAGAGGCACCAGGCAATGTCAATGGCGGCGCTGAAATACCTAAATTGATTGAGACTGCCGAAGAATTTTTAAAGACGGTTCAGCACCTTGGAGAGGCGCGCAATGTCGTCAATCAGATGGACACGAGGTAAGAACATTAGTCTATTTGAATTGATTTAAAAATTTAAAATATCGCTCTAATCACGATCACTATTATTATATTTATTATTTGCCCCGATAGACAACTCTTTGAGCTACAAAGGCAATTAATGGTGTTGAATCAGGCCGCGCATGATGCATTGAGCCAGAGTATGATGAAAGATGCCAGAAAGTGATTTTTTTTTTTTTTTTTTTAATTTGTACTACCATCATTTATGTTCATGCTTTCATGTAAACATAAATTTATTGCAAGAATTCTTAAAAATACAGCTTATATTTGCATTAATTAGCAGGATCGACTCCTTGCCAAATAAAAAGTAAAAATTTCGAACCAGATAAAAAATAGAATGGATAAATAGACATTGAATACAACAATATTACAAAAAAAAAAGGAAAAGAAAAGAGTGGGGAGCGAAGAAGGATTAGAGCGCATCAGACTATAGGCTCTTTAAGTGTTCTTACGGAGGATAGTTCGCATATTCCATTTGCGGCTACTTGGGCTAGAGACATGATCGGGGCTAGAGGCTAAGGTCTCTGCAATGTTAGAGACTTCTTTCCAAAGAGGCTTCATCTCGTAAGGCATACGGATAACATCATCGTCACCATCGTCATTGTTGTCGCGGTGGTGATCGCCGCTGCCAGGCTTGTCATCTCCAATAATGCCACTAATCCTTCTGTACCAACCATCAGCTTGTTCGGCCACAATAGCCTTGGCTAAAGCTTTTCGTTTAGTCTGACCTGCCTCACCTGTCCAACTTTCAAGCAATCGAAGGACCATCTGCTTACGCTCCTCTTTTCTCTTGGCAACGCTTGCAGTCTGAGCTGCAGTTGCATGTTGAAGTTCCTGCTGATGTTGAGCTGACAATGATGATGACGAAGAAGAGGAAGAAGGAGAATCATTCTTCAAAGCCTTTGATGCCCAACGGATAGCATCCTTGATATTTTGTTCATCATTAATGAACAAATCATTCTCAAGCATCCACTGAAGGGACTTGATTCTTCCAAAGAAAGCTGCATATGCCAATGCTGTGCCATGAGGATAGACATCTTTAGAACTCTTGACCCGAGTATCTGCACCTCTGGAATATAATTCTTGAACCATCAATAAACAGTCACGCCCAGCCATTAATCGCATCAGACTCGTCTCTTTCCAATGATTCTTGGCATCCACTTGAGCACCCCTATCCAAAAGGAAACGCATTGCTTGCAAAACATCCCGTTCATTGGCCTCCAATTCTTGCGCAGAGATTACATTCATCATCAGCAATCGCCATGTATCATCTTGTGTGTTGAGTAAACCACCTTCTTCACAAAGGACATGAAGTGGGGTTCGTTTGTAGAACGAATCTGCACAATGAACTTGAGCACCTCGTTGATTGACCAAATATTCGATCAGCTCATAGGGTTGACTAGATGCACAGGCACTACTGAGGATAGACCGACCATCGAATTTCCAAGGAGTGTTGATTAATCCAGGCTCCTTATCCAGATGATATTTAACTAAACTCAAATTGCCCTTCTTGGCACACTGCCATACATTCTCCAATCCACCAGCCTTGGTACTGTTCATGAGACGGCCACCAGTGCCCATACTACTGCTACCACTCATGCCACTTAGCATTGTGGAACGAGATTGCATTGAAGATGTAGCTGAAGGTGCCATAGTGGACATGGTTCCTGCATGAGAGATCATTCCTGTAGATCGAGTCGAAACTGAGGCAAGTGAGCTAGGTCGATTACGCCGGTCTGGGAGGATAGACCGGAAGGAAGACGACTTGATTGTCGAAATAGCAAACAAGTTGGATTTTGATGATGATAATACTGGTGCAGACGAATCAAATGATGGTGATACTGTAGGATCTGCTGGCGGTGGAGACGAATCTGAGAATGAGGACGTGGGCGCAATTGCATCATCATTTTCTTCAACAGGCTCGACTTCTTCAGCGATCGCCTCTGAAATAACTCGATGTGTAGCCGTCTCAGGTGGAGTCAAAGTTGTCGTTGTTGTAATGGTAGTGGTACTGGCAGTAGCAGTAGCATTAGTGTTAATACCTGAAACCGTTGTCGTAGCCGCTGCGCTTGTTGGAATCGTGAACGTCTCTACATGAACATCCTCAATAGAATCAGTCGCTCCCATGTCCTCTGGTACCCCATCATCACCTTGCTGAGAACCTTCGACTGCAGACAAACCTTCCACCTCAGTTTCTACTTGGGGAACTGTAACATCTTGAGCAGTAGAGGATGCTACTGTGGACAAATCTACACCACAAATCTCTTTAAGAAGTGCAGTCATTGCAGCTGTAGGGCGAAGAGGCAAGCGATCCAAACGTTCATATGAGACAATGGAGCCAGCGTAAAGCAAAGCACTGGTAATCTCCACATTGTTTGTATGAATCGCATAATCCAGAGCTTATGGCACATAAAAGAAGAAAAAGAAAAAAGGTTAATTCGGAGCACTTCAAATTTCAACTAATGCTCAGACATGTTCATCCCGCTATACGTTTTTTTTTTTTTTTTTTGTTTTTTGTTGGCTTGTTTGCTTTACCTGTGAGCCCCGAATCATCTTCAATGTCCAGCTCGATACCTTCCTCAACCAAGATGTCGACCCCTGCTCGATATCCCAAAAGGACTGAATTATGCAGCATGGTTGATCCGTTCAACTGACTCTGGCCAGAGATATCTACAGATGATGGGAACTCTGGGACTCGAGCCAATAAGGTAAAATAAGTAGGATTACTGTGACTACCATTGCTATTGCTGTTGCTGTTATTGTTAGTGCTGTTAGATCCGGCTGCATTACCACCAAATCCGTCTCCAAGTCCACCACCCATGGTTGTACCATTCTCTTGCTGCTGGATCATAGTTCTTAACATCTGTTCCAATTCTAGCTGTGCTTGTTCATTCGTGAATTCGTACGTCTTTTCTGATGGTAAGAATTGTCCATTATGATGAATCCAAAGTCGAACAGTCTCTGGTCGAGGATATCGTGGAGTTGTGCACTCGATGTAGAATGGATTGATATCAATGACTTTTGCATGATCTCGTCCAAACATTGGAGTCATGCCCCGGACAAAATTCTGTCCGATGATGATCACATGGTTCTCTTGACAAATTGGGCCCTTTTGAGGCGCCAATGATTTGATCATTGGTGGTTGTCGAACTGAGGGCGTTACATCTCCATCTAATGGTGGAGGAGTCATTGGAGGAGGATGATGTTCATCACGTCGTTTCTTGACCGGACCTGTGTCATAGCCATTAGTGTTGTTACTATAATGATTTTGAGGTGATCCAGGTGGACTAGAGGTCTTTGCAGGTGAAGGTGGTCCTCCTCCAGCCGCACTGCCACTTTCGTGTAACGATGGAGATTGCGATTTCCTAAAAAAAAAAAAAATGGTTTCCAATTGGTTAGCGTACGATGCGAGAAAGCACTCAAAATTTTTCTGAATCACATGAGTAAAATTAATGCATTTTAAACAGCTTCTCATGTGGTGGGTCAGCAGACAGTGACCACATGTGCTCGCCTTGCACAAATTTGTTAATTGGTTTTAACCAAGAAATGCTTTGCCGAAAGAAAAAAAAAAGGCGCGTGTCCAACCATTCATTTCGTAGCGCTTTTGCTTTCTTTTTTTTTTTTTTTTTTTAAAACTTACGAAGTCTTTTCTGCATGTTTGGACATAGATCTAGATCCTTTGTCTCGTCCATGGGAAGCATAGATCTCAACTTCATCACTCCGGCCATGATAGATTACCAAGGGTCCAACATGATTAGGGTTTCCACCCATCATACTGGTTAACTCGATTTCAAAACTGAACTTTGTTCCAGGTCCACGATGATGGGACGTACTGGCACACCAAGCTGAAGCAATCAACTTGATCTGTCCGTTTCGAAGCTGAACCATCCCATTCTCATCAATCATCGGTTTACCGTTCACACCCGGATGAAATCTCAAGATCTCTGGGGTCTTGTCTTTACACCGTCCACAGGGTAGAACGGGTCGATGTTCAGGTTCCAAATATGTTGTCAATTTCATGGAGAGAACGTCTTCTTCCTGTGCGCTCGTGGGCATTGACATCACCTCAGCCGATCGTTTATTCGAGCCATTCAGTGTGATTCGGCCATTCGGATCCGCTCGACAGGGTAAGACAATGTTTTCATTAGGAATACGAAGGTATCGGTACCGTTCTTGATCTTCCTCTGTTAAATGAATGTTCAAATAGAACTGTTGACCTTTACGGAACTCGCCATCGTCATCTTTCTTGGATGACGTGAATACCTTGAGATGCTTTATGCCTGTGAATTCTACCTCATCCTTGAGAGTAGGAAGAGAGAAGAAAGAAAGAAAGATAAAGATGAGATATACACGTGTATACATTAAATGATGAGTATACAACACGAAATTGCCTCACTAATATCAATATATTTTTACAAACTTACCCGAGAGTTCTCGTCGAAGCTTGTATGGGTAAGAGCCGGTGTCGAATATACGGCTTGTTCCTCAGTATGCGCTGTAGGCTCACTCCATGGGGCTATTGAATATTAATAAAATATTGAATAAAAGATAAGAAACAAGGATTAATAAATTAAATAATGAAATGTTTGATCATAAAACAGATAAACACACACAAAAAGGGAAGAGCCGCAAATGAAGAAAAAAAAAGTAGACGTTTTTGTTTTGACGGCCAATGGGCAGAAAAGAATGAATGAATGAATGATATGTGCTCTACAATTCGAATATGCATATGTATGAATGCGTGTGTGTTTTTTGCTTGTATATGGGATGGCGTAAACAGATTAAAAGGTGTGAAGTGTTCTTACCCCAGATAAGTGGATTTTCCACAGGCGAAGTTTTGATTGGCATATCCGGTGAACAGCTCTGTTGTTGAACATATTCTGGGATGTGAAGAGGAGAAGGGGAGCTATTGAACTGTTGTGGCTGTGGATGTTGATGTTGATGCTGCTGAGCAGGAACAACAGCAATGCTTAGGTCCAAAGGAGACATTGTGGGTACAGGTGATGGCGCATCAAAAAGGTAATCATTTGCAAAAAGATCTTGTTGCTGCTGCTGCTGTTGCTGTTGCGGGAAAGTCTGCTGCTGCGTAGATTTTAGAAGTTGGTTACTGCTCTCCTGCATTAATGGACCCTGGTGATTCAACTGCTGAGCCAGAATTTGACGCTGCGGTGGTCGGACTATCATTGATGAGTGACCATGTCCTTGATGTTGCTGTTGTTGCGTAAATCCAGGGATTGCTCTTAGCATAGCATTATTATTTACCGAGGATTTAGCAGCTTGTTGTTGCTGTTGTTGCTGTTGCTGTTGCTGTTGCTGTTGTCTGTTTGTACTGATAACGGGCAACGGACTTGTTGTGTCTAAGTCAAAAGTAGAGTTCCACCGAGGCACTGTCGTCACCAAAGATCCATCAGGACCTATGGATAGGGCCATAGGGCTTTCTTCAGTCTTTGTGATAATGTTTGTGGTATGGGCGCTAACGTTATTGTTTGGACTGATGACAGTAGTATGTTGCTGGCTGGTAAGAAGCCCCGTGGTATCCCAGTTTGCTGCTGTTGATGTTGAAGTGGCCATTAATGTTGTTGCTGTTGCTGCTGCTGCTGCTGCTGCTGTTGTTGTTGTTGCTGTAGGCTTGGCATTATTATTGAAGTATGAAATATTGCTATTACCAATGTTTTTATTACTGTCGTACGGCGGTGATGCCAATGATTGTGCTGCATCAGACATGCCTATACTGCCAAGTTGAGAGGTGATATAAGGCTGTTGTTGATGATGTTGCTGTTGAAGGGGAAGGTGCTGTGATGCAAGAACAGTGCGTGGAATTGATATTGCGGTTGCAGCAACACCAACTGCAACCAAATTTTGTGAGTGTTGCTGTTGTTGCTGATGGAGCTGGCTCAGTCTAAGCTGCTGTTGTTGCATAAGCGACAACTGCTGTTGCTGTTGTTGATGCATCGTTGAGCCAGCACCGGTGAAATAGGAGTGGTTACTCATGGGATCCAGCAAATTTTTGCGGAACGAGTGAGGAAGGGTAGTGTGAGAGAAGAGCAAGTGTGGAGAAAAAAGGTGTTGCTGGCTGAGTTTGCTTGGTGATAGAAAATGAAATTGATAGGTGAAGAGAGATGAGGAGGATAGGGGAAGTTAGAAAGGAAAGAATGAAAAAAATGAAAAGTGGGGTTGAATTCTTTAAGAGGAAGGAGAGGAAACAACAAGGAAATAGAGAAAAAAAGAGAGGAAGAGGGATGGGCGGGTGGGTGTGGTGAACATGAACACAGAGAGCATTGCTTGAATGGGCTGTAATGGCCAGGGTACTCTTTTTTCTCCATTTTATTTTTGCAGGATGTGCACTCTCGCAAAGAATGGAGAGGCATACACTATCCACCACACATGAAGTATTCAATCCAATTCAATACAAAGATGCAATCCATGGTCTTTTTATACAAAAGTTTTTTTTTTTGTCTTTCGAGACAGAATGAATAGGAGAAGAGAGAGCAACAACAAATAACAAACAAAACATTTAGGCAGACAAATAGACAAAGCAGCATCTTCTCAATATTCAACACACACACAACAATAAGGTTGCTGCTTTGGCCCTCGCTCTTTTTTTGCTCTCGTCGCATTAAGCATTAGAAAAAGAAGAGTGATGGTGGTGATAGTGATGATGGTGGTAGAGGTGGTGGAGGTGGTGGGAGTGGTGGGTGGTGAAGATGGTAGAAGTTATAGGAGTGGTAGAGGACTGAGGGCTGAGGGTTGAAGATAGTAAATAGTAAGTTATGACCATGGCCATGGCCATTGTATACAGCATAGACGTAAAAACGCATTAGTCTTACTGTCGGCCCAAACGTCAATTATCTGTCGGTAGCAGCATATCCGGAGTGGAGAGATGGGGCACAGGAAGAAAGCTGCATGTCCCTTGTTGCTAAAACAGTCATGTATTTCACTGAATACCATTCTACTCCTTGCCCTTTTTGTACTCCTTTTCCCTCTCTGTCTTTCTTCACTCACCCTCCAAAGCATATATTTAACTGAACTGTGCACATGTAGTACAGGATGGAATACTTTTCATTTTGTTTTGCTCCAACAGACAGGGGATAAGCAACAATAATAGGGACCAGAGATCGAGGGGTGGTCAGAGCTAAGCTATTTCTCTCATTCCCCGACATGGATGCTCTATTCTGTTTCGTTATTCTTCATTTTCGCCTCCAAATCTTTTTTTCATTTCCCACTTTTCTTTTAATGCTCTTCATCTCAGTTCTTATATTTAGGGTGCTGTAAACAATACTTGCGTCTAAAATGAGATGGGATTGTTGTTTCGTGCGATCCAATTGCCTTGAATAAAAAAATCCCACAGGGCTCATTATTAGGCATCACGTCACGCTCCTCTTTTATGAATATTAATCTTCATCTCTCTACACACAGTTCCAAATAATATGCAACTTGTATGGACAATGCATGCAGACAGATCATCCATGTTTCGATTGCTCTTTTTTTTCTTTTTCTTCGTTGTTTACATGCAGATTATATCATCGTAAGCTTCTTCATCTCCCCTCACCTCAATAACGCGGCTCCAATTGGACTTTTAGCCCATAACCCCTTGGTCTGAACTAGTTTCTTGTTCGACCCTCATCCACTTGTCATGTCTGACTGTGTCGGATCATTAGATCCATCGTCGGCTGCAGTCTAAAACCCGAGGGGGTCTTAACCGCTCTGTTGAGTACCACTTACTAGATAAAAACGAATAAAGTATGTAAGACGATGCTTGTTCGTATTCTGTTCCTTATTTCTGTCAAATATGTCTCTGGGCGGTCTAGCAGTGCTCGGATGTTTTATTGAAGCCTAAATACCTGGCAGAGGGAGAGCATCTCGAGTTTTCACAAGTTCACACTTCCAACCATTAGTAGGCAAGCGACACTGCCTTCGGTGGCAGACAAAAACTATAGAGTCTCAGTCGAGCTCCTCCAGAAATTAGTCTGCAACCTTTTTAAGATCAGCATCAAGCTTGCCTATTTGTGCAAAAGTTTGTTAGAGATTGAAACGTTTAAGAAAACAGACGTAGGCTTTTAACTTACCATTTATGGGTAGTCACGTCGGGTTCCTCCGAGGATGCGCTGGAAGAGGGTTATACCATAGGAAATGAATGCCTTGTGTTTAGACAAGCAAGACAGATCATGAGTGAGAAAAGCCCGTCTTAATTTCCTGCTGCAGTTTATGAAGTGAATCATTTTCTTTGGCATATGTACTCCTTCGTTAACACTTCTAAAGGAACGGCTGTATGGCGGAGCTTCTTTTCCTCTTATGCGATGTCGAGCAGGATGGTGGATTCATCGCCGCTCGAGCTGGCCAGCATCCACATCGTTGAACACAACAGCCTTTTCAGCTTTGGTAAACCCAACATAGCCAATTGTTACCGACTATGCCGTCTATGCGTCTATGCCGTCTAGGCACTATATTGTACATGAGCAGCTTAGTACCAAGCCCATACGTACTATTTGACCCTATTAAATACTGCTATTGAAAAAATGATTTATTTCTTACTACTTTATTGTCATCCGTTCCTTTCACTGCCACTAAAGTTATCAGGGAAAGACTCGTGAGACGGAGTCGCCACTGACGAAGCAGAGAAGCCTCAATTAGTCGTTGATCGTGGCATTAGATCGTAGAAGGGATAAGAGAGTTCTTAAGTGAAAAAGAAGAACGATAGAAGAAAAAGACAAGGAACTAAGATGATGAGAATGTATACTGGGAGGAAGTGGAACATGGCGAACAAGAGAACAAAAGAAGAGTGGTGGCGTGATAACAAGGATCATGTGAGTGATAATGGCAAAAGAGCTGTGGCAGAAGCCAAGATATACCTCTTCATGCGTAGGCTCGTTCCCAGCCCTCTCCGTAAGTGCATCTTTACCAAAATGTTTCCATTTTTGGATGCTACCTACTGGAGAGGCTGGGAACGAGCCTACATGCGCTCACTTGTTTGGCTCTTTGTGCTTCCTGCTCACTCCATATTTCAGCTCGCATCGCCCATCCAGATGTCATTTGCTTGCATGCTCACTGGTTCGCTTGACAGATGATTTTATCAGCCTTGTTTGTTCTAGTAGATATACTTCTGGCTTTACCGAGTGGCTAAGTGGCTGCAGCAACGGCGATCCCCAGAAGGTCACTCTATTGAAATCCTTATTATGCATCCTTTTGGCAAAATGACTGAGAGGAGTGTTAGTTAACTGAAGATTAACTTTCTGAAGCCTGATTACTTGTTTATTTCAACACGATGGAATTATATAGTACGAGGTTTGCCATATGTACTATACCCGTTAGTGTAGTGCCGAAGAAAACTCCGCGCGAAGGACATGTCAGGTTGCAAGAAGTAACGGATGCCTATTTACAGCTCTTTGGTTGAGAATATTCCTCGAACCGGGCGACTAAAGCTTTAGGTGTCATTCACCGAATTTCGCCTGGATAAAGAATCCAGGCATTAAGAAAACACACGCTTGGTGTTAGCTCCAACATTATAGCCGACTGTTCGGGAGTTGATGTCCAGGAGATCGACGTAATACGGTCCAGATTCAATCTCCAATGTTCTTTTCGACTTTACACACCTCCACATGCCACTGATGCACCTTTGGGACTTGCGAAACTGCTTTGAGCCCAAGGACTAAATGCATATATTATACTAGTATAGACCCTTTAATGTACGAGTAGCAGGATATAAAAAAGATAAGGCGCTGTTCTTGCGAATATAGTTGTAGAATAGCCTTGTCGCTTTGATCCGTTAAGGCCAGGTCCAACTATTTTATAGTTAACAACACTATTCATCTATATTCGTATGCAGTGGATTTATCTCTTCCAATATTTGAACTTAGCATTAAGAGGAGTTCATAGCATGGTTCAGGTGCCGAAGCTCTATTCGTATTCAACTATAAATCGAGGTGGTACCCATCGCGTCCTAGCATAGATCCTGACTTTGAGATATTCAAGCATAATCCAACGAATGGTTTCGGGCCGCTGCCCATCATCGAGGGATCGAAAAAAAGCAAGGTCGCTATGAATAAATTTGATCGGTCCTAAAAAAAATCTCTGTCCTTCCTCACTTGCATTGATTTCTCGAAATGTTACTTGAGGAAGATCTGATCATTAATCATACATTTCACAAGTGGCCCAGTTGTGGGGTTCAGACTGTTTTATAAGCAGGTACCAATATATCGTAAGCTCTTTCTAGTACTCTTCCGTTTCTGCTTTCTAACAAGCAGTTGGCATAGATGGCTCTAAATTAAAAACACCTCTTTATATATACGTCCCAAAATTATTTTTTTATAATCAGACTTGACTCCTAACTCATGTTCATTCGCATTGGCCTGAAGCCGCTTCGAGATGTTGAACAATTAGAAGTATTAACGGGGAATTAGAAGACACGTTATCAGTTCTTCAGTGAAAATGGAAGGCTAGAAACGAATCTTCGCATTCTAGATCCTTTCCTTTCCTCCTTTAAACGTTGTCTTTCAGCGCAAAAAAGGATAAGGGCAGGGCCAGAACGTGTCGAATTACAAACTATTATATTTCATCAAAAAAAAAAAAAAAAAAAAAAAAAAAAAAAAAGAGGCGCAAAGGCGATTCATATTTCACATCTGATAAACAAAATACATGTACACAAGCAAGCAGGGGTAATAAATAATGCGAAAGAGAAAAGGAGAAAGAGCCAAGACGCATTAAAGCCGTTTATTAGCGGGAAACTCGTAGTCTCGGGTGGACCCTATACGCGAGAGAATTGACACGCAACAGACCCGAAAAGGGCTTTTTTCTTTTCATTCTCACCTATCATATTTATCTGAAAATATTATTTACTCTCACTTCACTAAGTTATTACTAGTATTTATATAATACACGCATAGCTTGTCATGCTTGCATGATTTTCTACCTTTAAAGCTTGACGGGTCACCAACCTTTTTCTTTCTTTTTTTTTTTTTTTTTTTTTTTTTTTAATGTTTTATTCTGGCAACAAACTATTAATTTTTAGGCGTTGCTTAGTAGATCCTCCAGTGCTGTTTCTGTGTTCCAGTTAGCCCGGATCAAGACCGTGCGCACATGATTGGCCTCAAACCCCATATCGACTAAACTCTGAACCTTGCGCCGTTTCTCCAGCTCTTCGCTTGATAGGACTGGTTCTGGAGGTCGAGCAGCGGCAACAACAGGTGATTGATGATTGCTGTAATTAGACCCTGCTTGTCGCTGCTGAGACGCTGATACCGATGAAGTCTTATGCAGAATATCTCCTTCCTCTGGCTTTGCATAACATTCTGTCCAAAATCGTGCTGTCTCAAGGAATGCTGCATGGTTGTTAAGGTATTGAGATGCTACTTGTGCGTCCTAAAAATATATGAAGTTGTTTTTGAAGTGTTGAATTTTTTTTTAGGAAAAAAAAAAAAAAAAACGCACCATTAAAAATCTGAGATGAATGACACTTGACTAATTGCTCTTTTTTTTTTTTTTTTTTTTTTTTTTTTTTTTCTTTGCAAAGCGATATATTCCATCCAAACTGTTTGATTCTAAACATATAGATTATACATCAAGTCATTCTTATTGGGCTAAAGTGTGGATACATTTTTTTCCTTTGTCCTACTGTATTTCGACTGACAAGATTCGTCTGATATTCAGCTCAGTCGCTATTTAACAGAAAAAGAATTTTCTCTGATTACTGTAATGGAGAAAATGCCCATGCTTGTTTTTTGTTGTAGTTACTTTCATCTAAACGAGCTCCTTGCTTATGTTCCAAAGATCCATGATAAAGTATTCTTCATTGTTATTGAAGCGCTTTCAATGTTTCCTTAAAATAGCCATGCGTCCAGTCTCGAAGTCTTTATACTTTTCATCTCTAAATCCAGATATAAACGTTACCTGTGGATCATTTGGCTCTGGTGTGCATAGCAACGACTGTACGGAGAGTAGAGTGGAAGAAATGGTGAGCACAGGTGACCATTCTTGCTTTAAAATATCCAAACAGATGGCTCCCTATATGAAGCAGAAAGGAATATATCGCATTAATTTAGTACTCCAAATCATCACTTGTAGTAGCATAAATAGTTTGACCGATTGGATTTCGGATTCACAATGCTTATGAGCGTCAACTGGTTATTCCTTCTTGTAGGTCACTAACCGTTTGCGAGCTGATATTGGGATGATAGACCTTGGTGTCGAACTTAATCTTTGGTGGTTGAAATGGGTAGGCTAGAAAAAGACAAGAATTAGTACAATGACCTGTCACACCATCAACATGTACAACATCGTAGAAAAATGAATACGTACTGTCTGAAAGGACAATGTCGACTTGAAACATGCCACCTTCGTAAGGTGTTCCCGGAGGTCCTATATACATTATATATCATAAACATAATTTTTTTTCTTTTCGTGATCGGGAAGGTTCATATTTCGAAATTGGAGAGATAACTACCTGGGAAGCGACCTATATACATGATGAATGCAGCAGTGATATTTTTCAATGGATATTGTATGAATATAGACTGCTTTCAACATAGTCGAACATAATATAGCAATATTCATAAAACCATGGTAGTTGGTTCCGTACCTTTCATGTGCACTACAGACATAGAAAATACAGTAATCAATAGGAGATATGGTTGATGGAGGACTATTAGTTCTAGCTCTTGATCACACCATTCATTAATTTAGTGATCCAAACTGAAATAGGTACGACCATCTCTTCCACATACTAATATTGCCATCTTCAACGAGCTTCAACTCGATTAATGAAGCCTGATCCCGCTGACAGTCTGCGATCTCCTACGCGACAATAAAAAAAACGGACATAAACCTCCAATAGCTGTCAGTGTCTGTTTTCAGTAAGTAAAAAAAAAAAAAAAAAAAAAGTTGCTTTGTAGAAATATATAGTTGTAATAGTTTACACAAAAGTGCTCTCTGTCAAAGTTTACGCGGCATCTTTCAACTAGTTGTGACCAGACACTCCATGGGTGTGTTTCAATAGTCCATTTCTTCATCCCAATAAATGACGATTTCTTCCCTGATTTTCCTGTACCTTTTGAATTCTTCGAAGTCGTCCGGCCATGATGAAATTAGTGAATGCGAAACAGCAAATAAAAGCAAAAAACGGGCTTTTTTCTGTATCCTCCGTCTTTTTTTATGCAAGTCCCCTTTGGTGGCTGCGGTTTGTCACGACAAGGGACAGGGCAAAAGGTCAATCTTTAAATAATTTGTGTAATTTGTATTTGTGCTATTTATTAACGTTTGTAACAAAAAGGTATATCAAGGCTCTCTGTCTAGGTTGCATTAGAATGTGCTATTACTAGTCATGCAAAGTCACTGTTGGATCATATCCACAGAGTCCTCATTTTTCTCTTGCCAGTATTTCCCTTTACAGCATTTCAGCAGAGGTGGCTCCTCGTCAATATCAAAGCCGTGTTCATATTAAGCTAAGAAGATAAAAAAAGAAAGAGAGAAACATGTCTTCACCATTGCTATGGAGACATCTTATCAGAAAGCGTTTCTTGACATCAAAGCCTTCCCGTCTCACAAAAGGACAAAGCTTTGTTCCTCTAGCGCCAAAAACCCTATTAAAAATAGTATAGATAACAAAGTACATCACTCTTTGGTCCTGAAAAATAATTTGTCGTGACAGTTGAAACTTGGTGGCTGCTGAAGTTGGTTGTGGCCAGTCTGATGTCTCCATAGGATTGGATAGCAGTATCTTGGGAAGTGATCGTCATATAGGCCTGAGGACGCATTGTTTTATTTCAAACCCTTCTTTTTCTGTTGTTTACTCTTGTTTTATTTGCTTTACGGAGCTTTTTTAACCTGTGATAAGGATAATGAACTATGAATGAGTGAAAAGAAAAATGTTGTGAAGTATAGGATTCTGCTCTCAGAGTACTGATATCATTCCTCAAGTTGCAAATTTAGAAGCGAATGCGTTATTTGTGGCTTAAAGACCATATTTCACCTGGCCTTCCTTTCTGGCTGGCGCCACTATTTTTTCTTCTAATATAATCATGTCCACCAATAACAATAAAACCGGCAGTGATACGAGTGATAATAGTGACCGAAAGAACAAAAGACGGGCCTCCTTGGCTGTAATCGAGGATTACGACAGCAATAGTGCCAGCGATTCTGCACAAGTCTCTCACCGCTCTGTTACCGCTGTCACCGCATTTAACGAATCACAGTCCCAAAGGAGCCAGATCAACCCTATGAAAATGAAAGACAAAGTAAAAGCCGATATTGTAGCCACTAAGGACGATGCTGCCGCTATTAGTCCTAGAGAGGGAGGATGTAGTGATGACACAGATCCGTTTGTACATTTCTATTGTTGCTACTTACTTGCATCCACTGTGCCACGATACAGAACCCATGGCTATGTTGGGAGTACGCCGGATCCACCCAAAAGATTACGTCAACATAACGGTGAACTGACACAGGGCGCCAAAAAGACTAGTAGGAAGCGGCCATGGTAAAGAGTCATGGAAGCAGGAAGATGGACAAAAAAAAAAAAAGGGAATCGAAACAAAGAGCATAAGAGGCTCATTATATGCCCTTTGCTCTTATCGTCAGCGTTACTTATTCTAGCTTTCCATGATCGATAGGAAAATGGTCATGCTAGTCCATGGGTTCCCAACCAAAGTCGCAGCGCTACAGGTAGGAATTCCGGCTGCTTTCCATTGTCTTTGACTGAATTATCGAAGATGAAGATGTTAACGCTTTTTTTTTTTTTTTTTTTTTTTTCACTGCTGTCATATCACCTGCTGATGATAGTTTGAGTGGGCGTGGCAACATCCTGATCGGTCGCGACAATTTGATAAACAAACCACTATTGCCTCTACTACCTCTGATATTTCTGCTACCTCCATATCTGCTCCTTCTTCATCCTCATCAGTGGCAGCAGCATCAACGTTAACAGCGATGCCATCAGATAGTCAATCCCAGTCTCAGTCTTTACTAAGAGGCCGACAACGGAAGCTGCGTCCTCCAGTGTTGGTCCAAGACAAGGTCAAAACGGTCCATACAATGATTCAGCGCCCATCCTGGGCTCGATGGCCGCTTTCTGTCCACATCATGGAACGGTCTGTGGCTGAGCAATGGCGTGGATTGGACCAGGCCTTAACTCTGAATTTAGTCCGCCCTTACCGGATTCCTGTTACAAGCGGTACCTTACAAGATCTGGCGCACATGATATCTGTTCGCGGGGTATATCGCGGTAAAGACTAATTGAACAAATATCCATTCTTGAATTTACCAAACTCTCAAAAGACGACTTTTTTTTTTTTTTTTTGTATTGAATAATAACAAAGAATATATCCCTTTTTTTTTTTTTTTTTTTTTTTTATTGACTCCCATTAAGAGTACTTAAAAGCCAAGGAGCGCGATAGATACGAGAGCTTTCGTGAAGCTCGATCCAATTGCATGGTATGCGGCAAGGCAATTTATCACAATGTAAGGATGAATAACACCAAGGCTATTTATTTTTATTTCCACTTTTCATTGTTTATTAATCCATCTACTAACTATTTGTCATTTTTTATCTATGTTGTCAATAAAACAATGACAACAAAAAGGATGTTACAAGTTTTTTGTGCTGCAATAATGCACAGGTAGATTGTGCCATGATTGCTCATTTAGAGTGCATGGCCACGTATATACTCTCGCAAGAAAAGGCTTCGCATCAACAACAACAATATGTTAATAGCTATGATCGCAATGATGGACATGATAACGAGGGTCTCGGTAAAAAACTCCGTACCGACAATGACAATAAACCCTTAAATGAACGGTTTCTACTACCAACAACAGGAAAATGTCGAATTTGTCAAGAAGAATTAAACTGGGGTCAGATGATCCGATCTATGTACGCACGAAGAGATGCCCTTCTATTGACTTCCGATACGATGGTGGAAGACGAGGATACGACAACTTATTCTTCTTCAGACTTCTCAGACTCTTAAAGCATCTCGGGGGTACCCCAGTTACCTTAAAGAATGCAGCAACCTTGTACCATAGATTTTTTAATACTAAATATGGCTACAATCCAGAAGGACTAAAAGTACAATACAAGCATTGAGTATACTTTTTTTTTTTTTTTTTTTTTTCTTTTCTTGTTTGTTTGTATGTTCGTTTCCACTTGATTCTACGAACGGGTGTATCGAGGTTGAAGAGACATGTATGAAATTTTTTATAGTTTAAAGGGATAAAGTACAGCATGTGATTTCAATCACAGAGGCAAGCGAAATGATGAATGATGATCAACAAAACCAAAAACAGATATATTTCACATTGCCTCTCGTCCTCGTTCATAACTAGGCAATGGTAGGTCGTTTATCTGTTACCGACATCTTTGAAAACTTATCCACAACAGCCTCCTGACTCTGACCTTGAATTTTAGTCTGTGTGTTGGTAGTAGGAGAGACAAAGCTCTCTGATCCATAAATGGCTTCAAACTCTCTCTCATCCTGTTCATTTCGATGATAGTCCACACCTTCCACTTTTTCCATGATATCGTCATCTGCGTAGCTCCCTGAATAGTAATCACCATCATAAAAATCAACCTCTTGACCATATCCATAATGAGAAGGGGCTTGGAAATGACCATAATGCAGCTGTTTTAAGAAGTAATCCATGTTTGACCATGCATACGGCTGCTTTGCAGTGATAATAGCCCTGATCTTGGACACAACTGTGTCCCAAGGCATATTCCTGGTCTGATTTAGTTGCAACGTGGTCAAAAAATCAATATATAATTGAACATCTGAGTTGAGTAGTTGAAATGCAGTCTCTAACGTGGTGCCGGACAAGCCTAGTATTTAATTATTATTGACATGTTTTGAAATCAGCTTTACGTTTCTTTTTATTTTTTATTAATCCCAAACACACATACATATTTATGTTCACTTACCCAATGAGTCTGATGCCTCTGCTTCAGCAAAAGCACGTTGGACCCGAAGGCGCGTCGGAGCCGGAAGAGTCGCGAGGAAGCTTTGGATGGCTTGCATGACTTGAGTATGTGATGCGGAGGGATTGTCAAGCTTGAGAGCCGCTACATAGTTATGAAACAGAGCCTCGGAGTGCAATATATCTTGTACTTTGATCATCAGTGGTGTTGACATCAAGACATTGGTCATTGTATTGAGGAATTCGGGGTCCTAAGAGTCCGTAACGGTACACACGTACACGCCAGAAAAGAGAGAAGCAGTTAATGAAATGCAAAGATATGAAAGCTTAAAACTTAATTGTTATTAGTTTACTCTTCATTCTTTACCTGATGCACGAAGTTCATATATCGATGAAAGACCGACATGAGTCGTTTTGCGTTCGAGAAAAAAGGCGCGAGGTTGTAGGTGAACTCGTGGACAGGGGCATTGACAGCAACCATGGCTTGCCACTGCTCCACAAAGTTGTACCAATCATATTCGTACAAGGAGTAAGAAAGACTTTTGAATAAGCAAAACTGACTGTATGGTGTGGGTGGTGCTGTAGATCTATCAGCCATATTATCGTATTTTAGATGTTGAAAGAAATGAATTGATGAATGGTTGGATGAATGAAAGAAGAATGTAAAAAAAAAAAAAGCGAGGAGAAAGGAGTGGAGTTCAATCCCATGACTTGTCACATTAATTTTTTTTTTTTTAACAGCATCAATTAAAAGATGGTACGTCGCATGTTATTGGTCGCCATATACCTAGCAAATCCATCCAGTGAACGAAGATGTTAATATTCGACACTGCTCGAGTCGAATAGCTTGGCTGATCTACAGCATCTACGATATTATTGGCAATAAGGACAATAAAAAAATGTTCGCTTTCATAATGCCCTTCCATCTGACTGATCTTAGCTATCGTCTTTGCTGTGCTAAAGCTCAATTCGAAGCTTGTACTCTCCATCCATCCCTTAATTATAGCTCAATAGGGTCGGATCTATTCGTGATCTTGTAGTATTAAACTCTGATGTCTTTGTGGATGATCGGTAGGTTCGCTTCGCTTTATTTTCAAAGTGCTGTTTCTTAATTAAGGAGTCCACATTTTGTGACGCTTCATAAAGGGCTATTGATGCCCTTGCAGCCGCATTGCTGCATATAGCGTATGTCGCCATTGTCTTGGCGATGTTCCTGGATATCAGTTGTAAAAGAAATAGGCGAGATGGGACGGAAGGATGGAACGAGGAGTTGAGATTTTGATTATGAAGATATGCAGCCTAAAAAGAAAGCGACTGGGATCAGTAAGCTGTCGTTGCTGTCGTGTTCTTGCACCTGCATGTGTTCGTCGTTTTCCAAACGTGTCCTCCTGCACACACATAAAAAGAGATGCAGGACTCCACCCTTTATGTCATATAAGCAAGTACGCCGGTGCAGGGCGCCATTTATCATAATATCGCTGCGATACTAAAATAGTACATTTAAAAAAAAAGAGAGAAAAAGGAACTTGACTCCAGAAATAATAATACGATAATAAAATCGATGTTTTACGTAGTAAACAAGGAGGGCTGGAAAGGATGCCGACAGCCTAATTAAAGCCGATATGTCGGAGAAGCCATGCAGTTGAAGGAAAGGACTCTGAAGCAAGGGTGGAGGTCAAACAAATGAAATGTTTGAAGGGGCAAATAAATCATAATATTCGAGGGGCCAACAAGGGAAAGCCTAGCAGCCACCTCATTAACTCGTGAGAGAGTCAACGTAACAGCCCGTCCACTTCCCCCATCGCCTCCTTTATTATTTTATCTCCCTTTCTTATTCCTTTTAGAATGCCCTAGAGAGGCTTTAAAGAATGAAAAGTTACTTGACTGTACAGCGAATCCCCTGGTCTGTATCGCAAAGTGGTGGAGGAGAAGCAGACATTGATAAAAAAGATGGAAATAAGAATCAACAAGAAGGAGACAATAAAAAAAAAACTTGAATTAAAGCAAAGACCAGGGAATATGATTGGTATTTTAAAGAAGCGAGCAGCTCATTGCAGAGAGATGTCACCCTAGACTTGGATAGCGTCTTCCCTGACCTTCCTGTTCGCATTTCTTTCGTCATTGAGGGCCACAGAACTATTTATTCAATAAAATCCACCAAATAACAGCACCAGCATTTAGCCGTCGCCGCAGTGACAAGTACCAAGAGCCCCTGAATAGAGATTGTTTGCATTTGCAGAACATTGACATTTTCTAAAAAGAGAGCAATTGAACGCACGGACTCGCCACGCGTCTTTTCCTATGTATTACAAAGAGAAACAGTAAACGAGAATTGATTAAATTATTTTCAGACCAACATTATTTCAAACCGTGTCTGCAACATATTTATTTATTCGTTTTTTCCACACTTTATTCCAAGGCATATATTTGAGAAGCTTCTTTGCGGTTAATTTTTTTTTCTTTTTTTTTTTTTTTTCGCGCTCCTTTGAGCTTTATTGCTCTCCAAATCGTTTTATCTCGCTTGAAGTTTGCGAATAACGATGATCATTGTTCTGATGAACGTAGGTCCCTCCACGTCCCTTTTTTTAAAAAAAAAGAAAGTTATCGCCTCCTTGCCCAACCTATCTTCCTCTGTCTCCTATCTCCCTAGGCTTTTTTTTTCTATTTGTACTCCTTTCAGTGATGGATTTGGATGCATTGTTGGTGTGTAACTTAATTTATTCATTAATAGTAACTATTTCCGCGTCGCAACCTCAGTACAACGCCATGCCGCACAGACGCCCATATAAATATGCCATGTCTCATCAAGTAGTACTTAAATTTTTCTTCTACACATTCATCTTATTTTTTTTTTTTTTTTTTTTTTTCTATTCCCATTATAATTAGCGTCCACTATCAAGATCATCCATATCATATACTCTCTATAAGACCCCTTTTTCATATGTGTTTTTAAGGTAAAGGAGACTCAATCTGTGGTAATAGTGCCTGTTTCTCGTCCTCTCTTTCCTCTATCTCTTCCGCTGGGTCTCGACATTCTAATACATACTCATGTAGATGGGTTCAGTATCGTCGTTAAAAATATATAAATTCCCGCTGTGTGTTGTGTGAACCATCAAATGTAATGGAACTAAGGGTTAGTATGCAAATATATTAGGGGCAGAGAGGCACCATCACTTTATCAGCATGATTGTCACCTCATGACTATTTTAATATTGTTATTCTTGATTTTCCAGTTTCTTGGTCCCTGAATCGCAGAATCTTCATTGTCCTCCTTTCTAAATAAGGATCATAATAACACTGATACTTGTGTAATTTCTGGATGACCAACCTTGCAATGACTTATTTTGAGTTGGCATGGGCTGCACTTCGACAGGCTCTTTTTGTTACCATAACAGCCCCAAGTCGATACCAGAGCCTTATTTTTTACAAAAAAAACCTGGTCCCTTAATAACAAAGTCAGTTTGAGCGGGTTCCTCGCTGCCACATGCTCTTTGTTATTAGCTCTTTTCGTTTCATTTAAAAAAGCACCTTTCTATCTTCTCTCTCATTTCTGCTCCCTTTTCTTTTGCTCAATTTCATTTTGCTAAATCATCAAATACAAGTTTCATCTGTGTTCTGACGGCTTCACCTTCAGATCCCCCTGTCTCTAATTCAAAGACGCGTCCATTATCTGTGCATCCCAAGTAACCTGCCCCGTCTTTTCCTTCTTTCCATTTGCTTTCTTCTAATTCTAACCAATCTTTTTTTTTTTTTTTTTTTTTTTTTTTTCCTTTGTTTATTTCTCTTTCACATTCTTTCACACACTTTTTCTCGTCAACCTTCCAGCTCTTTTATCTTCCCTATTCCAACATATAACGTGCACAGACCAGCCCTTCTTCATTACCCTCTTCTTCTCACTTCTCTCACATCTCATCATCCACACATTCATATTAGCTCGCCAACTATATCGCTTCTAAGCCGAAAAAAAACCCCTTCTCTCTCCTTCTCTGTTCTTTTATTCTGTGAAAGTGCGCGATGTTATCTGCCGTCCAGCGACCTTCAATATCAAATACACCCACTGACAGTGACGATGATACAGTCAGAGTCGGCCCATCGTTTTGTCAAAAGGACACATCCATTATAACGGTTCCGGGAAACATCGGCATCGCTAGTGATGAGCAATCACCTCAAATTCATGACACTGACTATGGCAATAACAATACCAGCACTAGTGATAATAATAATAATAATGTTAACCACATTAGTCTTGGTGGTATGGTTGGAGGAGTACCTGTCCATGACAGTGAACATAAGGGTTATAATGACATGGAATATAATGTTGACGATACACCTGCCCATCCATCTGCTACAGGACCAACGCCATCATCCCCATCATCAACTAGCCGTCCTTTCAAGTTAAATAACCAATACCATAGTAATAGCAATTCAAACAGCAGCAATAGTAGCAACCATCTAATGCAAGGCTCTCCAAGTATACCATCTATCCTAAGCTTCCAACCCCACCAGGACCACCAATTGGTCAAGTTAAAGTCGGAGCATGAATTCCCACCCTTGAGCCCAAGCACTCTACCACTACAATCAACTACTGTCTTTGGTCAACACATGAGTACGCCGGGTATTAGCGTGACACCACATGGTGATGACAACATTGATGAAGCAAACCATCTTACGGAGGAGATTCACAGTCAAGCCCTTCCAGGGTCTTCGACGCCTCATAACGAACCCATAGAGGAGGGTTCCAACCATGACCAAAGCCATGATCAATACCACCATCAATTGCGACCACGCTGCCAGTCTTCATCATGCCAAAAGCAAAGCCATCTCATTCTGGAAGCCTCACCTAATGTTACTTCAGCACCTTCATCGCAACCTGCCGCCTCGTCTATGACAGTCTTAGTTCCAGTGACATCATCTTTGCCATCAGGTAGTGGCACAACCGCAGTCATGTCTTCGCGGCGGTCTTCCCTCCGTACCATGCCACCCACACTCCCAAGATCCGCATTACAAGAAGAAACTATCGCTCTTTTCAAGCAATACCGTAATCTAATCAAATGTGTTAAATGTTCTTCACGTAACACTATTCAGCGGGATGGAATGTCTGGTATGGTGACACCCTTTGCCTCTGTTTATTCAAAAGACCCCTCCATTCCTCAAGGCAGCTCAAATGTATTACTTTTTCGACAAAAAAAAAAAAGATATAGCTGACTAACTTGAAGTTTATAATTTAAATCATTAGATGGAAATCTTCGATTCAAATGTAGGCCTCCAGTATCCATGAATCTCACCTGCAACAAGTCCTACAGTGAATCTAAAATTCGAAACATGATTGCAAGTGTGGTTTATGGTCCCACTCTACCTGAGCCCTGCACATCAGTATCAATGGCACCCATAAACCAATCATCGGAAAATACCCTTGCCCTGGCGCCGCCAAACACAAATGCCAGAGGCAGCCGCCGGCCTTCGCACCAAAGAAGTGAAGGGTTCAATGCATCAATAGTGGAATCAGCAGAAGCACAAGCAGAGGTCGAGAGATTTCAGGAGCATAATACACAGGCGCGCCAGTACGGCACAGAGGAGTTTATTGTCTCTGGACATTGCCAGCCAAGCTATGAAGAAATGAATATCAACGGAGGCCATCCTCATCCTGTGGACGATCGTCGCCCCTCTCAAGGATGCCTACTGCAAGGAGCGGGAGTTACAAGTCGAGGCGTTTCGTCCCCTCAACCTCAATCTAATCATCGACTTGCCGTGGGTGAAGGCCCGGCGATGATGGATTACGAGGACTCAATAATCCTTCCATCGCCAAACCATCTTCAAGTCCCCAGGACGCCTCCATTAGAGAGCGATGATAGCCGACTGTATCAACGCCCATACGCCACGTTCGGCCGCCGGTCTGTCACGCCTACAAGCCAGAGCTCCTTGGGCGCGGCTACGAGGCCTTTCCCTAAACTTCATCACTCACATTCTCATCCTAACATTGGTCAACATCAATACCAACAGTATTTAGAGCAGCAGGAGCGTGAGCGGAGAAATAATGGTGTACTTAGCAATGGCCGTAGCCATAGATACCCATCCCACAATCAACAAAACTATGCTCACTACCAGCAGCAACAGCAACAGCGTCCTGGCATGCGCCATAATATGCGGCGAGGATCTGCTCCGTACCAATATCATTACCACCAACGCGAGGCGATGGCGATAATCGAGAGCCGGCTCTCTCGTCCTGCAGTACCGCAACCTCCCTCAACGTCGAGCAGATTCCTGTCAGTCGGGCCTTCGGACGGGGCACATTCCCCAGCGATGTCATCTTCTTCTCGATCTTCGCCAGGCCATGAGCCCTCATCCTCTCTCCACCAAGCCTTAGGGCAGTCTAATCCACTTGCTTATTCTCAGCGCAGAATGAGTCAACCCCACTCTAGTAGTGATAGTAGCAAGAGAATCTATAGTCAAGCGCCTCCAGCAATCTTGGAGTTCTCTGACCCTTTATACGATCATGGCCGCCGTATCAGTGGGCCGGAAGAGTTTTCTCGAGAGCAGTGTGAAAAATATGAGAAGCTAAATGTCGACGCAATGATCTCACAGCACCACAGCTCCACAAATGCGAACTTTTTACCCTACTCACTTAACATACCGTATTGCCAGCAGCAAGAGCAGCAAGAGCGGCATCAGCGCCAGGGCAGAGGATTATCATATGGACAATCCTCACCGGCTTTATCTGCTTTGCGAGCAGTACAATCTGATCCTATGATAAGTGATTCATACAACCATGTTCGCCAACAGAGCTCATCTCTTTCCTCGATTTATCATCAAGTGCCATCGCAGAATGGCATGAACCCACAAAGCTCTTGCCATCCGACGGCAGATGAAATTGAAGACCGTAAGTATTTTTACCTTTGTTGAAGAAAAAAAAAAAAAAAAAAATTATTAACTTCTTTTACTTTTATTATTGCTTTGCTTATTATATTTAGGTATCTATGCTAGGATGCGCCAAAGGAGCTTTAAACGTCCCAATATGGCCGGACCCCTTGGCCGGTCTGTCACTGATACTAACCTCTACAATAACGCCATTAAGGATTTGAATGACGCCCTCCCTCGGAGCACGATCAAGCTCACTTGCTTCCCTAATGCGGCCGCTAACGATGAAAACAAGGAAGGAGACATGGAGATGGCAACAAGTGCTACCACAGCCTCAGCGGAAGTAGCAAGAAGACCGGTAATTCTTGATTCAACAGATGCGGTGGCAATGAAGCTCAGCCAAAGTTCCAAGGTCGTTATCGAGATTACACAACCCCGACATCGGGCTTTTGAGTCTTCTCGCTCTCGATCATCATCGCTTGCAGCAGCATTTGGAAGTGCCCCTGCCCCCTTCTATCCTCAACAGCAATATGGAGGGGGAAAGTTGTTACGCCATGCAATTTCACAACCGAATATGCTTATACATTCTACGTCATCTATCTTGGGGCAACGTCGATCTGCGTCTCCTGATGAAGAAGGGATGGTGCTTGGGTCTTCTAAAAAGCATTGTGCTGGCTCCTTATCTGGTCCTAAGGAGGAAGAGAGGGGAAGTGGAGACATCAATAAGAGCAACGACGATGATGCTTCTGCCATTTTTACTGGAAGGGCCACATCAATTGTGGCAGGCAATCCAACTCAGAAACAGCGTGGTATACCCACTTTATCTACCACTGCTTCTGCTTTCATAAGGCCTCAGACTACGGGACTAAACTCTACTCACAAGGATGGCCATGCTGCAGGCTACAAGGATAAAATCGGTTTGGATGTCCGCGTGGCTTTATATGGCTCTAATTCCGAAACTGACGTTGAACCCAAGTATACCGCTTCTGCTAATGAAGGAAAGTCTACGGTTGGTTCTCCTATGATCGAGGCATTAGGTGTGGCCAAAGCCTCTTCGTGTATGAAATTCGAACATCAAAAGGAACTTGGAATCGACTACTCGTTCTTCACAAGGGTAGAGACTGCTGGCTGGAGGATATTGATCCCACCTAACGTTGTGGCCTCATTTAGATCTGAAGACTTTGGGCTGACTTTGAAGCCCAAGGTTGTAGACGCTGGCGTCGGCCTTGGCAAGAACGGATCTTCAGTGGTAGCTAATGATACAGACCCAATAGCCATTAGCGGCGGTAGCGTACCAACTACAGCTGCTATACAAAAGATGGAGATGGGCTGCAGTTTTGAGAGCGCACCGCTTGTATACGAGGAGGTCGATGATGTAGGTATGATGGAGATTAATGGGAAAAATCAGATAGAGGATGAAGCAACTCAATCTATCAAAAATGACGACGATATGGTAGAAGCTGGCAGCCATGTCCAAGGCACCACTGCTACAAACCTCGCAGCAGCAGTGGAAGAGATAGGGGAGGAAGGGATGAGAGAAGAAGAAATGGCAACGATGGTAGAGAGTCCAATCGTACAGCCACAGATTACATCAGAGGATGATCAAGAGATGGATGAGTTGGAGGATTAAAAAGAAAGCTTTTAAATCAAGGTGCTTCCTTTAGTCACTATTATTACAGCTTCAGGCCATATCATTCTCTCTAAAACTTCAGTTTTCTCTTCCCTTTCATTCATATCCTCACACGTTCATAAAAGCACTATCAATATATATATTTTTACATTTACTCTTATTTATTTTATATTTATTACATATATTTTCCTCTCTCTTTTTCCGTTCACTTACTCGCTAGCAACGTGGTTAATTCCAATAGCATCGTTTTTTTGTTATTTTTTACGTTTATTTTTATCTATTTATTCAGTAATTTATATACTTATATATATATCTAATTACTTTTTTATTTAATTTTATTCGCACCATCTTCGTCCTTGTAAATATCTATTAAAACTGATCATTTGCATCCTCCTATTTAATGATATCAAAGTTTACGATGCCACAATGGTTAGTACGTTTATGTTGGTCCAAAAAAAAGAATTATATATATTATACCAAGGTACATCTCAATGAAGTTAAAGCGTGTTACGTTGATGGACAAATAAAGAAGATCAAGGAGCACGAAGGAGGCTACAACTGGCGAAATAATATCAAAAAAGCATATGTCGCCAATTTCATTTGGTCATGATACCTTATATTTTTAATCTAAAAACGATGATTGAATTGTTCTGGTGGCATTTCACTACGTGACGGACTTGCAACAATACTCGCAAGCGAGCCAATTGGCTGCCAATACACTCGAAAGTATTCAAAAAATATAAGGTATCATGACCAAATGAAACGGGCTATATCAAGCGATTAAAATTATTTGTTCATTTTTTAAAATGCTGGTAACAATAGGCAATAATTGCAAAAGAAAAGAGAGAAGGAGAGGAAGAAGGCAGGGGATTTGAGTAGATAGTGAAATGGAGTCGAGAAAGACAAAGAAGGCAAGGAAAAGAAAAACTTTGGGTCCCGCTACTCTTACTGTCTCTACAAGGCATGTGCTGTAATGCATGTAATTTACAATCGTACTTTGCATGATTGGCTTCGCTAACTTTTTTTTGTGCAAGAGAAATACATGGGACTTCAATAAAAAAGATGCTCTGCAAAGAGCCCTTTGTCAGGGGTAGTGCGCTGTGTCCACGATCCCAACTCTGTTTCTTTCTCGGCTAGAGCACATTTTGTCTCCCACTCACATATTGTTTACTCTCATTAATCACGAAAAAAAAAAAAAAAAAAAAAAAAGTTGTAGTAGTAAATGTTTAAATATATTTCATATTGCCAGGACGAGGGTAAGAAGCAAGAGCGTTGTGGAATCAATAGTTCCAGAAATGTTTCTAAAAGCTCTTCGTTGAGCCCCCATACACCAGTCTTTCTCCTTTTGTTCTTTTTATTCTTTTGCTCAATTTCACGTTCATATCTTCTCCTTCTTAATAAAGTAATAATAATATAACACCTACACCTAACATGCAACGTCTGTCCATGGTTCCCTCTTCTCATCTCCGTGTTTGTTGCTTTTTAAGTGCTCAGGTCATTATTAATCAGTTCAAGTCCTAACTATCTAATGATACGATGCTCATGTGTTCAAAAGCTGTCATCGCCAATGAAAATAAGATCGTATTTTTCTTTCCTTTGGCTTGTTTACACGAACGTCGCGGTCAAACACCATACACCTTATTATACAACTAAGAAAGAATTATTGAGCTATCGACCAATGAATGCTCTTATTCTTTTTCAATTTTGGACAGCATCACATTTCTAGGCCATCAAAATCAGGGGTAACGTAACTGTTGAACTGCGCACAGATCGCAGACGACAATATTTTTTCTCGCTCTGTGTCCATGACTTCAATTAAGAATTAACTTTTTTTTTGGTTTATTTGTTCAGAAGAAATTGGGAACGCGCATCGAAATGGCGTCTTTCATTATTACATGTTTTTCTCTACACGTTTGTACAATAGCAATCTCCGAATAGGTTACCATTCAAAGCGTTAAACGGCTTTTTCTTTTTTGTTTATTTCGCTGATGTATTAGTTGTTGTCTGGCAGATATACAGCACAAATTCATTATCCAATTCACCTCCTTAAATCTCATAATGAGCAAAAATATCCGTGAAGGCACTCGGGAGCCAAACGAATCGGATCTTCTGAAAAAAAAGACTCTCTTTCACTTCTATTCAGCATTATTATGTACCTCTCCTTTTAGTATCTCTTCCCTTATTACTCTCCTTACATACGGTTTATGCATATCTACATGTGCATTGCTCAAGCGATCTAAGATTATGCCTGACCCTTGCCCTACGCACTATGTTCTATAAAAGAGTCACCATTGTGTCCCGGCAGGTATTATTCTTTTTTCCTTTTTTCCTTTTTTCCTTTTTCTTTTTTTTTTTTTCTTACGTTCCAATTTGCTTCTCCTATTTTTTATTTTTTTTTTATTTTTTTTCCTTTGGTTGTTTCTCTTATGAGGCGTCCTTAAAAAGGATTTCCCTCCTCCGGAAATTAGCTTCTCTACGCCCAACACTGTTGTTCCCTTTTCTCCATACCACATACTCCACGCCGCCCTCAATTCCAGACGTCGTAACGCCTTCCGACTTACGCTAACCAGTGCTTTAGGCTTATGCCCATTAATGCTTTTCCCCTTCTCTCTCTCGCAGAAGCCTATATCATCTATCGATGTAGGTCAACCGTTATCCCCAATGCAACCAAACCTGACGCGCACAGCAGGGAATTTAGTGCCGCTAATATTTGTTTCAAGCCACCAACTCTTGATGTAGCCACTCAGATACTAATCACTCCATGAATGCTCGCAATACCCATAGAAACGTTTGCCTTCACATTACTTTATCCTTCATTTTTGCTCTCTATCTCTTCTGAGCTATTCGCCGTCATCTATTAATCCTCCTTTGATCTCAACGCCTTCTTTGGAATCATCAGTAAAGGCAAGGCACCATGGCCTCCACCTCCGCTATATTATACACCCCCGATCCAGAAGGTAAACAGCCAACCCTACCTCACTCCCCCCTTCACATTCGCATCGCCTATTATCTGCGTTCTTCCACTGCTTCAAGAGAATAACACAAAAAGAACCATGTAAATGCTTCCAAAGTCTCCATAAGAGAAAAAATAAAACCTGCGACTCCCTAGGCACATCAAACGCTTTAAAGCATGATGTTTCATGCTTTACCTTCAACTGCAAACGTGCATATTATCCTTGAAAAGGGTGGAAACCTTCTGAGGCATAACCATTTCTCATTTCACTCCCAGTCCTAATTCACAGTTAGCATGTATGCCCGCCAGGCACGTTACTATTTTTTATTTTTTTATTTTTTACCGTTTGTTGCAGGGGACAAACAAGGAAATAAATCTGCATGCATCCAATATGCCTCCGAACCACTGAGTGGTTCTGATGCTAATAGTCCATCCAGCCATCTATCATAAAAATGAAAAATTGTATTCTCTATGCTTGCTTTACAAACAATCCATTTTTTTTTTTTTTTTTTTTTTTTTTTGCTTGTATTCTAATGAAATCTTATTAGAATCGATCTCATTATTCATTTCGTTATCATGTATCTCATCCATGTCAGTGCTATTTGGACGCAAGACTGCAGGGACCAAAGTCAGCACGATCAACTATACTCGAGGTTTGGTAGTGGCTCTGTATATTGTCCCATGGACCTTCTCGTTGGTTGCAGCTATGCTGGTCCAAACCAATAACTTTAATATCGTCTCATGTGTCATCTCTATATACTCTTGCATTATCCTATACGCCCTCAGCAAAATCTTCATTTATCTTTTCCTAATGGAGAAGATCTATGTTGTGACAGCTGTAGGAGTTACTCGATTCAACTTTATGGTAAGAAAAAAAAAAAAAAAAGTTGCGCACTGTCAAACTATAGTTTTAGTGAAATAAACCTTTTTTTTTTTTTTTTTCCCTTTCCAACAGCTTTACCGCATCAACTTAGCCCTGCTTCTTCCATATGTTGGGATTTTTGCCCTCATGATTGTCTTCCGTGTTTCTGAGGTTAAAGAAAACGGCCATTGCATGATAGGGCTTTTGCCGCCTGCTTCTGTGACCCTGATTCTCTACGACATCTTCATTTCCAGTTGGTTGACAATGTTGTTCATCCGTCCTCTCATGTCATCAACGTCATTGCTTCAGGGGCCCTCTAAGGGCAGGCTTCGTGACGTTGCGCGTCGTACATTGGTGGGATCTCTGATTTCACTCGTGCTCAGTACTGCAAACGTATTCACGCTCGTACTCTTCAAGGGTCAAGAACGTGGTCTCATCTGTTTAGCCTCCTGCACTGTCGATGTGACGCTCAACGCCATGAGTGTTCACTGGGTGACCTCTCGTGGGACTGGACGATTGACCTCAAGTAACAATCATAATATTGAACGATCCTCCGCTGACAGGCGTCATCACCTAAGCACCCAAACAAATTCAGAAAAACAGGTCGCTCCCCTCGAGTCCCATGCTTCGGTCACAGTCGAGAGATATGTAGAGCAATACCACCAACAGACAAGTATCGGAAGCAGCAGCTCCCCATCCTACTAAGTTACTAGAATTTTTTTATTTTATTTTATTTTATTTTTTTCATGTATCAACAAAAGACTGTAAAGAAGGTGATTAGAGAAAATATAGAAGCCCCTTTTTCCTCATGTCACTCTTTTTTTCAGTCAATATAGCTATAATTGCTCATACATCTATATAACACTCCACCTACATCCAACTGCTTCTACATAATATATCATTATAGTCATTGATGTACGTTAACGTTGAATGACTACCTGGGTCAAAACATTTTGAACATGAAAGAAGTACAAACTATAAAGGCAAGATACAAAAGGGAACCCTACTCGCCGGGAGTACAATAGTTTCAAGTATGAATTGGATATAACTTCTTTAAAAGATCAAGTTTCCTATTAACACATCATACCAATTTTCATTGAAATAAAGACTATTGACAGATGGGCGTGGGCACCAAGCTCTCTATATCGTTATAGGAAGAATAAAGCCTAAAAAGCCATAAGTGATAAGGATAACAGCTATACGTAGAGCCGTGGTTTGCACATCTTTATCATCAACAGCGTTTCCCCCATATAAGAAAAAACATATAAAAGTTGATTCCGAGGCACTTGCAATAAGCGCACGATTACAATCATCAAAAATTATTCTATAAAGGCTTTATATTCGGCCTGGGCAGTCATAGAGATAGCGTAAATGACCCTTGGTTATTAGAACTAAAACTGTACTCATACAAGTCCCAGTGTAGGAGATACAATGCTTGGTAGCCCATTGCCGCATTGCTGATTAGGATTGAATCTCGACAAAATGTTGCGATACGAGATCCTGTAGGCAATGTAGTTTCTTACCCTTGAAGGAGCTAAGCTGATCGTGAAGCCTTATACCTCTGTTAATATCAGGGGACAATCTTGCAAGGTTGTTGGCGAACTGACAAGCGGTTGGGCGGAAAATCTGACCCTTTGTTTTTAGCATTGACTTCTTTCTGTTCCGACGATGTGGCTCTTAAAGCATCCCCAAACAATGCCCCTGAACATGCTTACTAGGCCATTGATACAAACAAGTATGATGATAACACTATTACAGGTGATGAATTTGGATGTAGGTGTTTTAGTTATTGATGATAAAATTGAAAAAGAATGGGATTAAAAGCTTATCAATAGCAGGGCAGGTTTATATGTCTATCACGTGGCAGCTATCACACCATATATAAGACTTTGTATTTATGTAGTTATTCTCAAACTTCTCTTTACTCTTCAAGACTCAAGACGCTAAAAGATATTAGAAGAGTAAAATGGTATACTTAACTATTGTCAGTATTAAATTTTAAGTATTGTTTTATGGACAACACAGATTACCTACAACTTCCATTACCTTGTTGCTCAGGTGTCACCAAGAGAACGACAAACGGTCATTGATGGGTTCTTCAGCCCTATTTCCGCAAAAAATGGGATGCAGCTACAACACATTAACGAATCAAAGGTTCGTAAAGCCATAAAGTACTCTCCACTGAAAGATCGCTATCAGTCAACTTCCTCAGACGATAACACTATATTTTTTCTGACATAGAAGAGCCACTATTTCTGTGGAGTTAATGGAAATGATGCGGTTTTGGTCGACAACACTGGGCATGAAACTACTGACTTGATGCAAATCGATGAGCTTATTCAGGCAGTGCCAACGCATCCAATATCTACCACTAACATATGCTTCGGAGAGCAAGGTAAATGGCTAACGGCAGTATGGCGTCGTAGCCACGATAGCTTAATCTAATGTCTACATTTAACTGTACTTTGCGACTCTACTATGAAAGGTTTACCAAATTTGCGTGTCGTTCCGGATACTCGAAGCACTCGAAATACGACTATTCAAGCTAAAAACTCGAAAAAAGCCAACAAAGTACTATATGCAAAAGATCCTTCTACTGTCTATGCTGGAGGCGTAAGGTTGCAGTCCATTAAGCTGGCGCGATCGATCCATGATGTCCTGGGAGACCTGAACAACAGTCCAGATTCAGTTTATCGTCAAGAAGGAGCAACCGTGGCGCTTGTGGAGCTTATCGGTAAGCTCTTGCCAAGAAACAGGCTTTTGGTTTTCATTCGATGTATTTTCTCATGCGTGGCTATTTTTATAGGAACGTTGTGTTCGCCTATGATCTATCGAAGCTATTGTTGGGAGTTTACCGTGCGCGATCCTACGACGGTGGACTTCGCACGCAGATACTCTGTGGCAAAATCCTCTAGTCTCGATGATTCGAATAAATATTTGGCTGGAGCGAGCACGCTTTTGTGTTGCATGTATGACATCGATGGCTCTGTTGACCAAGATTCATTAGAAAGAGATGAAATCGTCCGAATTATGGGTATCATAAAATATGAGCCTATTTCACAAATGCAGTGCGTGGCTATTCGAAGGTAAAACGAGAAAAAAGTATCTATTTACTGCCTCAGAATTGAAAACATTAAGCCATTAAGCTCACTTTTTTATTATGTTAAGCGCTTCTGTGGATGAAATTAGGATGACAATTCAAGGCATTTATCGCGGCTATAACGGATCACCTGTAATGCGACATCAATGAAAGGCTTCTAGATTTGGCGCAACCGTACACAGTTATCTAGCACATTATTTTTTCATCTTTATTGTCTCTGCAAGCTTTAAATATAACAACTATACTCTCTGAATATTTGTTACTGCAAACTTGTTACAATGTTATTGCAAACTTGTTACAATTGAGCGGCAGAGGTCTGTTGTCTCATATGGAAATCCATGAGAAGTTCTCCAGCAATGACCTTACGAGCTCCAGTGGCTTCAGCGGAAAGGCTCAGCTGCTCGTCAGTCCAGATAGGAGTTGGCTCAACCGCACCTTCAACAACACCAGCACGACCACCAGTCGCCTTCCACTCTGAAGTGCGCTTCAGGCCATTTCGCTGCCAGACACTCTCCAAAGAGCGAACCAAGTGGTCCATCATCTCCTCAGTATGGCCAGGAGTAGGAGTGATGCGGAGGCGCTCTTCACCACGAGGGACAGTGGGGTAATTGATGCTCTGAACATAGATTCCGTGCGAGCGGAGAAGCTCATCTGAGGCAGCCTTGCAGACCTCTGCATTTCCAACCAAAACAGGAACAATGTGGGAGGGGTTAGGAACGACAGGGATATCCAGAGCAGCCAACTGTGCCTTCAATGTGCGGGTGTTAGTCTGCTGTCCAATGCGTTCACTCAGAGAGTTGCGAAGGTAACGAATAGAGGCAGAAGCACCTGCTACAATAGCAGGTGGCAATGAGGTGGTGAAGATGAATCCAGGAGCATAGGAGCGAATCATATCGACCATAGCAGCAGAGCCTGCGATGTAGCCTCCAACGACACCATAGGCCTTTCCAAGGGTGCCCGAGATAATATCAACCTGATCCATAACGGTCTTAACAGGGCTGTCTTGTGGGCGATGGAAATTTTCAGCAAAGTCAAGATGCTCAGCAACTCCAGCACCATGAGGACCATACATGCCAACGGCGTGGACTTCATCTAAGAAAGTGATGGCTCCATACTTTTTGGCCAAACGACAGATCTCATCCACCTTGCCAATAGTACCAGACATTGAATACACGGTCTCGAACGCAATGATCTTAGGGATGGAAGGATCGAGGCTTTGGAGGAGTTCTTCAAGGTGGGCCGTGTCGTTGTGACGGAAGATCATCTTCTTGGCGCCAGAATGTTTGATACCTTGGATCATGGATGCATGGTTCATTGCATCCGAGAGGATAACACAGTTGGGAAGCTTTTGAGCCAAAGTGCTGAGAGTAGCATCGTTAGCCACATAGCAAGAAGAAAAGACAAGAGCAGCGGGCTTGTGGTGCAACATGGCCAATTCTTGCTCGAGCTCTAGGTGCAAGGCACCGTTACCAGCGATGTTACGGGTGCCACCAGCGCCAGCACCATACTTGCTCAGAGTGGCCTTCATGGTCTCGACGACGACGGGATGCTTGGACATGCCCAAGTAGTCATTTGAGCACCAGACGGTGACTTCATCCTCGAGCTTGGCAGTATGCGCACGTGGGAACTGTTGGGCCAAACGATTGATGTTGTTAAAGAAGCGGTAGGACTTGTCCTGGTGCTTCTTTTGTAATTCAGCTTCATACACAGCCTCGTAATCGAAGGGTTGGCCTGCAGTAGGGGCAGTATGCGAGACAGGAGTCGCAGTCGTGGTTGCTGGTTTGAATGGGCAGGCTAGGAAAGAATATAAAAATTCAAGCACGAGTTTGTAAGTTTATGCGCATTGAGGATCTAGATCAGAGTGAAAAAAGGCATTCAAAAAAAAGTTGAAATGAGTGTACCTGCACCAGGGGCGGGATTAGCCTTGTGAAGCTCATGCTGAACGGAAGCCTTAATGTCATTGGTAGAGACAGGAGTTGCATATCCGAGAACGTGGCTCTTTTCGGGCTTTAGCTTTGTAGCCGAGACACTGAAGAATCGAGCTCCGGCCGAAGCGGGGCAAGAGCTTGTCATCATGGCCGATCTGGCTTGAATGGTCATGGCCTTGCCCATGACAGGGCACTGCTGGGCCATGTGGACAAGTCCGTTAGAGGCCATGGCAGTCTTTGCAGGACGCTGAGAAAGCGTGCGGAGGGCAGAAGGAGTGGAATTGCGAAGGAAGGGGCAGGCCTTTGCAGCGAGTTCCATGGTGACGATTCAAGTGATTCAAAGATTAGATGGAAAATTTGGGAATAGAATGAATCCAAGCAAGAAGAGAAAGGATAGAAAAGGCACACAGAGCAGGGACTGAACTTGTGTGTGTGCGAATGCTAAAAGAAAGGGTGAGAGAGAAGGAAAGGAGGAAGCGAGAACGGAGGGAAAAAAAAGAAGTGGTGAAGAGAGAAGACGAGGAGGCCCTTTTTAGAGTGATTGCGGAGGGTAATTGGGTGTGTAGTTTATATATTTGTCAATTGATGCTCTGCTCACTTCAAGAAATAGCAGTCTAAGATCAAGTAAGGTGGCTGTCCTGCCTGCACCTCTGTGTCGCTTCTATCACCAGAGCCCCTTTTGACGTTGCATGCTCATTTTCCTCCTCCATGCATGTTGATAGACTATATAATACATTCATGTACTTCATTTATCTTTTACATCTTGATCACAAACTTTATTGTGTTAATGGCTCATGTCAACCCCAGCCACATCGACAGACAAAACGGTAAAAATTACTGTCTAGTTTCAAATCAGCAGTATGCTGATGCTATTCTTTTTTTTTAAGTATGACTAACGCATTTTTCGACATGTCGATTGCTGCGCTAGTTATTCTATCGAAGCACAAATAATTGTTAGGCGGAGTCTGTTTCTTTCTACTCTTCTGTTTTCTCTTTTCATACTCAGCACTAACGCATGGCGAAACCATCCACAAGTAAAAGCGAACATTCTGCAAAGAGTGCAGCCGATTGTATCGACTGGTGTAGACGCGCACGCGGCGCAGACTAACCTTTGGTGTATGTTTTTAAACTATTGAAAACACGTTCCATGTCTAGTATTTTCAGCATGCATCGGAGCATGAACACCAATTAATCCTGTGGCGCATACATCCATCATGCATGATCGGAGCAGCCATTGGAAAATGTAAAGTAGAAATATACTTTACTGTTGCATGGGCGCTGCTCATTCTTACATTCTTACTTCCTACTCTCGCTCTCTCATTTGTCCTTCTATTTCCCAAGCCTTATCGGAATATGTATGCTCAACTTCAGCCCTTGCTGTGTTTAATCGCTCGGTAATAACCAATTTGTACCGCATCTTGTCTACTCTAACCCCATGAATTTCATCTGATAACAACACGTTTCCACCACTACCTATTAAAAATATTAGAAAAACCAGTCTGGATCATTTCATCACTCACAGTTGCTGTTGTACCCCCGCCTTCTCGTGGTATACATTAACAGATCCATCTCTCTTTCCTTCTATTCATTCCTAATCTGCAGTGTAATGTTGTACACGGAATATTGCAAAACAAACGATGAACAAATATACTGATGAGATGACATGATAGATTAAATCAGAGTCAAAAAAAAAAAAAAAAAAAAAAAAGAAGAGCATTCATGAGCTCCACCGCAATTATTCTGTACCTCTTGTGTACTTTGTGCACGCTTAAAGAAGAAAAGGAAGGGTAGATAGATATTGCTTCGGACATTTGCTTCCTGCAATGGCAAATTCATCAGTGTTGGTTGTTACTGTTATCAATGCTAGTCATAAACGTTATCACTCATTATGAAATGTCGCAGTAACATGATATTCTTGGCTTGATTGGCGAGGTAAGGATAGACAACAAAAGATGGTGGGAATCCTGCCTCTTATGGGAGGCAATTTGCCCTATTAGTCTATTTGCCACTGTTCTTTTTAAATGTCAGCAAATTTTCCTTATATTTAAGCGCAACAAGAGTTGCACTTATTCTATACTGCTATGAATATATCCAATGATAAATCCATACTCATGAAGGCTGTACCCTATCCAAACTGATGTACAGTATTTAGTCATCACATGATGGCTTGGCTTCCTATGTTTCATATTCCTCAAAAGATGCGTTGTTTCAATGTTGTTTGATCAGTTCACGAGGCCGCTAACTCTGAGACGCTAGCATCAGTTTTAGTGCCGAAGTGAACATTTTGTTTTGTCTCTTTTTCTGCAACAAGACATCACCAAACAAAATGCTGTTCCCAACACATAAGCTTCCTTGTATTCAAAAACAAACAGAAGGCCCTTGTCTTCCAAATCTGGAGCCTTTCTCTCAATCACACTTGTATCAACACACGAACTATTTACTTACAACTCTACGCGATCTGAGTCTAGAGACAAGCGTGGAAGGGGTTTTGAGCAATAGAAAGCGGTTTCTAGAAATGTACAGTAATGTACGAGCGAATGCGTCACATCTATCAAGCGAGGACGACAATTCACTGTTGCGAGCGTCTCACGCTTTAAATTTGGAGCACCGGAAACAATGTCTAAAGAAGATGGTCGCTTTTAAAAGAACGCCTTGCCTTGAAGTTCAACAAATACAAGCAGTAAAGATGGCCCAAGACAATAAAGATTCAAAAGGCTTCCAGACCCGGCGAGAGCTCAAACAACATTACAACACTGTGCTCAAGAACTGGATCGATCAGCATAGCTCTCATCCTTTTCCGAATAAGAAAGAGAAAGCCGAACTTTGTTCACAGGCATCCATCACAGAGAGGCAGCTAAACAATTGGTTTACGAACTATCGTCGTCGACATCTTCAACCATAACAAGTAGCTACTCCTTCAGTTCAAATTACAAATAAATATATACACAGTAGTTTAGTGACAACCAATATGATGCGTTAAATCAGGAGACCATGTTTTAAATTTGTGGGATATCTTTTTTTACTGAATAATAGACTCATCCTAGTATTATCAACTCTTGAGAAGTTAGGACCTACTTTCGACAGTGAATGGGACTGGCTCGTAGCCTAGTTGGAGTACTAGAAGAATCTACATGCTTTTTTTGTTGACATAATTTTACCACGGATATTGCGTGCGTCACGGGCGATTTGAACCTCTGTCAGCGGCGTCCGACCGATTTTTTGCTATCGTGGTCATTGTTGGAGGGAGAGGTAAAGGCGGCAACTCTACGCTTTGAAGGCGATTGTAATAATCTCGATCAGACGGCTGAGGAGTCGCCACAGGGAACTTGTGGAGCTGAACTTGATCATCATCTTGCTCATGAGCAGTGGTGGTAGCAGCAGTTGTAGCGGTTGTGGCTTTTGAGATTATAGAGGAAGATGAATGGCCATGATCATGACTAGTGATCGTGTTTTTCTGAGAAGGATCACGATAGCTCACTTCTGGATCGAGTGAATAACCTTGGTTGGGATCGTGGTTGTTGTTGTTGTTGTTGTTGTTATCGTTAATGGGGTTACGGCTATAATAATGACTAGATGGATCAATAGCACCACGAAGGTATCCTCCTCCAGCACCTGCTGTCGATATCATTCCATCATCTCTGCCATGGCCGCTATCACCAGCTGAGGCTCCATAATCATAGTTATAATTATAATCAAATTCCTGTCCGCGTCCGTCCGCAGGCAAAGATCTTCCTTCGTCATAATCATGTCGATAATATTGTTGGTCTGAGGAGGATATGGGGATGATGGGACGAGGAAGATCGTGATGACGAGGATGAGGAAATGTCCCCATGGCCGTTGCGGCCATTATAGTCCCATCACCCACTTCTGTCATCGATGGGCCATTCATGTACTCTTCATGTCCTAATGGTAGTGGTAATGGTGGTAGTGCAGCAGGAGCAACGACGGTTGCAGCATTATAGGGATAATTATTGACCATGTTTGGATGAAGCGGATCAAATTCCAAGCTTGGTCTTGAAGCGTTTGGATAATAATAACCAGAACCACGACCACCTCCACTACCATTCGCACTTGCTGTTATACCAGAACGTGAACCACGACCCATGGTGGAAGATGATCCAACAGCAGCAGCAGCACCACCACCACCACCACCACCACCACTACCACTACCTGAGCTACCGCCACTACCGCTGGCAGCAGCAACAGCAGCAGCATAATTTGATCTCTCCTTTGTCAACCACTGTCTTTCTAATGAAAGTTGTTTCCGTTTCCGAGCCACGTTCAAACCATAGATGATGAGGGCCACAATGATCAAACCAGCAAAGGTGCCCAAGATGGCTGCCATGATATTGACACCGGAAGGTGTATTGGTTGTATGTGTTCCATCTTGATCGGGAGAAGGTCCTGTGGGGACCGATGGATCTGTCGATGCTGTCAAAGATGAAGAAGGTCTTGAAGCGGTCGATGTAGAGACACTTGTCAAAGTAAGGATACCGGTTGTTGTTGTTGACATGGATGGCTTTGTTGTGATCGTAATAGAGGTTATTGGGATAGTGGTTGTAGCAGTAGGGATGATGGTGGTCGAAGGAATGGTGATAGTTAAATCTCCACATTCGGCCGAGAAGCTCAAGAGATGAGTTAAATGAAGGATATCCCAGACCACACCCGAGTATTCCACTCGGATCTGACGACCTGAACAACCATTCAAGATCGAAGGAGGGATGGTCCAAGGTTGACCATTGGTGATGGAGGGAACCTCCAAAAGGGCCTGTTTCGAGTTGCTGGAACAGTAGAGGGTTGCACTTGCAGAATATACATCCTTGGCTTTTGGCCAGATCCCATTATCGGACCATTGGAAAGTTAGGGAATCTCCAGGCTGATAGATCCCACCTGTGGGCGATTGACAGTTGATGGATGCATGAACGATGGGAAAGGAGAAGAGAGTGAAAAGTATGGGAATTAAAGTGAGGCGCGAGAAAGAAGACATTCCTGGGAGTCGCCGCGTTCTTGAAGAAAAGAATCTGCTACTGTTGCTGTTGCTGCTGCTGCTGCTGGCACTATTACTATTACTATTACTATTACTATTACTATTACTATTACTATCGATATTACTAATGTTCTGATTGGTGTTATTATTGCTGTTACAATTGATGCTGCTATTACTCGTGTTTTTTCTACTGTTGTACTTGTTGTTGTTGTTTTTGTTGCTCGTGTAAGTGTCGTCCCTGATATTGACAGCACTCATTTTAGTATTATTATTATTATTATTGTTGTTGTTGTTTTGTTGTTATCGCCTTGGTGAGAAAGAATTGGTGGATTAGAAAAACATTAAGAATATACTAGTGGTAAAAGAGAAAGGGAAAAGGAAGACTAAAATTCTATTATGAAGAAGATAGAGATAAAGAAAGAGATAAAGAGAGAGGAAAGAAAGGTAGTAAGTTGAGCGAAAGCGTAAAAAGAAAGAAAGAAAGAAAGAAAGAAAGAAAGAAAGAAAGAGAGGAAAAAGGAAAGAGCCCTGAAGTGTTTTCATGCATCTCAAGAGAAATAAGATGATGAGAAAAAAAAAAAACAATGCACAATGCACAATGCACTTCAAAACAGCGGACATTTTTTTTTTTTTTTTTTTTTTTTTTAATTCAATTTCAAGTGAGCATTACCATAAAACTTTCTTTCAGTCAAGGGTAAAAAAAAATAAAAGAAACAAGATCGCGTGGGTAGAGGAGGGGAGGGAGGAAAGGTCAGGACAAATTATGAGATATTTCATTTCACATCATTATCAACCTTTAATATTGGCAGCCCATTCACAGTGTATGGATAGAATTTGGCATTGTCATCATCATTGTCATTACTTTTTTTTTTTTTTTTTTTTTTTTACTTTTTTTACTTTTGTTTTACTTCATTTTACTTTACCCCTGTCCCTGGTTTGAAAAAAAAAAATCTAAATGCGCCAAAATCTCGCTTATATTTTTTTCATCATTTGCGTTGTCTGTGTGTTTTTACCAATCATTTTCATGAGATTGAAAAAGTGGGGACGTGGATTAGCTAAAAGGGACATTTATCATCTGCTAATGGCATTGATTATATAGTACAGTCCATGTTGTGAGCATTATTTGTCCTTAGCTCTCTTTCACAAAGAAACCTTGTTTTGCGCCAAATACTCTTTCAGTAATAGTTGTAATAGTTGGATATGGATATGTAAACAAATGACAATAAGGGCCTGAGGTTTTCTTTTCTTTTCTTTTCTTTTTTTTTTTTTCCTTTTCCTTTTTCTTTTTTTCTTTTTTGGGTTGAAGGATTCTTTTTCACATTTTCACACAAACTCACTCATGATCCATAGTCAATCCTTTGTGTCTATTTTATTTTATTTTATTTTAATTAATTAGTTTTAAATTAAAAGATGATTCACATCAATATTCTGTCCTACATGAGTGTAATCTCTACTTTTTCTTTGCCTGTTGGACTGATGGGGACTTTGATACTATCATCTTGTGCTTCTTCTTTTGCTTCTTTCCGTTCCATTCCCTGCATCACCATCGATTGTGGAGCACGTTTGGGCGATGATGTGATTGATGAGTTTGTTGGTAAAGAGGTTAGAATTGAGGTTGTAGGGACAGCGGTTTCACTACTCGTGACTTCCGATGTTCCTGATGCCCCTGACGCTTCTGATGCTCCTGATAGTCCAGGTACTCCAGGTGGCGTCGCAGATACCTCAGCAGATGTACCAGACATTCTTGAAGAAACAGGTGGCCCTGAAAGAGGAGGAGGAGGAGGAAAGTATCCAGACAGATGTGCTTGATGTTGCTGCAAGTTATAGTGCTGTGTACCGTTGCCAGAGTTATTGTTCATATTATAAAACGATGGGCTACTTTGGTTCATAAACGTTGCAGCACCAGCTCCGAATCCTCCTATGCCACTCGCATAATATGGGTTGTAGTAGTTTTCTTCCTCATTATTGTATCCATCGTATCCTTGTCGTTGCTGCTGTTGTTGTTGAGGAGGAGGATGATAATTATGCTGAAGTAGTTCCTGTTGTTGTTGGTGATGAATACCATAGTGACCATAGTCACCATCATCAGGATAGTAAGAGCCCCCTCGACTAGGTTGAGGAAGCATTGGTTGAGATTCAAAGCCCAAGGTCGAAGACATCCTTCCTGCTCCTATGCCTACCCCTGTTCCTGCTCCTGCTCCGGCAATTGAGCTCATTCCAATACCGTCGTGTCCTGATCCAGTATCACCCATGCCAATACCGGGTGAACGCGGCCCGTCGTCCATGGATGAGACTTTGGAAAATTGGTTAGAGTTGCCTGAAGTCCAAGGTTTGAGCGCATCATCCAGACTACGTTGGCGTCGATGTCTACGTATACAGACGATCAATCCTACCACGGACAAGGTTAAAATAATTGTTACCACCTATTTCAATTCCAAGCAAACCATGGAAATAAAGGAGCGTTAGTTAATTGTCTATCACTCAATTTGTCTCCAAAAACGTCCATATAAATGTTCATCTGGGGGGAGTGGCTCAATTGCTCAAGTGCTCAAAATGCACGTACCACCGCAATGATTACGATGACTGTCATCGAAAGGCCACTTCCTCCTCCTCCTGCAGAAGTATTGGGAGATTCAGTTGAGGTAGAAGCGGCTGAGGATGTGGTGGCGGTGGAAGACATGGTCGTGGTCGTTGTTAGCGTGCCATTGGGGGCCGGTAAAATCGTAATGGTACCACATCGAACAGGACCCCAGGGGAGTTTAACAATGCTCAGGACTCCATAAGCTTCACCCGAATACTCCATATGGAAGGCATTCTGTGGGCATGTGCCCATCTCCCCACCGACGGTTGTAGCATTGCCTACACTAGGTACTGTCCAGTTATAGGGGCCTATTAGATTCGGGATCGAAACCTCTGCGATCTTGAGATTGTTTCCATTACAATAGAGAGTGCCATTAATGGCTGTGATATCGGACACAGCAGGCTTTGTTCCATCTGAGCCCCAATCCAGGATAATGTAATCTCCAGCTTTGTAGGATGATCCGGCAGGGAGTGCACAGGTTATGCTTGCATGAACAGTTGAGAGAATACTTGATACAAAAAGAAACAGGAGAGTGAGGATTGAAACGGAAGGGGGTGGTTTTGATATTGATGAATATTTGCTATTGAGGCAATGGTTGTAATGATGAAAACAATAATAACTTTGTGCATATCGTTTCAGTTTGAGTAAAGTGTAGCTTTGCTGTTGAGATGTTGATGACGATGATTGATGTTGTATCGTTTGACGAGACCATGGTCTCCGCGATAGAAGCTGTGGGTACATGGAACGGTGTGGATATAAATGAGAAAAAAAAAGAGGTAAAGATGAGATGTGGGTGTACAATTTACTCAGGGCTGATTAATTGATATGCGAACAGGTGACGGGAAAAAAAAGGGGAGGGGAAAAGCGATAACGACCAAAAATGGGTGAAAGAGAGAGAGAGAAAAAAAAAAAAAAAAAAAAAAAAAAAAAAAGACCCAATACGTGTATGTGTGGAGGTGTGGCGAGCCAAGTCGTGAGAAAAAAAAAAAAAAAAAAAAAAAAAAGAAAGAAAGAAAGGCAAATGGTTAATGGGAATGAGTAAATGAGATTTGATTCCAATGTGGTTTGATTTAAAAAGAAAAAAGAAAAAAGAAAAAAAAAAAAAGAGGCGTGTGCTGGGTATAAATCTTTGGATTTGGGTTGTCGAGTATGAGAGTTGTTGTCAACTTGAGCAAGATGGAAGGATTGCTTGTTCCGTGGACAAAGGATTAAAGAGAAGCCAGAGAGGCAAAGGGTAGAAGCGAAAGAAGAGATATACAGATATGTGTATGTAGAAAGAACAAAAGAGCGAAAGAGAGAAGGAACGTTGGCTGAAAGTGATCAAGCTTTAAGAGTTTTGGTTTCAGCACTCGTGGCTCAGGGGTAGAATTACACAGACATAGTCTTATGATGAACGGCTTGTCCTCATTGCCAAGCCATCGATCAGGAAATATGTGCGATTTTGGACTTTGCATCGCATCAGCCCGTCGTCTTTACTGGGATTAAAATTATAAATAAAATAAAAAATACGTCCAACACAAGCCACTTTGGAGTCGTGGGATAAGTTTAATTTTCTTAATTTTAATTTTAATTTTTTTTTTTTTTGGTTTCCTCAATCAAACAAGCTTGCTGAGGATCTTGAACACATCTGTCAGACTGACTACTCCAACGGCAAATCCCATATCATTGACCACCCATAGACGATGCACTTTGGTCGCTTGCAGTTTCGACAGCGCATATCCAAATGTTGATTTCTCATTCACGTCTATGACTGGGTAAAGATCTTCACCTGTCTCCACTCCATGTGATCTTCGAACTTTGGATACAAACTGAAAACAACTAAGCCAGAGCCATGACGTCCTCAACTCCTTCATTATGAGCTGTTAAAGTGATGCAAAAAGGGATCAAACAAACAAAAAAAAGTTTTCATGTATTAATAACAAAGAATATGAAAAGAAGAAGACACAGGGAATGTATATGTCAATCAAATCTTTTTGACTACTATAGGTCACTGTAGAACTCCTCGTCTTTACCTGAATGTCTGTCATACTGATGTTCCCAAGAAGGATGCCTTGTTCATCCAATACAGCAAGTGAAGATACATTATGCTTGCCTAAATTGAAGCAATAAAGTCACGAAGCATCAAATAGATTAGAAACACTTTTAAATCAACAAGTTCAATCTAGTTCAGTCCAGTCCAGTCCAGTCCAGAAATTAAGAAATGAATAATGAATCTAAACTTTACTCATGATTATTAGCGCCTCTATCACCTGGACGTCTCCATTAACAGAGAGAACCTTGCTATTAGAGAGACCAACTTGATGCAACTAGATTTGTATGACAGTATTCATCATCCTGTTACAACGATGTCGAATAGCACTTTTTTTTTTTTTTTTTTTTTTTTTTCTTTAAACATGACTTGCTACACTTTTTGGTCATACAGGCCTTGCACTTACAGTTTGGTGCATTATATGTTGCAGTTGAGGGAATTCACTCAACTATGGATCATAATCAAGGAGGGAAAAAAAAAAAAAAAAAAAAAAAAAAAAAAATTGGACACATTAGTTTCAATTAGAGCTCTATTGGAAACTATTAAAAAAGAGAGAAAAAGATAAAGAGAATCGCTTACATGACGCAGGAGATAATCCAATGTAGAAGACTGTGACAAAACTCCAATGAGACGGCCAGTAGAATCGATAACAGCAACTGGTATAGATGAATAACCCCGCGAAATACAAGAAAACAGAAAATGAAAATATATACTCTAGTTAACAAATTAATCACAAAACCTATAGTACGAATAAAAAAATAAAATTGAGGATTTTATCATTATATATACCTCGATGAATACCGGTAGCAAAGTCGCAGATGACTGCTCCGAGTCTTGTCTCAGCCAGGACTGTACAAAATGGATCCTTTCCAGAGAGGTCTAAAATAAAACAAAAGAAAAAAGGAAAAAAAAAAAAACATAGCACAGTCATATTAACATCATTCACAAGATGACAAGGTGATTAAGATGATAATGCATTATTTTTTTGCTTTTTTTTTGTTACCAGAGGCCAATTTTACTGGGACATTTTGGCTATGTCTGGTTTTTTGAATCAGATCACGCATGCTCAGGGTTTGTTCTTCAGTCGGGACTTCTGTCTTCTTGAGGGCGATGAGAATATAGGCCATCAGATCACTATAATCGAACATGCCTACATAGGTCTCCCGTTCCGAGTCATAAACTGGTGCTGAACTGATTCCATGTTTGAAGAGCACCTGATGATCGTTGTATCATAGTTGAGAAGAAGAAGAAGAAGAAGAAGAAGAAAAGTAAAAGAGGATGGCAGATGGTTTAATGAGACGAAGGTATATAAATGAATATAGCAAATAAGGGACCGCGTATAAAGGTCATTTAGACGTGATATCGATTCAAATATCCAAGTCATTACTTCGCATGCATCTTCAACCGATGTGTTGGCTTCACTATGAGGTAGAAGAGAGAGAGAGAGAGAGAGAGAGAGAGAGAGAGAGAGAGAGAGAGAGAGAGAGAGAGAGAGAGAAAAGAAAGAGAATGTATCGATGAGCGATACGATGGAAACAATGTTAGTTTTAATAATATTCAGAGACAATTTAGGCCATTGGGCAACATTTTAAGCGGGGGAGAGACTGATTCTTTCTATTTTACATAATAATAACATTCTGATTTTCGACAAGTTTACCGACTTGGATCATAGTCCAGTCATGATGCGAAGTGGTGAGACCTTCTCGATGAGGAAGGGTTTCTTCACTGGCCATATTGTGGTTTTATACGAGAGTAGAAGAAGAAAAGGGTGAGGGTAAAGAGTAAAAAGAGATAAGAGAAAGAAGAAGAAGAAGAAGAAGAAAAAGGATATGTTTGCGAGGAAGGAGAAAAGTGTGGGAAAGGAAACAAAAAAAAAAAAAAAAAGAAAAAGAAAAAGAAAAAGAAAAAGATGGGCTTGTTTCACTCATATCATGTCAACATCAACAACACCAATATCAATTGACCTTTTTCTCTTCCCTTCGTTGAACGGACAGACTAAAAATGGACAGTTGCACAAGGTATTAACAGGTTGGTTTGAGCATCTGTTTCAACACAAATTTTTTTGTGGACATGGATATCTCCTAGGTTGAGATGCAATAAATGCGATAAAAATATATACTTGACGTGATACATAGTCTCACGGCATATTCACGGAGGTAAGGATCGCTCTCGCCAACTGATCCGCTTTAAAGAAGAAGAAGAAGAAGAAGAAGAAGAAGAAGAAGAATAATAATAACAATAATAATAGTAATTGGCCTAGCTTATTCATCAAAAAATGCTGTGCTAGGTCAAGATTTCAAGACGATTGTTGCGATTAGCAGTCATTTACATGGGTTTTTACTATAGCTAAGATTTTTACCCTTTTTATTTAACGAAGATCCCTGGATCATAAAAAACACATCTTTCTTTCGTTCTCGTTACTTATTATGATCCTGGCATATTTCAACGATGGAGATACGCACATGTCCTTTACATCGTGCTTGCTCATTTGTACGACTTGTACGTACTACTCTCAACTTGTGGAACGTGGAAGCAACGAGCACAGGAGCTCACACGCCTGTTGCAAGTCAGGGTAAGAAGTATCTATCAAGGGTTCATTTGCTCTTGAGATGTGTTACCGACTATGTAGTGTTCTGGGGTGACGTTAAGAATTTCTATCGTATCTATTGCATTTCATTTAGTGAAACAAATAGAGATTTCACGCACAGATGTGTAATATGTATATCTGTATAAGCAAAGCTATCCAATGTAGTTTTATCGGTGATTTTGGTTTCCCAAATGGCCAAGAAAGAAGTAATGAAAAAAAAAAAAAAAAAAAAAAAAAAGAAAAAGAAAAGAAAAGAATAGAAAGGAGAATGAAGAAGAAGAAAAAAAAAAAAGAAAAAAAAAAAGAAAAAGAAAAAGAAAAAGAAAAAAAAGAAAGAAAGAAAGAAAGAGAGGATGTATTTTCTATCTGTTTGTGTGTGCACAGATGCTGGATATGTCGTCTGGAAGGGAGAGAAAGGAAGGGGGGGGGGAAAAGGGAGGAGAAGGGAGATTGGATTGGAGAGCAATACGGATGGTGTGAATGTGGAGGAGGCGCTTGGAATATATAAAAAAAAGGGTGTATTTACATTACATGTCCATGCTTGTATATGTGTATATATAATACACATTGAATCTGTATAGCTGTAGATGTATGTTTATACATGTACAATGTAATAGAAATGAATAACAAAAAGATGTAGAGATATAGATTGGATATAGATATTAGTTTACGTTATTTTATTTGATTGAATGTCTATAAAAGAGCGATGCGTGTAATTAGAATGAGAATCACGTTTTTGTTATTTCCTCGCGTGTTGATGTTGTGTGGTTTTGGCGAACGGGCATCGCATTTTTTTTTTTTTTTTTTTTTTTTCAGGGTCAACCTGGCTAAAAAGGTATTACATGTTGTTGTTATACACACATGTATAAATATATACATAAATATATATATACATAAATATAAATATTTTATTACATGTATATATACAATATGTATGTTTATATTTACTAACTGAATAAAAGTTATAGATACATGTATAGCCTAGTCGAATCAACAGAGTTCCATGCAAGTAGACTGGACCACGCCTCGCCTCCTGGACAGATATTGGACATTTGTCCATGCAATGATATGACATGATATGATATGATACATTTATGATATATACGACATGAAGAAAAAAAGAGGATCGGAGAGAATAAAGAAAGAAAGAGAGAGAGAGAGAGAGAGAGAGAAAGAGAAAGAGAAAGAGAAAGAGAAAGAGAGAGAGAGAGAGAGAGAGAGAGAGAGAGAGAGAGAGAGAGAGAGGGGTGAAAGGGGTGGAAGAGAGGAAAAGCAAATAAAAAAAAAAAAAAAAAAAAAAGCAAGAGCAAGGTCAAACCTTATCCCAATGTTTTTTTTTTTTTTTTTTTTTTTTTTTTTGCTTTTCTTTTTTCTTTTTTGCACAGGGTTGTCTCGTCTATCATTGGAGTCTTTTTTCTTTTTCTTTTTCCCTTTTGCCTTTTACTTTTCCTCATTCATCCTCTTTTCTTCATTCACTCGCTCATTCTCTACTTTTTTATTTTTTTCTCTTTTTCTTTTTTTTTTTTTACTCCAACAGAAAAAAAAAAAGAAATTCCGCAACAAACCTCACACAACTTATTTCCAACAATTTCTTATTATTACCGTCTAAACGTCATTTTAGCGCTGAAACATCCTTTTAGTGGCAAAAGAAAAAAAAAAAAAAAAAAAAAAAAGAGGTATAAATGCGATTCAAACAAACAAGAAAAACAAAAGACTGTTATCAGGAATGTCATGGACAGAGGAATCTCCTTGTATAAAGTAGAGAGACAGTAACATTGGTCTTTTGAATGGTTGGGGAAACTATCTGTCATTGGGAAAAGGTTTTTTTTTTTTTTTTTTTGTATGTCTGTGAGTGTGGTTATTTTTTTTTATTTTTTTGTTTTTTTGTTTTTTTTGTTTTGGTCTGTGTTTGCATCTTACCCTGTCAGCATTTTTATTTATTGATTTGTTTATTATTATCATTATTATTATTACGATTTCCATAAGACTATCTTTTTTTTTTTTTTTTTTTTTTTTTTTTAAATGTAACAAATCCCATCCAATCCCATCGCAGACAATCTCCTCATTAGAAGAAAAGAAAAAAAAAAAAAAAAAAATTCGTTCATTCTTGTGGCCATATTTTCTTTTTGTTTTAATTTGCTCCGATCCTCCTTTCACTTTCGCGTCCCTCCCATTCACGTCTTTTTGTTCAACCCTGTATCTCATTTGACTTCTCCATTCTTCTTCCTTCTTTTCTTCCTTTCCACTATCGCATGAACAAGGCAAGGCCCAACTCCATTCGCATGGAGTATCTTACATTTTCATCTCACACACCTTTTGTTCACTCTGATACATCCGTCTTTTTTTTTTTTTTTTTTTTTTTTTTCCTCTTTTTCTCTTTTTCTCGTTCTTTTCTTGCACATCACTTATATCCTTATATGTGAACAGTCGGATGTAGAGATTGTTATTCGTGCCCAAAATGGCTAAACATGCTCAGCCTTAGTTTTTTTTTTTTTTTTTTTTTTTTCTACTCTTTTTAAATTGGCATTCGATTGGTCATGTCCTATTTGTATCTCGAAAAGAATAGTCCGATTTTTTTTTTTTTTTTTTTTTTTTTTTTTTTTTCGCTTTGTCCTGTGTTCATGCTTTTTCTTTCTTTCTTTCTTTTTTTTTTTTTTTTTTTTTTTTTTTTTTGTTTTTGGAACTCAATTGAGAAACATGCAAACCCACGATGCAGCATAACTCTATTTTTTTTTTTTTTTTTTTTTTCTGGGCAAGGATCATTCAGTAAACTTCTCGTCCCACCTCCCATCATTCAATGCATTCGATTACCGACATACCGTCCCTTTTATTGTCTTTGCATGTTGCATGCCTCCTTTATATTCACAATTCACATTTTGTACATACAGATCTAGGGAACAGAGGGGTTTTTTTTTTTTTTTTTTTCTTTTCTTATTTCATCTTTCTGTAAATTTATTCTGGTCCATTCTAATTTATACCCAGGATTTTTTTTTTTTTTTTTTTTTTTTTTTTTAAAACAGAGTTTGGTATCATGCTTGCTTATCTTCCATAGTAACTAGCGACAACGCGTCTTTAATCTGACCCATGAATCTGGATCACCGCATGTTTCAAACAGTTAGCCCAATCATTTTTTTCTAACCAGCTTTTTTTTTTTTTTTTTTTTTTTTTTTTCCTTTCTTCCTTTCTAGTCATCAAGTAGACGAACAGATCCCCTAGTCTACATAATCGCTCTCGCTCTTACGTCCTCGTTCATTTCATCCAGCTTTGAATTTCAAACAACTCCGCGATCACTTCTGTATTCCTTACAACATCACTCTTGATATCATTTACTACCACAATGGTTTCATCATCACCGTCAGGGCCAGGATTAGCTCCATCTGCTCCACATCCTCAAGCAGCCTACCATTCACAATCCTATCGCGGCCATGCTTTTCATCACCAAAGCCAAGAACCATTACCACCATCACACAATCACCATCCACAACAACAACGGCAAGATTATCCATATGCTCCCCCACAATCACAGCCCAACCATCTAGTCAACCCCACATTGTCTCGTCATCATCAACAACTCCCTCCAGCCTTTGCTGGGACAGAAAGATCCCCCCTTATGATGAAACAAAAGCCTCAACAGCCATCCTCAAAGCAGTTGTCTCAACACCCTCACAATCATCCTCGCCAGCCACCTCCCTATCCTTCCTCTTCTCAACGACATCCAGCCTTCCATCCATCTCATAAACAACAGCAACACTCACCAGAAGATCGCGATCCAACGCATGTTCCTCATCCACGATCCTATCCAGATCTGCAACATCAACCTCAGGGCCCAATACATCAAAACCATGCCTCTTCTTCTTCCGTCCCTTCTTCTCCGTCCGTTGGTCCTCACCACCGTAGCAACCATATTGCTTCTCACTCCCGTACTCCCTCCCATAGCCGCGAACACAGTCAAAATCATGTCCCTGTCTACAACTTTGATCCTCACCATCTCCGCCATCATCACCAACAACAACAACAACAACAACAACAACAACAACAGCAACAGCAACAGCAACAACAACAGCAACAGCAGCAACAGCAGCAACAACAACAACAACAACAACAACAAAAACAGCAACAACAGCAACAACAGCAAAAGCAAAAGCCTTCGCGACATAGCCCGGGCTACGGAATGGTGGCACCATCACAACGCGTAGTAGGCGAGTCCACATTTGATCATCCACCCCCTCCACCCCCTGCTTCTCACACCCCTACGTTTTCCCAACCTCAGTCCCGCTCCCGCTCCAATTCACACTCACACTCACGCTCTTCTAGTGCACATTATACTATGGTCTCTGCTCCAACTTCAACCCCAGCTCCGAGTGCTATCAATACCACGGGTATCCCTACAAAGCCTGTCGTATCCGCGCCGAATTCCTTTGCTGTTCATTATCCAGAATCACCCGTTGGAGGTGTAACGCGTTCGACCTTTTCAGCGCCTCCACCTCCACCTCCATCACATCATCAGCATCATCATGCTCACACTCTCTCTCAATCCAAAATCCAGTTACAAGCTCAGCCTCAGCCTCAGCCTCAGCCTCAGCCTCAGCCTCAGCCTCAGCCTCAGCCTCAGTCGCAGTCGCAGTCGCAGTCTCAGCCGCATCCGCATTCTCACGCTCAACTACAACCTCAACCTCAACCTCAACCTCAACACCATCGACAGCAACAAGACTTGATCAAGGGCAATAATGGAAATAGCAACAACGGTGGCATAGGCCCAACCCGTTCACATCCCCATGGAGGCTCACATCATTCTGCAATACATCAGCATCCATACCATCATCCAACTCACTCCCGTACCCCTTCACAACATCAATATCAACAAAACCATGGTCATTCTCCTTTACAGTCCCCTCAGGGCAACCCTCCCCATGCTAGTCAACAGCAGCAGCAGCAACAGCAGCAACAGCATCGACACCAGACTCCCAATAGGATGTACCCTTCTTCATCCTCTCATGAACACGAGCGAGGATCGATTGAAAACCACGCATCCGCTCATCGCCCTGTCAGTATGCAAATGCATCCCGAGCAGCAACAGCAGCATCGCGACGGCACAACAAGTGATCCATCGTATATTCGTCCCAACAGTCCCAATGATTCTTCCATGAACACTCGTAAAGTTGTGACGACAAAGACGACGGCGGCAGGAAGGCCGGGATCATCAGCATCGAGCTCTGGCCGTCGTACGCCTGTATCGATCCGTTCTCGGGACAGTGCGACCATGGCTGCTGCAACTGCTATGACCATGACCATGACCATGAACATGAACATGAACATGAACATGAATATGAACATGAGCATGGGTAAGGATATGGATATGGTTATGGCTATGGCTATGGCTATGCCTACGGATGAGAATGAGGATGAGGACGAGAATGAGAATGAGACTATGAATATGAATATAAGTGTAAATGATGAAAAAGTCAAGACGCAATCGAATGATGGCAACAATAGTGATAATGTGTCAATGAACAAAAAGCAGCAGCGAGCGGCTTTAGAGTCATCAGGATCTGGATCAAGATCTGGATCAGTACCCATTGTACAGGAAGTTACAATGGCAACCAAAAAACCAACGACCGCCAACGTGAATGTCAACAGTATCAATGGTGGTGGTCGTGGTGAGAGTGCCGAGAGAGGTGATATTCAGACTGTGCAAGAGCAAGATCAATCCTCATCTGAGATCCACAAGTGTCTAGACTGTGGGAAGGTGTATAAGCATCCAAATTGCTTATGGAAGCATCGGTGGTTGCATTCTACTTATTGGAAGGTAAAATATATCGAATAGTCGCTCCGCCTCCAGTTAGTCTGAGAAAAAAAAAAAAAAAAAAAAAAAAAAAAAAAAAGTTTCACATTTGCTAATCTTTTTTTTTGTTTTGTGTCACATTTTAATTTTTCCAAAAAAAAAAAAAAAAAAAAAAAATAGAGTGCCACCAAATTCCTACTTTCAAAACATCAACAGGTTCAATTGATGGAGGCTGCAGCGATTCTGTTGGGGATGGATGAATCTCGTGAGTGTGATAAGGACCCGATTGTGAGTATGTTTACAAAACAACGAGGGGCGCTTGCAAACTCGGTTGGATCTTCAGCTTCGAATTCAATCTCTTCATCATCTCCTCCAACGTCCATAAAGTCCTTGTCAACCTCACCTGAACCCGAACCTGAGCTAGAGCTAGAGCTAGGGCTAGGGCTAGAACTAGAGCATGAGCATAGGCAAGAGCTAAAGGCAGGAACAAGCGAACTATTAAGCCATCAACACCATCGTCATCATTCAATTAGCCATGAAAGTGGTGGTCGTCGTTCTCCTGTTATCAAAGTCGAGAATATCTTGTCAACTTCTAGATCTGCAGCAAAGACAACAGGCTCTTCCTCACCCACCTCAAGGTCACCCTCGTCAGGATCTCCATCGAACCCCAAATCAACATCATCATCTGCTTTATCGACACCACCAACGTTAGCACCCGATGATGATGTGGATATGGATGAGGACATGATCGCAGTTTCTCCACCTTCACATCGAGGTTCGATTGCAATGGTTGTTCCTGCAGTCGTCCGTGTGATGACCGACAATAGAGGAACGGCAATGACGATGTCGACAGCAGCAACGACGATAGCGACCGCTGCTACTGCTGTTTCGACTACGGCTACGACTACTGGTTCTACCACTGGTTTCGGTCAAGAAACCCATCCCAATGAAAATATAATGGAGATGGATGTTCTGATGGAGATGGATCAAAAGACTTTCCTTTCTAAACAACTTCAACACCAACAAAAGCAGCCGCAGCAGCAGCAGCAGCAGCGGCGGCAACAACAACAGCATCCTCTTTCGCAACGTCAATATTATTAAAGAGGGGGAGTTTATTTATTTTATTTTATTTTATTTTTAATATTATTATTCTTATACATATATAGTGCATTTTCTCTCTCTTTCTCTTTCTCTCTCTCTCTCCATCTCCCACTTTTGCATATCCTCCATATCCTACATGATTCTCCTTGTATTGTAAACCAAAAAACAGAAAAATAAAAACATCATAAAAAAAAAAAAAAAGCAAGAGTCTCTGCTCTTTCCTCTACACATGATGTGTATACATATGATTTATACATACATCTTGCCTTTTTACACATTTTTTTTTACATTTATTTCGAAAGAGAAAATATAAAATAAAATAAAATTGTATAAAATGGAGATCGAATATATATTTATAATTTTTTTTTTTTTTTTTTTTTTTTTTTTTTTTTTTTTTTTAAGAAGCCAAGATCATTCTGACAAAGTCTATCAAACAATCATCAACAAGGAAACGAGAAAAGAACGTTAGAATTGATTTTTTTTTTTTTTTTTTTTTTTTTTTTTTCCCGTTATTTGAATCATCATGAGAGAAATCTAGCATGATACATAAATATATATACCTTCGTAGTTGACCTTGCCAAACTTGTCAACCTCGACTCCCTTCATTAACTCATCTACCTCCGCATCTGAGAGCTTCTCGCCCAAGTTTGTAAGGACTAAATGAAACGTTGAAGTTTTGATCCTGTTAGATTACAAAGTATAGAAAGATCATGACTTTTCTCCTTTTTATCCTTTTCCCACATGCATAGGACGTTTTTTTTTTTTTTTTTTTTTTTTACCATAACGCAATTCTCCCTGGGAGATATGTCCATTGCCTTCTTTGTCAAAGACCTTGAATCCATTGATGAATTCCTGATAAGTTCCTGCAGGTTTGAATCCATTTGGACGCATCAACACCTTCAAGAATGTGTCAAAGTCAATGACATTCGAGCCTAAGTTTTTTTTTTTTTTTTTTTTTTTTTTAAAAAAAAAAAAAGGTAAACTTTGTTAGGTAAAGAATTTTGAATCTTTTTTTAACTAAAAGGAAAAAAAAAAAAAAAAAAAAAAAAAAACGACCTTTTTACCTGAAGGATCAGCCTCTGCAACTAGATCACGGACTTGTGACTGAGTAGGGTTTTGACCAAGAGCACGCAACAGATCTCCCAATGAAGATGCTTCAATCGTTCCATTACCCTTGCGGTCGAAGAGACTGAAACCCTCCTTGAATTCTTTAACATTATAAGAATGGTTGACAGAGGAAGGAAAAAAAAAAAAAAATCAATTAATGAATCAATACTGCCGTGAGTATCCATCGTGTTTGTACTGTTTGTGTTGTTTGTATAGTTGGTAAAAAAAAGCTTTAGCAGTTGTGGGTTTTCCCCCTTTGTTCCTATTTTTTTTTTTTTTTTTTTTTTGTTCTTTTTTTTATCAGTTCCAGGTATATTCCAATGAATGAATAAATAAATAACCTTTTTTTTTTTTTTTTTTTTTAATGCCGAGCACGTTTGTTTTCCTTGATACTCTATTTCGCTGTATTCCCGACTGTTTTTCTTTTTATCCCTCTCACTCTTCTCTCGCTCCTCCCTCTACCCAGAAAGAAAGTTCAAATTGTGATGGTGTAATGGCGACTAAGAGAAAAAAAAAAAAGACTACGCGTGACATTTTTTTTTTTTTTTTTTTTTTTTTTCCCCTGTCCAAGGTTCAAGAGGCGGGTCAAAGAAAACTGAAATATTACAACTGTCATCGCTTTTTTTAATTTTTTTTTTTTTCCTTCTGAGATGTTGACAAGGTTGGCTCAATTCTGGAGGGGAGGGGGGAAACTTTTTGGGACATACCAGCGATTTGATCTTCAGAAAGAGATGCCTATGTTATTTAAAACAGAATAAAAACTCTGTGTTAGAAAAAATTATAATGGTTGAGTGGACGCGTCTCATGTGCATTTGTTTTATTTGAGTTTATTTTTTTTTTTCCCTTTAATAACCACATTATAAGATGAATGTAAAAAAAATATTCATCTAATGTAATGCTTCTTATTTCTTTTGCCTCCTCCTTACCATGTTATCAAGATGTGAATGAAACGAAAGAGTAAATAAAAAAATATGGTGGAGTAATGAATGAATGACGACGGGTAAAATAGAAGGCCCATTCTTTCTATAACTTTGATTGAGATGGTTCAGATCACGTGCATGTCACGTTACCGGTCCATTGTTCTCATGCTCTGTTTCTTTCACCCCCTCTTTTTTTTTTTTTTTTTTTTTTTACAAACTCGGAAGTTTTTTTTTTTTTTTTTTTTTTTTTTGTTTAATTACTCTGTCACGCGTCTGAAACGATAGTCTTTTCAAAGGATTCTTGCTTGTGTCACGATGGGTTTTACATTCCAGTTCTGAAACAATCTCACTGGTCCAGGGCATATATACCAGCTCCACTTAACAAATCACCTGCAACATTAGTAATTATATATATAATACTTATATATATATACATATATAATATATAAAATAAATGACGAATCTTTTTTTTTTTTTTTTTTTTGTTAACATTTCGCTGAATTATCTCTTGCCCAAGTAAGTTCCCAACGATAGACTTGTCGGTCATTTAATAATGAAAATTTTGGACTTTTGGGGGCCGAGCCGCCTACAAGCTAAATTAATTTTTGTATGCTATATACCTTAGTGAATCAAATAGTCTAAAAAAATAATAATGTGCCCCTAAGAAAAAAAAAAAAAAAAAAAAAAAAAAATAGGGCGCATAGTCTAAGCATGTTCTCATGTCATGTTCTCATGTGGGCAAAGGAAGGAGCAAGGGAGGGATGAAAGTCTAACTCACAAAAAAAAAAAAAAAAAAAAAAAAAAAGGCTCAGATAATCACCTATTGACCTATTGTATCCGAGAGAGCAAAATAGTGGATAGGAAGATGAGCTTATCTTATGATCCATCTTCTCTTTCCTAACATGAACATGTATACCTAAAGCAATGAAATTACACTTGCTCAATACCGTGTGTACTGTAAGCTGAAGCCGTCAGCTTTTTTTTTTTTTTTTTTTTTTTTTTTTTCCTATTTATTATACTCAAAGTTAGTTATCAAGCTCGTTGCTCAAACATAAAAAGATTAATATTTTATACATATTGTTATATTACCATGATTGTGTAGGCTCGTTTGTTATAGGGAAGGTCATCTAAGCTTAGTCTTAGTCTATCATAACCAAGCAGGTTTTATCATATCATTCACTTGATGATGGTTAATGTGTTGCAAAAAAAAAAAAAGAAAAGAAGAAAAGAAAAGCGGGGAGCATTGGTATTAAGCTGGGTCATGGTTTATGTAGAGTGGAGTAAGAAGGTTATCTGCTCTGAAGGAAGAAAAAAATGTTCGTTGAATGAATAAAGTACGTGAGAACGTGTTGAGAAAAAAGAAAGAGTAATGTTGTACGTACAGCAGAATAGGTTGGGCGTTGGAATGGTAAGAAAAATAAAGCTTTTTAGACTAATTTTATTTGTTTTGTTTGTTTTATTTGCTCCAGGTGTTGTTTGTGATGCGTGGACAACACAGTGTCATTTTATCCTACGATTCTTATTCCCGCGCGTTTTTCCTTGTATAAAAAAAAAAAAAAAAAAGTTTGAAAGAATGCAATGCAAAGGCTGCAAGGTGAAGGAAGGTTCAATTAAACTATGGTTTGAACGGTTCACGATTGTTGGATGATTGAATGATAAAAGAGAGCCTGAATGACAGATTTATGGCCCTGAAAGTATAATAGGAGATTGTTAAGCAATGCAGGATTACATGCAATACTTCATGTCTGCTAATTTTTTCTGCAAGTGAATTGTTTGAAGACAGGATCTTGAGAAGAGACAGTTGAAAGGAGACAAGGAGACAGAGAGATTGACGGTAGGTTTGATGTTCTGTTGGTTGGTATTGTTTACGTGAAGAATGTTCATGTCAGGCTTTATTAACCTCTTTGTTTTTGTCTGTTTGTGTTTGTGTATCCAACTCTCTAAAATTGGCTCTTTCCTTCAATTGTTTTTAATTGTTTTTTTTTTTTTTTTTTTTTTTTCCTTACTCATCTCAACCCTCAATTCTTTATCACCTTTCTTCCCATCCTTTTTCCTTTTCTTCTCCTCTTTTCTCTCTTTCGCTCTCTCTCTCTCCCTCTCTCTCTCTCTTTCTCTTTCCCTTTCCTCCTTTCTTTCCGTACTCTGTCCCTTCCTTCCTGTCCTGACCATTTCGACTCCTTTTTTTCTCCTTTTCTCTCGAACTTGGACCAGACTACTCTCCAACAACACGTGTAATTCGCCTCCCTCTTACTGCCCTCCCTCCCTCAACTCTTAAACTCATTCTCTCTCTCTCTCTCTCATCTCTTGGTCATTACAATTGCTTGTTCAATGGCCCTTGCAACATTTCACATTTGCTCTTAAAAAACCTATTTCCCTTCCTCTCTCACTCTTTCTTCCCATACCCGCATACGCTTTATAAGGTACATCAGAAATGAACGTTGAACTTGTGTTCAACAGTCCTCTTGTTTTATGGTCTTTGCACATTCCTTTATCTTCACCGCGAGCGACAATACCATTCATTATCCAAAAAGAAAAAAAAAAAAAAAAAAAAAAAAAGCTGGCTTTGGAGACTGGCTACATCTTGCTTGACAAACGTCAATGCTTCTAGTCCCACATTGTTCCTCTGCCACTTTCCTCAAGCTCATGGACCCATTTCTATGCTCTCAATGATGATCGCATGCAGTCCTCCACTAGTTTCACTTTCTCACCCTATCCAGATACTCATGTCTACATCCTCACATACCAACTACTATCCCTCTTCATCACCATCAACATTAGCCTAGCTACAAGTTGAATAATAGTTCGATATTTGGACTTGCTGCTAACAGTAGATTGGGACTTTAATATTTATGCTCGTACATTTAGCACATTTAGCATATTTGGGCTCGATTCTGCCCTTTGTTCCCTTGACAGTTTGAACTTACCCCTGGATTTCAACCACTTCAAAATCAATTAGTGTGTATTTCACCGTTGGCTGTCCTGGAGATTTTTTTTTCTCTTCTTCTTTTCTTTTTAACCAGTACACAACACAATCCATCACCAGCTCCTTTCTCGACATCACATTCCTTTCTATTAAGCATGCAGTTCAAGTCCAGCATTGTGCTTCTTCTAGCTCTGATGCTGGTATCAAGCGTCACCGCCCCTCCTCCAGATTGTCTAATCCCTATTTTGTGTCGACCTGATCCATCCGATCCAACCACATCAGTCGTTACCAACCCCACCACTGACGCTCCACCACCCGCTTCCCCTACTGCCGTTCCCCCTCCATCTCAATCTTCAGTCTCGACTGTTCCGACGAACGGAACAAACCCAACGACTACAGCCACTTCTCAGGACCCAAAAAAGACCACGACACTAGCGCCTGGTGGACCAAACACCCAAACCTCACTCACTAAGACTACAACCTCTGCTGTCGCAACTGAAACAAAGTCGGCCGACACCAAGAGCTCTACTAACAGAGAGTTAGCTGCTGCTGGTATTGTTGTCGGCGCTGTAGTCATTGCGGCTGCCATTGGTATCTGGGTTTTCAGAAAGTGGAAGCTTTCGGTAAATTTTTTGTGATATTCAAATCTGACACCTGTGATTACGCTCTATAGAACGTAAGCGACAATTTATTGACTAATGCATGCGATCGTTTGTAAAAATATTTGTTAATCAAAAAAAAAAAAAAAAAAAAAAATAGCCTTCTCGTGACTTTCAGTCCAAGATCCGTGGTGATGACTACACAGACTACCCCCGCACTTTTGAACCTGATACAGTTCATTTGCGTCCGATGGACAATCCTAAAGAACCAGTAGCAGCGAAATCAGCTTATAATGCCAACACTGCTTTCCCTAGCCCCTTAAATGACCAGTACTACGATCCCAACTATGCTGCATCTAAAGAGCAAGGAGGCTATGGTCAAGGAGGCTATGGTCATCAGGACTATGGACGTGGAGGCGCGCCAGCCTATGATCACGGATACAGTGATCGTGGTGCATACGGACATGGGGACTATGCTCCAACGCATTATGCACAGCCACAGGCTGGTGGATACAATCAAGGTGGAGGATATGGTTACCAACAACAGGGTCAAGGCCATCATGGATATTAAGCAACTTTTTCATAGTCTTGGCTTGGACTTTATGCAGTTCATCTCTATATCATACCCCCTCTCAACATCATACCATTTTTTATTGTCTTTTTTTTTTTTTTTTTTTTTTTTCCCTCCACTGTAACTTAATATCATAATCAATAAACACATGACACTTTTTTTTTCACGCATTTTATTTTATTTTTAATTTTTTCTCCAGGGGAGATGGGTTGGAAACAATCAATCTTTGATTCAAACCCAATGTCATTTCTCGGTCGCTTCTCTCGAACACAGCTCATCATTGGAGGGTTGGTGACCTACGCCACTGGAGTTTCCGCAGCGCTTACATTCTTCCCATCGACTACTTCTACTACAACTAGGACTAGTACGACTGATTCCGACCAGTCTGATCGGTTCCCTACAGAGTCGGCGCGTCAGTCTACGTTTGATTCGCTTGCACCGGAATATGATCGGGAAGTGAAGATTCATGAATATCTCTTGGGGATCCAACGTCGACGGAAACGACTTTTGAAGGAGGCCAAGGGACGAGTCTTGGAGATTGCATCGGGAACAGGGAGGAATGTGGATTATTACCGAGCAGGATGTTGTGAAGAGATTGTGTTTTCGGATTTTTCAGAGGGGATGATGGAGGTGTTGAAGAAGAAGGTGGAGCAGAGTGATTTAGGAAGACGTTACGATTATCAGCAGAGGAGGAAACTGCAGCTGGAGTTGGAAGAGGAAAAAGAGAAGAAGAAGAAGAAGACGAAGCTGATAGCACACTCAGAGGATATGCAGCAACAACGAGAAGGAGAAGGAGAAGGAGAAGGAGAAGGAGAAGGAGGTGATAAACTATCGTTGCCTTCATCATCAATATCGTCCTCATTATCATCATCATCACCATCATCATCATCATCATCATCATCATCATCAGAAAAGAAGATTGTAGAGACAGAGATTCGATTCAAAACGATGAATGCAGCGGCGATCCCATATCCAGATGCGAGCTTCGATACAGTTGTGGATACATTTGGACTGTGTAGTTTTGAAGATCCTGTGAAGGTCCTGAAGGAGATGAAGCGAGTGTTGAAACCGGGAGGACGGATCTTGATGTTAGAGCATGGGAATAGTAGTTGGAGATTTATGAAGGAAATGCAGGCCAAGCAGTTGGATCGTCATGTACAAAAGTACGGATGTTATTGGAACCGAGAGATTGAGGAGTTGATCGTTCAAGAGGCCGGGCTAGAGATTGTGGAGAAGGAACGGTCGCAATTAGGAACTGTGTATTATATTATTGCAGAGTAGAAATGGGGGATAGTGGAAGTACGAGAGAAGTGATGGTGGTCCGTAGTAGGTGGGAGAGAAAGATTTATTACTACTATTGTTATTATTATTATTATTTATTATCATTATTACTATCATCTTTTAATCGTTTAATCACATAGAAAAATATATATATATATTTTAGATATCGATTAGGGTACTCATTTTTGTTACAAAAGCTCAACGTTATTGTTATAATTAAATGAATTGAGCTATCCAGGGGTGTATATGTATGTTATATATGTGTGTGTGTGTGTCCAGATGAAGATCATCCTTGTTCCCCAGCTGGGAATGGTTGGTTATCAAGCAAGAATAAACTTTTTTCTAACCTGCCCTTTGACTTGACACCATGCCGTGGCTTACGCCGGTGAGCTTTTTTTTTTTTTTTTTTTTTTTTTTTTAATAATTAACAGGAAAGCGCCTTTTTTTCTTTTTTCATACGTTTCTTTCTTTGCCTTCACAATCTTCGTAGTCATTAACCATTTTGACAAAAAAAAAAAAAAAAAAAAAAAAAAAAAAGAAAAAGTCTTGTCGGATCTATTTGTCTCGTTGACACACTTTACTGTTTTTCTTCATTTCTATTTCTATTTCTATTTCTATTTCTCATTCTATTTCTCATTCTCATTTACAACCTTGAACAGAAAGGAAACTTTAAAATTTCGATACAGCGTTTTACTTTCTTTTTTAAAACTTACTATCCTTACTATTCGACATTCCGTTTAGTCATTGCTGACTGGATTGAGTTTACTGTTCATTTGACCTTGGTTTTTCGCCATTTCTTTTTATTTGGATTTCATTCCCCTTTGCCTCTTTTCTTTTTTTTTTTTTTTTTTTTTTATTATTATTATTATTATTATTATTTGTAATTCAAACAGCCAACCCTTTATTCATTATTACTCTGATCCACCAAGGAAGGAAAGCGCGTTATCTTTTTTTTTTTTTTTTTTTTTTTTTTTTTTTACTTTTTTCTTATTTTTCTTTCATAAAGACTTTCTGCACAGACACAACCAGTAAATCTCATTATCACTTGTTTGTTTACAAGTTTGATTCAATCACATCATATCTCGACATAAAGGTAAAAAAAACCAACAAACAACTGTCAGTAGTAAATTAACTTTTTGTTGTTTAAACGATCTGTTTGAAAAGGAGCTTCGTTTTCTTTCTCTTACACCGTCAGAACTGGGACATCAAGTGGCCATTTTTTTTTTCTATTTCTTAATCTTCTTTTTGACCCTATAATCGCTTGCTCGTTAAGAAAGAAAGAAAGAAAGAAAGAAAGAAAGAAAGAAAGAAAGAAAGGGCGGCAATCATAGATGGACGCAATTCATCAAATCATCATCATCATCATCAAATCCCTCTCTCTCTTCCCCAGTCTTTTTGCTCTCAAAACTCTTTTTTTTTTTTTTTTTTTTTTTTTTTAAAGCTCCGACTCCTAGATTCGGATGTTGCAGGATTTTCATTAATGCGCAAATTCAACATTTGCTCAACGTGTTGTAAACTTTTTTTTAAAAAAAAAAGGCGTGCTCAACTCCCCCCCATCTATTTGATCTCTTTCTTCAAGCTTTACAACTGATCGGTTCAACATTCTGTTATTCATACAACTTGTCTTGTTTTATTTTCTTTTTTTTTTTTTTTTAAAAAAAACCTTACAAGTTAACAAGTTTTATTTTATTTTTTTATTAGAAATATCTTCTCCTAGTTCCTCTTGACGTCGTTAATTTCTTTTTGCTGTTTTTTTTTTTTTTTTTTTTTTTTTTTCCTTTTTCTTCTTTTTTCTTTTCACTTTCCCTGTTTTTTCCTCCTCTTCGACTGGATCGACTGGGACCGACTGGAGCATGATCACGGTCCCATCACAAGAGATCGTGACCTTCCTCGGTAATCATCTCGATCATGTTCTGCAACGGACTGGGACTAATTTTCTGAGTTCTGTCGCGGCAGATCGGGAGTTCCGAGCAGGATGTGCTATCATGGACGTGTTAAATGCAGTGGAATCTGTTCAGGTCAACCTCCGTGGTCTTTTAACACAAAAGAACAAGAACAAAGGCAAGGGCAATGGTGATGAGAATGCAAAGTCTTTAAAAGGAACTCGACAATCTCCAGAGGTAAACAAAAAGTAACAGCAGGAAAAAAAAAAAAAAAAAAAAAAAAAAAGCCTGTGCGTTTTTCTTTTCGTGCACGGGGTTAGATTTTTATATTTCATTCGTCGCACTGAATTTACACGGAATAACCCTCCTATATTTGTAACGTTTGATCCGACTATCTTGTAGCGCCACACATCGGAAGTCAGAGTCATGTCATTGTACTTGTTACATTGTCTTTATAGTTATCTGCCTGTTCATCAGAATCCGTTCTTGTGCTTGTTTGTCGACATTTACAACGGCACCTCACTGGATGGGGACCTAAAATCGGAACGGTTTGTCACAAGTGTCATCTTGAATGGCAAAGGAGAAGAAGTAAGTTTTCTTTTTTTCTTTTTTCTTTTTTTTTTTTTTTTTTTCTTTTTTTTTTTTTTTTTTTTTTTATTTTTTATTTTTTATTTGGAATATATTTTTTTTGACAATAGGGATTCAGGATATCAAACATCTTCATCTTTGAAACTATACTTTTTTCAAGCAAAGCAGTGTGAGGATTAAAAAGAAAAAAAGAAAAAAAAAAAAAAAAAAAAGACATTGGGGATGAACTTTTTATGCGGTTTATCCACAATTACTTACTACTTTTATTACTGTTTATTAAAAACCAGTTACAATCAGTTTATCGGTTTATACTTTGAATAACAAAGAAAAAATTGTTTGATGATCGCTATTTGCTTGGCTTGGCTTGGCTTGGATTTTTTTTTTTTTTAACTTTTATAACGCCATCACTCTTTGACTATTGTTTTTAGCTCGCGCCAAAGACACCTTCAGAACTCATTGCATTAGCACAAAAGGTCGAATCACGTCCTGTTAATCTGAGGATGCTGGAAGAGTATCTTCCCGAGGTGCCGGTTGAGGAACAAGTCAAGGTTGGACTTGGATGGGATAGTCAACAGAAGAAATCAGATGACAAAAAACGACTCTGGGAAACATCATTTGCTATCCCAGTCGTAATAACAACAGGACCAGGCTCGTCATCGTCCTCTTCTACCTCTGAAGCAACGACAGGAGCTTCATGGAGTCGATATGATCGCAAGAGAGAAGAGATCGATCCATTGAATAACCCTGTTCACTCAAGAAAGAATGAGCTAAATGAACGTGATGAGAAAGAGAATGAGAATGAGAAAGAGAAAGAGAAAGAGAAAGAGAAAGAGAAAGAGAAAGAGAAAGAGAAAGAGAAAGAGAAAGAAGAAAAGGAGGAGAAGGAGGAGGAGGAGAAGGAGGAGGAAGAGCTGGAGGAATGGGAGATTGAGGCAGAAAGACGGTTCCAGGATTCGGATGTGGATGATGCTCCCTCATTACCGTCACCTGCCAAGAAAAAATCAGCGGCAAAGAGTTTAAAGCCAAGTGGTTCTTTTCCTGTACCTGTGTCTGCATTTGTACCTGTGCCTATACCTGAACCTGTGGTGAGCGCAGCAGTATCAAAGAAGATGAGTCCAACCCTTGAAGTTGTTGGACAGGTGGCAGAGCAGGATCAATTTAAGCGGCGGAGAAAAATGTGGTCAAGGAAGTAAATTATGTAAAAGAGAACGTTACATGATCAGAGAATTGTCAGTTATCACCATGAATTGAAAAAAAAAAAAAAAAAAAAAAAAAAAGTAAACAAATGAATAAACTTCTCTCTCCATTCAATTCAAATTGTATTTCTTTAAAAAAGACGCGCTTGTCCGCAGCAGTTTTTTTTTTTTTTTACAATAAGGAGAATCCTTTTGATAGTTGAATAGCCCCATCAATCTAGACCAAGATTCTGCATCACATTGATATCCCTTGCTTCTTGATTTACCTAGAATGTCACAGGGACGTGTCTGTATTATATTCCCACGCCTATGGAAGCCCCTCAAAAGAAAGAAAAAGTAAAATAGTTCTGTAATATCATATTGTTCCTGAAGGGTCTCAATTTGTGATGGGAAATAATGGTTTCTTTATTGGGAAGAAATTCTCCGGGGAGGAAATAAAATAAATGGAATATATGTATAACATTATTCATTTTTAACTTCATAATTATCGGACTATCGGACTCCGTACTTTTATTATTGTTGCTGTTATTATTATTGCGCAGTTCGCGTCCTAGAGGTCCTAGGCTCTTTGGGCGAAGCATGCATTACATTCAGACAAACATTAAGGTAATGCATGAGAGAGAGAGAGAGAGAGAGAGAGAGAGAGAGAGAGAAAAAAAAAAAAAAAAAAAGAAATTCAATAAAGATTTAATGATTGAATGAAAAATACTGAAAAGGAGTATTCCATTGATTGAAGAATGAGAAGGGAGGAGGGGGGGGAGGTAAAAAAAAAATATTCTTTAGAATCAGGAAGCTTCTTGCACTCTCTTCTGGGTTCGCTTTTTTTTTTTTGTAGTTGAATGGAATGGGAAGGAATGAAGGAATGTTCACTTTGTGGCATCGGTTGTAATTAGTTCATGGTTTCTAATGTACAGACTGCCCGTGATATCCGGACAAGACAACTCGGACATGACGCACACTCCTCTCCGTCTCCCACTTTTGGTAAGTCTGATTTACTTGAACAAGAGGAATGCCCCTCCCCCATGGTATAAAAAGGACTTTTTTTTTTTTTTTTTTTTTTTGTTTCTAGAATCCTTTTCACTTTTCTTCTTCTTGTTCTTCACTTGCGTCCTCTCTCTCTCTCTCCTCTTTTTTCTCTTCCTTTTCTTTTTTTGTTACATACTATCCACTTTTTTTTTTTTTTTTTATTTTTTTTTTCCCTCTTCATTCTCAATAATGGCATTTGCACCTCGTATTCTTCTTCGTGCCTCGCCCTTGGCACATGCGGCTCGTCATGCAGCCTCTGCTTCAGTTCCAAGGCCCCTGTTTGTAGCACCTCGGTTCGCAGGGTTATCATCAGTGGGAGCATCGGCTCGTCGTGGATTTGCTTCTCAACCTCAGGCATCTGGAGGTCGTAGTGGTGGAGGTGGAGGATCTAGCATCGTTATTGCTCTTATTTCTGCAGCTGCTGGTGCTGGTGCCTACCACTACTATGCTAATATGGACAGTAAGTTGCTGTTTTTTTTTTTTTTTTTTTTTTTTTGTGCCATCACTTTGTTTTTATTATTAAAGAGATAGAGATATAGGATAAGGGTATCTAGCAGAAGAGTATGGACCCGCTGCGCAATTCTACATTTTATATTTTCCTCAAGACGCGTTTTTTTTTTTTTTTTTTTTTTTTTTTTTTTTTTTTCCCTCTTTGGGTTTATTCTTGTTTTAGTCCCATCATTTCATACTTTAGTTCTTTATTTTGTTGCTTTTTTTTTTTTTTTTTTTTTTTTTTTTAAACAATCGTTCATCACTGATGAATGAAGAATATGTTGCCAATCAAGCAAGCCCTTTATGTTGCAGAACTCTGTCTTTTTTTTTTTTTATTTTATTTTATTTTTTTTTTTATCTTATCCTTGAAGATGAGGGCGAGGGGGGAGGAGGAGGGAGGAAAGAGAATCCTGAAAAGGAGAAAAAAAAAAAAAAAAAAAAAAAAAAAAGTAAAAAGAAAGGAGTGTGGGAACGAAGATAAATGAATATTTATTTTTTCTTTCTTCGCTTCGGAGACCGAGACACAAATTCGGAAAATCTTATCGTCTACAGAAAAAAAAAATCATGCAAAAAGAAATGTACATGTTACAGATAAAGAGGATGCGAATGGAGAGATTGTGTCCACGACGACCCCCATGACACAAGATCAGATCGTTGTTACTTGCTAAAGAGAAAAGAGAAAAGAGAAAAGAGGAAAGAGCGAAACAGGG